CAATTTCTTTTTCCTTTTTGTGTTTCTTACTTGTTATGATCATTCTTGCATTTCTTCAAACCCCTAACACACTAATTAACCCACCATGCTCTTATTTTTTGTTGTTTTCGTATTCTACACAACTAACAATTGCATATCATTTCTTTATTTATATGTGTTTGTGTTTGCTTGGGTTTAGGGATTTGGGTTAGGGGGCTTTAGGGTTTAGGCTTGTAGGTTTAGGTGTTTTTTTTTTTTTTTTTGGGGGGGGGGTTGGTTTAGGGGGTCTAGAGTTTTGGATTTAGGGTTATAGGGGTGTATTTCTTACTAAATTTATTTTGGATTTATTACACGGTCAATTGATATTTTTTTCTTTCTCATTTTCCAATGTCTTTAAATGAAATTTTGGTGGTGGATTTTGAGAGAAGGATCAATTTGACAAAACTTGTATGCATAGATCATAAGTGGAGTTATGCTTCCAATATATGTATGATTGCGATTCATGTTAATAATGATTAACAAATTTATCAATATCCTATGCTTGGTTTGGAGTATTCTATGTATTTAAATATTGTATGTGTTGTGTAATTATGTGAGGCGTGCAGTCTAGTATGTATATATATCTGCTTGCCTAATAAGTGAGTGAACATGTCGTTCGTTCGTTCTTTTTTTTTTCCTTCCTTTTTGCTCTTTGCAGTCCTTAATGCTTTTTTCATTTTGTTTGTACATGACTAATCTAATGTGATTTCTTTTTAATTGTTTGTGGAATTGATATTGAATTATAAAGGAATAGGGAAGATTGAACTAGGTAGAGACGAGTCTACAAAGCGAGTTTGGAACTAGAAAAATAAGTATACCTATTTGTCCCACTTATATTGGCTTTATTTTTTATGCAAAATGTGTTTTACAGATTACTATTTTTTTTTATTTCTTACTTGTTATGATCATTCTTGTGTTACTTTCAATCCCCAACACTTTGATTAACCTGCTATTTCTTTTTTATTTTTTGTTGTTGTTTTCGTGTTGTACACAACCAATAATTATATAACAATTTTGTGCTTATTTTTATTTGTGTTTGCTAGGGCTTTGGACTTAGAGTTAAGGGTTATAGAGGGTTTAGGGTTTAAGTTTTACTGGTTAGGGGGGTTTAGGGGTTTTGGAGTTTGAGAGTTTAATCAATGGGATAAACTTATAATGGTCAATAGATCATAAGAGGAGTTATACTTCCATGATATGTATTATTGCGATTCGTATTAATAATGGTTAGCAAATTATCGATGTCCTTTGCTTGTTTTGGAGTACTCTTGTGTATTTAAATGTTGTACGTGTTGTGTGCGTATTTGGGGCAAGCAATCTAGCATGTATATATTTTGCTTGTCGAATAAGTGAGTGAAAATGTCACTCGTTTTTTTTTCCTTGTTACTCTTTGTTGTCTTGAAAGCTTTTTTCATTTTCTCTGTACATAACTAATCTAATGTGTCTTCTTTTCAGTTATTTTTAGAATAGATGTTGGCTTATGAAGGAATAAGGAAGGTTGAACGGAGTAGAGATGAGTCTGCAAAGCGAGTTTAAAAGTAAAAAGATAAGTATATCTATTTGTCCAACTTCCATTGACTTTCTTTTTTATGCAAAATATGTTTGAAAATTTCTTTTTCCTTTTTGTATTTCTTACTTCTTGTGATCATTATTGCATTCCTTCAAACCCCAACAATCTAATTAACCCACTGTTTTCGTATTCTACACAACTAACAATTGTATAGTATTTCTTTGCTTATATGTGTTTGTGTTTGATTGGGTTTAGGGGTTTGGGTTATAAGGGGTTAGGGGGGCTTTAGGGTTTAGGTTTAGGGGTTACGTGTTGGTTTTTGTTTTGGGTGGGGGGGGGGGGGGTTAGGGGTTTAAGGTTTTGGATTTAAGGTTATAGGGATGTATGCCTAACTATATTTATTCTTGATTTATTATATGGTCAATTGATATTTTTATCTTTCTCATTTTCAAATGTCTTCAAATGAAATTTTGGTGGTGGAGAATGAGAGATGAATCAATTGGACAAGCTTATAATGCTTAGTAGATCATAAGTGGAGATATGTTTCCATGATATGTATGATTGCGATTCTTGTTAATTATGATTAGCAAATTTATCAATGTCCTTTACTTGTTTTGGAGTATTTTATGTATTTAAATGTTGTATGTGTTGTGTAAGTATGTGGGGCATGTAGTCTAGTATGTATATAAATTTGCTTGCCCAATAAGTGAGTGGACAAGTCGCTCATTTTTTTTTTCCTTCCTTATTGTTTTTTGCGGTCCTTAAGGCTTTTTTCATTTTCTTTGTACATAACTAATCTAATGTGTTTTCTTTTCAGTTTTTTGTGGAATTGATGTTGGATTATGAAGGAAGAAGGAGGGTTGAACTGGGTAGAGATAAGTCTACAAAGTGAGTTTGAAACTAGAAAGATAAGTATACCTATTTGTCCCACCTCTATTGGCTTTCTTTTTTATGCAAAATGTGTTTTAAAAATAACTATTTCTTTTTCCTTTTTTTGTTTCTTATTATGATTATTCTTGTATTACTTTCAACCCCCAACACTTTGATTAACCTGCTATTTTCTTTTTATTTTTCGTTATTGTTTTCATGTTGTACACAACCAATAATTATATAGCAATTCTTTACTTATTTTTGTTTGTGTTTGCTAGGGCTTAGGGTTATAGGGGGTTTAGGGTGGTTTAGTGTTTTTGGGTTAGGGGGGTTTAGGGGTTTTGTAGTTTGAGAGTTTAATCAATTGGATAAACTTATAATGATTAATAGATTATAAGAGGAGTTATACTTCCATGATATGTATTATTGTGATTTGTTTTAATAATGATTAGCAAATTATCAATGTCCTTTGCTTGTTTTGGAGTATTTTGTGTATTTGATGTTGTATGTGTTGTGTAAGTATGTGGGGCATGTAGTCTAGTATGTTTATATATCTGCTTGTCCAATAAGTGAGGGGACATGACGCTCGTTCTTTTTCTTTTTTTGTCTTCTTCATTGCTCTTTGCAGTCTTTAAGGCTTTTTTCATTTTCTTTGTACATAACTAATCTAATGTGCTTTCTTTTCGGCTATTTGTGGTATTGATGTCGGATTATGAAGGAATAAGGAGGGTTGAACTGGGTAGAGATTAGTCTGCAAAGCGAGTTTGGGACTAGAAATATAAGTATATCCATTTGTCCCACTTCTATTGGCTTTTTTTTTTATGCAAAATGTGTTTACAGATATCTATTTCTTTTTCCTTTTTTTTGTTTCTTACTCGCTATGATCGTTCTTGTATTAATTTCAACCCCCAATACTTTGATTAACCAACTATTTCCTTTTTATTTTCGTTGTTTTTTTCGTGTTGTACACAACCAATAATTACATAGCAATTCTTTGCTTATATGTGTTTGTTTTTTCTAGGGTTTAGGGTTTAGGGCTGCTTTGCTGAGCAAGATAGAGGGAGTGCCTCAGCACTTTTTTCAGCTTGCTGAACTTATTCTGCATTCTCTATGGCAATTGACTAGGGTAGGGGAGATGCTGAATGATCAATTGAAGTTGGAAATTTTCAGTTCAGGAGTGTCTTTGTCTAGGCTTTCTGATAAATTGGTATGGCAGAGCACTAATTCTGGTATGTTTCCTGTTAAAGCAGCTTGGCAAGTGATCCGGAGACGGGGAGGTAAATGACACTGTTGTTCTTATCTGGAAAGTTAGTACAGCACCCAGTGCTCAATTAGTGGGGTGGAAAATTTAGTGGAAGGCTCTTCCATTGGATTCTAACATCATGAGGATTGGGGTTTCTGTTGTAAGTAGGTGCTACCTGTGCTATCAGTTTTTCAGTCTTTTGAAAATACAGAGCATCTGTTTGTGGGTTGTGCTTATGCTAATGCAGTCTGGGATAGGTTGGCTGCTATAGGTGGATTTCAGCTTATAGCTGGGGAGTATCCTCTGTTGAGGTTTAAGAGGTTGTGTAGAGTTTTTAAGAAGCAGTCAGTGAGTCATGGTTTACTTGGAAGTATTGCCTTGTTAGTTTGTTGGCAGATTTGGAAGGAAAGGTGCAGGAGGGTTGCTGGTGAGGGCAAGTTGCACTCATACTCTGTTTTTGTTAAAATTTGTAGCATTCTCAGGTATCGAGTTAAGAATGTAAGGCTAAGGTGCAGGATGATGAAGCTGGAAGAGCTTTCTTGAGGAATTTGCAGGTGAAGGTGTCTGGTCAGATTGTGATGAAATCTGTTTGGGTGAGATGGATGAGTCCTCCTGCTTATTTTTTGAAATTGAATACTGATGGGCTTCTAAAGGAAACCCTGGCACTGCAAGAGAAGGGGCTGCTCTGAGGAATGAATGGGGAAGGATGGTGTTGGCTGCTGAGTTCAGGGCTTTGTTAGATGGATTAAGATTAGTGGTGAAGTATGATTTATTTGCTTACAAAATATTGATTGAATGTGACTCCACGGTGCTTGTGAATTCTGTATTGGGGAAGTGTGATTGTGCCTGGCCTTTTCATAAACTTTTGAACCAGAATAAGGATCTACCGAGGTGTGTGGAATTTCAGATAGTGCATGTTTATAGAGAAGCTGATGTAGTCGCTGACAGTTTGGCAAATCAGGCAGTTCGGGCCAGACAGTCTGCTGATTTTTCTGGTCCTGTACATTAGCCTAGTGATGTTAAGTTGGCTTTGTTGCAAGACCTTAGGACGTTGCCAGTTCTGAGGATTAAAAGGGTCTTGGTTTATGATGACAAGGGTTAAGCTTTTTTGGGTTGGGTCTGAAGTTTTGTTAACCTTAGAAGGGGTTCAGCTGTGCAGGTTGTTCTTGCTGCTGATTTATAGATGGATGCTGCAGTTTTTGGAGAGATTTTAGAAATAGGATTTGTTGTTTGTAAAATGGTTTAAGCCTCTTGGCTTGACTGTTCTTTGATTCTTGTAATTCTTCTTGGATTTTTGAATACTATTTTAAATGTCAGAACATTTGAGTGATTAAGTGACAACAGAGTCTGAGTGTAATTCTCCATAAATTTTACTAATAGTCTCGAATGAACGAACCAAAAAAGTAGTCCAAAGGAAAGGGAAAAATCATTTACATAAGTGCATATGCATCTATCTCTCTTATGTCAGAAAGAAAGAAAACGAACTGTTCTCATCGACCCTCCCCAATAACCTCGTGAAGCATGGGTCTCTGAGCATCTACAGGTGAATAAGTTGGATCAGCTACCATGCTTGTACTTGCTGATGAGTTGTAAAAACTATTATTGGGTGCAGCAGAAGCATCATTACTCATAAAGCTTGTTGCATCGTTAAACCTCCATTCGGTCAGGTATCCGGGCCTTGATGTAACAGTGCTCACGTCAATATCTCCTGAAAGCATTGCCACTGCACGGGACATTGAAGGTCGTAATGCCGGTGATGTTTGAGTGCACAATAGAGCCACTCCAATTACTCTTTTTGCTTCATCCTTGTTGAATTCAGATATAGCTGGATCGACCAGTTCAATTTCATGGTTATTTTCATGTAGGTGCCAGGCCTGAAAGGCAGGAAACATTAAACATGTCAGTAAAGGAAGGAACTGTACCCAAATTTTTTTTACATGATATCTGCAACTGGAGTCTGGATCCATTCTGGAATTTGTATTGGGATGGTATGAGGTTCTTATCTGAAGCCAAGGTATGCAGCTACATAGTTGGGATTGCAAACAAAGAACTGAGAATTCCTATATATTTTTTTTCAGGCAATTGGGAAAATCCTGCTTTCATCATGATAGTAGTCCGACAATTTGTTCAGAAATTTGCTCAAGTTGAAAAATGTTCTTAACAGAAGCACACTGTGCAGCTGTACCTAATGCAAAACTTAAGATTTGTGCAGTTGAAATGTTGCAAATAACCCACCGAAAGGTACAGCTAATATGAGTGAAGGGATACCCCCCAAACCAATTAAAAAAAGATTAAAAAAAAAAAAAAAAAAAACACCATACACACGCAAAGAAGATCATACCCATTCAAGAAGATATATCTTTTCTTCCTCCAAGCTTGGGTCAGAATTTGGCCTTCCACTGATAATCTCTAAAGCTACAACTCCAAAGCCAAACACATCAACCTTTTCTGTAAGGTGTCCACGCATGGCATATTCTGGTGCCAGGTAACCACTATTCAACCAGAAAAACTCTCAACTTACTAGTTATATTTGAACTGAAAATAAATGCAAGAAGCTAGATATTTTCTGAAAAAAGAGTAAATAGAAGCATAGATTTGAATATGAAACTTACATTGTGCCAGCAACACGGGTACTTAGATGAGTCTTATTGTCATCATAAAGTTTGGCCAAACCAAAATCAGAAATTTTGGGGTCGAGATTAAAGTCAAGCAGAATATTACTGGCCTTCACATCTCTGTGCACAATTCGAAGCCGTGATTCCTCATGAAGATAAGCTAGACCCCTAGCGACCCCCAGGCATATGTCAAAACGTGTTGTCCAGTCAAGCTCCAAACATCTGTTCCCTGCTTCATGATGCCAAATAAAACTCAGTCTTCTCTGTATCAACCTATTTAAAAATAAGTACGCATATAGCTCTAAAAATGCAATCTACATACCAAATAATGCTTGATCAAGACTCTTATTCTCAAGGTACTCATAAACAAGCAGCCGTTTTTCTCCCTCAATGCAGCACCCATGCAATTTCACAAGGTTACGGTGCTGCACAGCGGATATCGTAGCAATCTCTGCCACAAATTGACTCTTTCCTTGGTTGGATGCTACTGACAATTGTTTAACGGCAACCACTCTCCCGTCATCAAGTGTTGCCTATCGAGTTAGAAAGAAGGTAAACATCTTGCAATGCAAATTTTATGAATTCAAGTTTCAATTCGCATTCTCCATATAACATTATCTTTGTGTATTTCCTAATATCTTTGTGTTTACAAAACATGCAATCACTTGTCTCCATTAAAGGATGGCATGCAATGGGACAGTAGGAGCGCACACCTTCCACGTCACAAGTAAGGAAATTAACAAAACATAGAGGTCATGGGGCAGCCTGTGGTTCGAAACAGAAAGCATTTGGAGCATGTCTTTGAGGGCCAGTAACTTTCTTTTTGATTTTCTATTTTACTCATCTTTTTTTTCTATGTTTTCAAGGGGATGGAGGGGGTAGGGTGGAGGGGGTTTCAGGGGTTGAGGAGGACAAGAGCCTCTAGGTCAGATGATAATTGGTACCAGCTTATGGAGCAATTTGAAATGCTTCCTATTATGGCCCTGATGAAATGAATATCATACCTTGTAAACGGCTCCAAACCCTCCCTCTCCAAGTTTATTAGCTGGATCAAAGTCATCTGTTGCAGCTCTTAGTTCTGCATAACTGAACGTGTATATTCTAGCATCCATTCCCAGGAACTCTGCAAATCCAAAATGAACATAATTTGTTGGTTTCAATGTATCCAGCTAGTCATCACTCATCAATCTTGTCTCTGAGAAATGATGGTGAAGCGAAAGATATGCTAGAAATGTTCCCAAATAAGTCGAGGGATGGGGAAACAAGGTTACTTTTTTTTTTCTTTTTTTTGTATTTAAAACATGGCATGCTCTTTTCATTGTATAATTTTCAAGCAGCATGACGAGCACTTTTAGCAACAGACTACTAAAACACGGATGCAAACAATAATGTTCATCCAGGCAATACAACTCTGTTAATAAGTCAGAGTGCAGATATAGATCCAGCATTCCCAGTTTCCTTCTTTACCTTCGTCTTCATAAGTGGATGACTTTCTTCTTCTCAGAACGAAATAATATACTGCAAATACACAGAAAAAGCTTACAACTCCAACAGCAAGAATGGTCCCCACAACCAAACCAGTTCTCTTCTTCTTTCCAGAGGGAGGGTTGTTACTAACAGTAGGATTGAAGTCTGCGCAAAGGCTTTATTGTCAAAAGTTGGTATCAATACACTGGGAAATCAGATTTAAACTACTAATGGTCTTTTTGGATTACATTACCTGCAATGGCACTGATCGCCGAAATAGAAGGTCCGTAAGTACCTTGACCAGGTACACAACAAGTCCCTTTTCCAGCCCAAAATAGATGAATTTCAAGGTAGTTTTCAGAAACCTGAACCGTAAAGTTCCTCTGGACAGCTCGGAAAGAAGCATTTCCTGCCTCCTTTCGTATGTCAAAATCTTTCCTCACCAAATTTCCCTGAACAACCCAACTCACAACTTAGTACAAAATTTAGTTAATAAAGTCCAAGAAGAAATCAGAAAGGAAGACGCTCTTTAATGAAAATAAGGAGATAAATTACATCCAATTATCACAATACTTCAAGCAATAAATGAATTCTAGCTTTAGCAAGTATAGGATATCGAGGTAGTTAGTTGAGAAACTTCTGTTTAAGTGATCAGAAAGAGAGTTGTCATTTCATATTTAAGTAAGAAAATGCAACACATGCTAGGTAAAAACAATCTTATACCATCATTTTGGCATTAGATTGGGGGAATTGATCTCAATAATGGTGGTTCTTTTTGGTTCCCGGGGCGCTCTTGTTTTCTTTGAAGGTAAGCTCACTGGTACCCCTAATTCATGACATCATGACGTGCCAACAAGCTCAAAGTGTTATAGTTAACCCGAGCAATATTTGAACCTAGAACCAGGGATGAAAATTTCATTTCGGTATATTGTTTCAATCACTTAGGAAATGAAAATGTTTCGATAATGTTTTGGAAACAAAATAGAAACAAAACAAAAATTGACATTTATTACCAAAACATTGCAAAATATTAGTTGAAATATACCAAAACATCTTGAAACATACCGAAACATCTCAAAGCACCTCGAAAACATTACAAAACACCTTGATGGATTGGAATTTAGATTCTATCACCAATTCATTTTGGTCTTCTCAGAATGGGAACCTTACAGCTGTTTCAACCATTTTGAAACTAAATTTTGATCCTTGCCTAGAACCTTAGGGCTGATTCTAGGGTAAATATTTAAATGCTTGGTATTTTTCTTAACCATTGTTGTATGTTATTCCCATCCATAGTTGAAAAAGTCCAAGGTTAGATTGCCTTCAGTCTACCACTCCCAGTGCTCTAGATTGACAACATCAGAATTTGGCAATTACATTGACATATGGCCTTTTTATTGACTTATATTCAATTCTTGGGATCTGTTAAGGCTTTTTAGTGATATTTTTCCTTTCAGATGTGCAAAAAAGAGAGTGGAAAATAGAGATACTTAAGTTGGTGTTAAATGTGTGTCTGTGTGAGAGTGGAAATCATAAATTAGTGGGTAGATGACACATTAGGAGATGAACTCCTGCTCTCCCATACTGATTAGTTTTAGGTTAGATTTGGGGGAACTGGTCATAATTATGTCAAGGCAAATGATGATAAACCCTATTTTACTGAAGGGATCCCAGAAATATGGTTGTATTAAGGGCTTCTATCTACAAAAAAAAATTGTCCCAGAAAATTTACAACTCAAATCCATATTTAGGGCAAACCTGGATGTATATATCAAAAACACGCCTTCCTACACTCTTCCAAGTTGGAGGATTTAGGATAACCGTCTCTGCAAACTGGAGGACTACGTTGTAATTACCATTCTCAAGCCCCAAGCCATAGTATCTTAGCGACGCAGCAGAAATCCGTGCAGTCTGGAATATCTCTGAATCCAAAGTATTTGTAAACTGAGAGAGAGAGGAAGTTGTGTACTGTGGATTGTTGCTGTCAGCAAACCATCCAACATTACTGACAGCCCACCTGTCTGTGTTAGTCACATAGTATGTCGCTGGACCAAGAGTCTCATTATCCCTCTCATACACAATCCGATCAGAAGATGTTATTTGTGGACCGCCACATTTAATTGCAAAGCTATAATCTGCATTGAAAGGAAAAGACAAACTCATCAGATCAAGTTCCTATGAATTTTTTGTTCCAAATTTATAAAAGTTGCACCCATGTCCTTGTATCCCACATCGAATGATTTGGACCATCTAAGGTACGCCCGAGGTACCTTTGGTTTGGAACTATGAAGTTCAGAATCATTTATCAAGTCAAACCAGTCTGCGACGTGGAAACATTCTAGCTCTTATTTCAAAATTAAGACCTCATGGAACCTGCATTTAACCTCTTGAGAGGTCCTTAAAATAATTTGAATGTTTTAGAACTTCCCCCGAGTTGATGAACCAAGAAAGAAGATGGATCCCTTATCAACAATGACAAATACAGACTTTCTGTGTAAGAAAAATCGTTCTCTATTCATTTAGTCGGTCAAAAAAACTAATCCTGAAAGCCTTTCTTATAAAAGAGCTTCTAAAGCAGTGAAAATTAAACTAATGCCATGAAATGAGCCAACATAATCTTCAAATCACAGTAGCCAATGAAGAAGAATGGCTGCCAAACAAGTCGTCCCCATGAAAGTATTATGCATTTATAGGCCTCAAACACCTTGTTTGTGGCTAAAATAAAAGGGTCCGGTCAGCACCAGTCGGTTGCTTGGGTTACAAGATGCGCACCAACACGCATCGAGACACCCAATAATTACCATTAGAACATAGTTGTTAGTATCGTACAATACGCGATACGAATCGTACTATACGTTACGATACAAAGGTAAAACGATACGGATCGTAGTTATGTATCGTTTTTGCGTCGTATCGTCCGATACACGATACGACCGATACACGCAAAACCTGTTTTTTTTTTTTTTCCTGAAACGACGTCATTTTGTCTAAATAAAACACTAATTTTATCCCCGCCACTGATGAAACGACGTCATTTTGTCTAAATAAGACACTAATTTTATTTTTTTTTAATAAAAAATTCTGAATCTTGATTAATTTTATGGATTGAGTTCAAAATGGATGTTAGAAATTTGGATTAAAAGTCTCTTTAGTGTTTGAAGTTTGAATTAGTGAACTATGGTTGTAAACTTTGCATTATAATATTAGTGAACTATGTTGATGACTTGAATAGGTGGTAGAGTATTAATGATATGCTATATTTTTATGAGTGTATAATTTTTTTTTAAAGGTATATATATTTTTTTATTATTTATTTAAAATTACACCGTATCTTACGATACACGATACGATACATTATTTTTAAAAAACGATACACCTTCCGATACACGATTTAATAACTATGCATTAGAATACAGTGGCAAAAATTTCTGCACTGATACTGAAAAACATGGATAGAACAGTTCTTCAGCAACAAACATAGAAACATAAAAAGATAAAAGATGATGAGAAAATAAAACTATATTAACCAACTAAATTGAACCTAATTTTGTGGAAAGAGGCCCGCTTATGACAAATGCCACAATAAAATGACCTTTATATATCAAAGTCATAGAGACCAATCCCTGTAAATTGGTTGGCAATGTCAATAGACCTTAACAGACCTGAAATACATCAAATATGAAGCTATCGTATGATCTCGTATTGTTGTATCAAAAACCATCAACCCCTCAACCTCAGTTTTTAGTGACGATGGATACCCCAATCAATAAAGCCTCGTCCAAACTACTGCCTTACATAGTATCATGGTTTACCATTTTTGTAATATATCCTCCGAAATGCTTTTTTGAAATATATCATTCTAAGTTAACATTTGAGATTTGAGGACATGGAAAAACTATAAGAAATTTCTAACAGTATGCTAAAGGTAAAGAAAAAGGAAAAAAAAAAAAGGAACGATTTTCAGGCCTAGTTCATCCAGGTTCATAATCATCAGAGTCTGATGATTAATATAGTATTCCTCAAAGATCCATTAATCTTGCAGTAAACCTATTCTTTTTGGCCTTGTATTACAAACTTTTCATTTGTTTTCAGAAACAACATAGAGGAAAATATTTCTTTTTGCACTTACAGATTGGAGTAGCTCGATGGCAAGGAAAGTTTCGTTGGAGACAATTCAATCCTGAAGGCATAACACTGTAAGCAGACACAAATTTTTGATTGGTAAAAGTGCCATTTCTGATGGATAGAGCAACATCAAGCACTACATTTTCAAATAATTATATCAAAAATAAGTACAAGGCTGATTGTGTAATGCTGAAACAAGAATAATAGAGGTATCAAAAAGACAAGAAGCATCCCCCCGGACTGCAATTTGCAGAAAGTGTATAGAAAGATAGCAACAGTATATTATCTATAGTCGGTATGCTCCTCTGACACTCTAAATTTAAATTTCTCCACAAATGGAAGGAACCAATAAATAGTGCTGCTTGCCTACTACAGATGATGTCAGAAATGATCTGTCGACACAGCAAACGAGCGTAGCTAATTTTGTTTAGATTATTATTACCCCTTTGGATAGACCTGTCTCCTAAGTCCTTGGTTCTCCGAAGCAAACTGAAGGAGCGTTTCAGATTGGAGTTTTAGGCAAAAAATTTCAGGATATTTGGTAGGGATTTAATTTCCATTTGGACTCGTACCATTGTGTTAGTTTGTTCCTCGAATAATTATTATTATCCTTATGAGCTGCAAGCAGTTTAGCGTGATTACTTTAGAGATATATTGTCTTCAGAGGTTTGATAGTTTTGTCATATGATATTCAAAGAAAATGGTATACATTGCTTTGAACCGGTCTAGTTTTAAGTGGAGATGCAACTGCCCTATATTGTTCAATAACGAATACTATATTGCTTCTAATTGTGGTAATACTTACTTGAACAAATTTACATCGACAGTAACACGTGGAGTTACACGCATTCCGTAAATTATCAAATAACCATGTTGTTATTTGTGTAGTTATCACGTAATTACATTTGCAGTTTTCTCGTTCTACTGTGATCATACTAGATCTCGAAAAGCAAGACCATTACACAAGAATCCAGCTGAGGAAAACTGCAACTTAAAACACATGAATCTCAAACAGAATAAATGAGCAAAACAATCATTAATGTTATATCACTATCAACACAATAATTGGATATAAATACGGAGACATATCAACGTATTGAAAAGCTTCGAATTATTGGTTTTGGCAGCCCCAGTGCCCATGTTTGACCATTGAAACGTTTGTGGGAAACCAATACTCAACTCAAGTCAACAAACCTTGATCCCAACGGTTCGGGGGCCAAAACTACTCTAATGAAATAGTGGAATGCTAGTAAATTCTCATTTTATTAGCAGTTTGGAATTTGAGGAGCTCAGGACCTTCAGGTGAAAAAAAATAAGAAGCAGATGGCCCTAAAAGAATTACCTGCTGATTGAACTTTCTATTGTGAAGTTGTTGGCAACCAAATTACTGCATGTCACACCCGAAAAGGATCTCAATGTTAGTTTTACAGTTACTGATTCTACCAGGAGTTATGGCTATGGGACATAAAAAGCAAATTCACCATGTTTTTAGGAAAAAAAACAACATTATTTTTGGAGCAGGCAGGTTAGAGAATAAAACCATAAATGGATGACAAGCAACACTATCAACAATAAGATAGAATTAGAAAATGTAATTCTCATACATCATTTGTAAGTTTTGTTGGTTGATCCAAGAAGGAAAGCTCCCGGATAGTTCATTATATGACAAATCTCTGCAGGCAGAAAACAATGAGGAAGTTGAAGAATATCCATACCGTCCAACTGACAACTATAATAATTAGTCTAAGTTATGCACTGGAAAACTTTAATTCAGTAAAGATTTTGAAATAGTACTATATGGCATTGATCATTAGGAGCCACACTATTATGTATGTGCAACCCTCCTTCATTTGTCCATGTTTCCCCCTTTTTCTTAAATATATTAACAACTCAGAACTCCAAGAGCTCTGAATGGAAGGAACAGCATTGTAACTATCCAAGTTCCAGCTGAGTCTCTTAAGTCATAAAAGGAACTGCCTCATTCATTTTACCTGACAATAACAAATGAGGGGATACACAATGATTTAACTTAACAGGTGCAAATAAAACCACTGGATTACACGCTTAACTTGAAGTAGGCATTATTGTGTCCATGAGAAGATAATCACTAAAGAAACAGGCCTGAGGGTTAAGAGTAGCTTACAGAAGAACTTTAAGGTAAAAAGATTTCTGAAAAACTTGTCAATCACAAGGCAACAGTTGAAATAGAACTATGGAGTTTGAAATGTTTAGTTTTAGTTACACTTAATGTCACATTTGCATTTGTGACTTGTGAGTTTACAACCTAGGGTTTTGGAGAGAGAGACACAGAGAAGGAGGCGGTGAGAGAGAGTGTACCGATCACATCTCCCCAGTCCATATATATGTATGCAGTAATAAAGAAAGACCTATATACCCTTTAAGGGGTATACTTATTACAATAATGGCTTTCTTATATTCTAAAGAAAATGAATATAACACACATAGACACTGGTTTGCGACCGATAAACAGATCAAAAAAAAAAGAAAAGAAAGAGAAGGGAAGGATTTGGTTTTGTGTTTGGATGTTAGGGATACTTTGATATCATGTTAAACAATTATCTACTCCAAAAACTTAAGAGGGTACAACTTAAATATTTATACTTCGGCATGCCTCTCACGTGCGTGTTAGATTTTGGGCCTAGCACATGAATTTTTTTTTTAATAATTAGAATGGCGACGAGATTTGAATACAGAAACTTCTGATACCATGTGAGTTTATAAGGTAGGGTTTTGGAGAGAGAGTCAGAGATAAGGAGGCAGTGAGAGAAAGAGTACCGATCACATCTCCCCACTCCATATATATATATATATATATATGTGCAATAATAAAGAAAAGACCTATATTCTAATTACAATCATGGCATTCCTATATTCTAACAGCATTCAATATACGGGGGCGTTAAACAGTTCACCAAGAGTCATCCAGTCATAACAAATTAATATTCAGTGCAATATCTTCTAGGCATCCTGTAAATCAGATAAAGACCGATATAACTGCTAGGATCCTAATTTCAGCGTGTATGGTCACTCACCAAAGAGATAGAGAAAAGGAAAATTAGAGAACAGGTAAGTCATTACAAACAAAAGTACTTGGCCCAGTTTCAAGTGCACAATAAATACCTAATAGGTCCCTTAAGATAAACTTGTCTTCTGGTATTAAGGGATCTTTAGAGTTTACTATGTATGATAAACCTTGGCTCATAAATCACATTTGGCATGCATGGTTGTCTAACGATTCTAACCACAATATGGCCCCTAGGTAAATCTTAATGACAAAAGGTACTATACATTGTCATTGTATATCATTGATGTCCTGAAAAAGAGCATGCTTGAAGTTCCAACCACAAGATTTGTAAGGTTTTGAGATATAGTCACCATATAAATTAACTATGAAATCATTAAATTATTAAACAAAAACACCATTTTCATAGTTACCCAACAAATACAAACCTGACAACTATAAAAGCTGTACTCACATATTTTGGAGGGATGTACTCTTTCCTGAAGGTAGGGCACCAGTTAACTTATTATTTCCAAGAAACCTGAGGAAGAAGAGAAAAATTCATGCTTCAATAAAATTAAGAGCATATCTTGGGAGCTCTCAAATACAAGTGAGCAGAAAGTGTTATTACAGGTAAGTTAATGAACTCAAATAGAACAACGAGGCTGGAATCTGTCCAGTCAAATTGTTGAAGCTCAAATCCCTGGAAATTATAAAAGACAAGGCTGTATGATACGAGAGAGAAATGTTTACCAATATTAACATCCTCAAAATTAGACATAAAATACGTTTGACTTTATGAAAAGGGCAGGTGAGCAAAATACAGGATGACCTGAACTTATAGGTTAGTGTACAGGCTGAAATGATGCCCAAGAGGCCAGTTTCAGGTTGGATCACACAATAGTAAATCCAAATCAAACTAGCAAATTGGAGCCTCGACCATGTTTCTCCAGGAACATCCACCCCCGACCAGAAGAGAAAGAAAACTTACAGTTGTGACAAACTTTGGAACTCTGCAATAGATGATGGAATAGAACCTGAAATGTTGTTATTCCTCAAAATTCTGCAGAACATGGAACCAATTTGTCATACTAGATTTTTGACACAAGATATGGATTTGGGATCTATAACCATATTGTCTTACAAGATATTCAGAGACTTCATATCCGTAAAAAAATCCAGTGAAGAGCTCCCATCAGGTAAATCACTTATTCTTCTGCAAGTTTTATATACAGGGAAGATTAGCTTCTCTAAATATGAAGAAAAGCAAATAAAAAACTAAAAAAAAAAACAATACTCACAAGTCTGTCATAGAAGTTAAATTGGAAAATGTTGATGGTACGGAACCTTCAAAAGAGTTTCCTTGAAGCCTCCTAAAGAAACACCAAGTTATAGCTGATTATAAAGGATGCAATAGAGTCTTGATACTCAAACCATGCCAAACATTAAACTTTTACGTCTTTTTCATGTTACATTGAGGTTATGGTGTATTTTTTGTGATGCAACAGTGATTGATTTTGAAAAAATATTCTAAAAAAACATAAAGTATTGTCTCACAAAATAGTAAGTTGCGACCAGTTTCCTATGAAGTCAGGTATCCTGCCTGTAAGTTCATTGTCAGATGCCCACCTGAGAACAACAAGAGTTCTTTCTGCTGAATTTGGTCCAGGAAACAAATGATACATTTGTCTTAAAAATATTTCAGACGCAACAAAAAGTATGTCTAGAAGCTCTTACACTATAGTCAGGCTTTGTAGGCTAGCAAATGATAAAGGTATCCCACCACTCACTCCTGAGCTATCAAAGTAGCTGCCAAGGTGGACATTGTTTCATAAAAAGAATGCGGCATTATTGATCCAAAATGACAAATGGCATTTATAAACAAGTGAACCGGACAAGTACAAAGGCATCAAAACAAAAAACCCCTCACACCCTGAGAGGCCAACCAAACAACAAGCATCCCGCTAAAATTAAAAAACCCTCACAGCCCAAGAGGGAGACAACAACTACCAGATGACAAACAATCACAATGGCAACTATTTGATTCACCCCAGATCCCTCCATAGATACAATGCTGAAACTTCAATTGTCCTTAAAGAAAAGTCTCTGCCTATGGAGTGATAAAAATTCAAATTTTCTTTATCGGCCGCAGAGTCGAGGACTTCGGACATGTTACCGCCTTTCTTTTTTTTGCCCACATTACTCATGTGATTCTTGTTTCTTGGTAAAGCCTGTGGAAGAAGAAGAGCAGAAGTTACTGCTTTCTTGGTCTCTATTTCCTTGATACACATAGGCTGTACTTGACTTCTTGTCTTCTCTAACTCCTCTAATCTGCACCATATGTTCTTTAGAATTCTTCCTTAGTTTACTCCACAGGCAGACATTTTTTATTGACTTTTGTCTTACACGAGCTAGGGTAATGCCCAGCAAGTTTTAACAAAAGTTCAAGAGAAAGACAAGAAGGATGACATGGAAAAGGTTAATACGTGTACACACAGACCATCCTGATTTTTCTTGTGGCATGTTCATCTAGTTGAATTGGTTTACAAATAGTGCTATCAATATTGCAACTTTGTTCCTCAGAGAAGGTAAGAATTTTAATTCTTTGAAGAGGATCAATCCAGCATTAAAACCCATCAATATGGGTGGCAAGCAATTATTAGAAAGAGAAATACATGTACAGCAGAGCTTCATATTTAATGACTGTCATTTGTCAATTGTCATGCAAGGAATGGTCCTTAGTTTGACATCCCAAGTTATCTGCAGACTTCCAAGTCCGACATTCGTACAGACTTAAACACAACAGAACTCACCACCCAGTGGTTGTGCAGGAGGATATAATAACAAATATACCAATAAATCAAATCATGGGCTAAAAGGGTAACCAACGGCGTTGCACACTTCATTGGTCTGATTAATTGTGGTGTTTACCAGGGGGAATTAATGACTTCAGCTACAATCCATTTAACAGCACCATACAAAGATCACCTTAATAGGTTACCATTTACTTCCACTGTCTGCTTTGATTTCAAATGTTATCATTGAAAATCATAAATATCCGTGAAGAGAAGTTGTCATATCAACAGAAACTTAACTATGACATCCGTAATGCTTGCAATCCAAGCAGCACCACTTCCCCGACACACCAAAGAGAAAATCCATTTAGACATGTCATTTTTTTGCAGTCTAGGCAAATTTCGTGCTCGACTTATCAATAGTGATACTTCTCAATCATCTATTTGCTCTAATCCTGAGGTATCATTGAAATTGAAATTATTTATTACATTTTCCAGATCCTGGGAAAAGAATTTCCAAATTTCTCCTTGAAATCTGTACTTTCTTTCTCATACAGATGCTTACTCCTCAGCATCTAAAACTCAGGCTAAGCTAGTGTTAAATGCCATTGTGCCCATTGTTGGGGTGTACATACGGAAGGAAAGATTTGTTTTAAGGAGGCACGAATAGGAAAATGAAGGGGTGGGTTCCACAGCTACACAATAAACAGCCTACATGAATCATATCATACAGCAGTTTGAGTTGTAGAGAGCATATGATTTGGTCATTCTATAGTGTGATGCATTACAGTATTTTACTGGTCATTCTGCATGACATATCCCAAATCTGTTCCTATGGTCATAAAAATCAGCCAAAAATGAGCAATAACCTTTTTCCCTGAGAAAATAAAGTAGAAAAGCTGCATTGTACAAAAACTTACAGTTGTTCTAATCTTGTTAAGTTCCCTAGCTCAGATGGCAGAGAGCCGGAGAAGTAGTTTGTGCTAAAAGCCCTGCAATATTTACATGTAACATGTACACTCCAAAAAACAAGACATTTTGCAAGTAATTGACAAGTCTCCACTTGAAAAGACATATTAAGTCAAGAACAACTTACAGTGATCTTAAGTCAGTAAGCTTCCCAAGTTCTTTTGGAAGCTCCCCTGATAATGCATTAATGCCAAAGGTCCTAATGACAGGAAATAAAATATCATACCAATGTCAGTATCCTAAAAAGGGAACAATTTTCATTGTTAATAATCAGTGAGTTTAATTTCAAACCAAGATTGCCTTACAGGTACTGCATCCGAAATAGATTGCCTATGGATGCGGATATTGGACCTGTCAAGTAGTTTTGGGACAATATTCTGCAATATTAGGAAAAAAGAGTCAAGTATTATTCCCAACTAAAAAGAAAGGAGTGAGTGGACACATGTAGCATATGCTAGACTTAAACGATGTTCTGCATCTTTATTTCAATCACTATAATTCAAAGTAGCTTCCAAATAGATGTGACATATTAAGAGGAGATGTACAATTCCTGTAAACTAGTATATCAAGAAGAAACCATACAGATTGATAAGGAAAGTCAAATTCCATAGCTCATCTGGGATTGCACCTACAACATCCAATGAATAAACTTTCCTGCAAAGAAAATTTGAACGCAAGGAAGCAAGCATTTAGTGAATTCAGTCCAATCGCTCAGTAAAACAAATTAGGCTTCTGAACTTCAATTTGATTAAATCTTTTGCTGTTACTTACGCGAAAATTTACAGTTGAGTGACCTAAGAACTTCAAAAGCAACAATAATGTATTCTTGATAAATGTCAAATTAGGATTGAAGTATTGAAATTGAATCACTTCCTACAGGAAAAAAAAAATTTGTTCAAATTTGTGACACAAGTTGAAACTCAGATCACTTACAAAAAGCAGGTCTAGAATGTAACAAGCCATGCACTGATGGTAAGAATAACAAACACACCATAGAATAGAAGAAACCATCAGAGCTGTTTCTTTGATGTTTTAGGGAGTAAATGTTGTATGTTCTAGGCTTGCTTGCTACTCAATACTCATAGTTGAGAGAGATTGTATAACAAGAGCAGAAGAGGAAGAGCATTGAATCTATGACTTACAGTTGTGTAATGTGGCAAGTAGAGTGACTGTTGTAAGTGCAATCACATTTGATACCGGGGTTGAAACTGCTACTATGAATGTCGGTTGAGTCGATGGCAGCTCCGCTGCATGGTTCTCCGCTTATGTTCCATTGATTCGATGCCGAAAGTCCCCATTTTTCTAACATCGCATTCAAAGCCCTCACTGCACATATATCGGTTGAGCTTAATTAGCGATAATTACAATATTTTATTTTAAATAATAATTTAATTTTTTTATTTCAAGTTAATTTAACGACTAATATTAACACTCTAAATTTAATAGGAAAATAGGTCCCCTAAAGGTGTGTTTAAAGTAATTTTTTAAAAATATTTTTACAAATTATTTCTCATAAGTATTTTAAAAAATAATAATAATATTAGAAATCGCTCCACCACTATTTTTACCACCACCATTATCGTCGTCACCATCGTCGCCGCCACCACCACCATCCCCACCGTTGCCCCTGCCCTGCCACTATCACTACCACTACCACCACCGTCGTCGCCACCATAATCATCGTCGCCACTACCACCACCACCACTACCCGCCACCACAACTATCACCCATGATCTCTCACCTCACTACAAAAATGATGTTTAAATTCATTTATCTCTTATTTATATTTGTGATTTAATTTTAGATATAAATATAAATATATTTATTATTTATCATTTTTTATTACTCTATGTCTTCAGGCACAGGTAATTACTAGTATATCTATATAATAAAATAGTTTACAATTCAAATCTCAAAAGATAAACAATAATTTTTGCTATTCGCGGTTGAGATCACTTTAAATTTTATTTTAAAGTTAAAGTAACGACTAATATTAACACCCTAAATTTAATAGGAAAAATAGGCCCTAAAAATGTGTTTGAAGTGACTTTTTAAAAGTACTTTTAGAAATTATGTCTCATAAATACTTTAATAAAAAATAGTGTTTGAAACAGCCCTATCACTACCTCTACCACCACCGCCATTGTTGTTGTCACCACTACTACCACTACCACTACCACCGCCACCACCGTAACTGCCGCCATCACCACTGCCACGCTCATCACCGCTGCCGCCGTCACCACGGACATTGCTACCCACCACAACCATCACAGTCTCCTATCACCACCACCACCACTGTCACCCACCACCTCTCACCCCCACTACAAATCGATGTTTAAATTATTTTATCTCTTTTCTATATTGGTAATTTGATTTTGGATATAAATACAAATATGTTTATTGATTATCATTTTTTTATTAGTTTGTGCCTTCAGACACAGGCAACAACTAGTATATATATATATATATATATATATATATATATATATATATATATATATATATATATATATATGACCATCCAAGGTTCTTATTTACCTTTTCTAAGCCAAGCCATGTAACCTCGAGCACTCGAAGATCAATTGAAGATGGCTTTTTCTTAGTTTTCTTGGCTATCTTGTAGAGTGCGTAATTGATTAATTCTTCTAGGTGCATGCAATCTTTTCGTTTTACATACACCGAGTCATAATGAGAATAAATATTAGAAGATGAAAATGGAGAGAAAAACTTGAACTCAACACTTACTATTTTTTGGAAGCAAAGTTTTAGCTAATTTCTTTATGCAGTTGTTGGATTGGAATCAAATCTAGATCAAACTCAATTTCTACTAATTTAAACTGCTATCCTATGTTCTTTTGCCAACATGACTGATTGAATGTTATGGAATAACTACCAAAAAAATAAAAAATAACGAAGCACTAGAAGTAATGAAACTGTCGTTCTCTAAGCTGTGTTCACACAGTACAGGCCAAAGTATAGCGTATAGCGTGTCTATGTGTTTAGGCTAAGGGGTTCCCAAATATCTCCTGAAACTTGGAAGCTTTATCTAAGGGATGAAAGAAAGAGATCTCCTAGCTACCTACATAACAGCAACTTCCCAAACATTGAGAAAGTGCGTTGTTAGTTTATAGAAAAAGTATGAAACTCTGAGAGAGAGAGAGAGATGCATGCACCTTCGGAAGGATCTGTTGTTGCATTTGTTTGGGGTTGAGTCCGTGCCACCTGAACAAAGCGAAAGATGAACAACGAGAGGAACAGCGATAATGATCCCGCTCCTGCCTTGATCCGTTTCATCTTCCTTGTGAGTTTGATAGAGAGAGAGAAAGAGAAATAGAGAGTTGCAGGATTAATGGACGGACAGTGGAGAGCTTTAGCAAATTAGTTAAAATTGAATGTAACATCTCAGACTTGTTCCGAATATTTAAATCTCACAGTAAAGTCTGCCTTTAATTTGTTATCTGACCTCACTTATGACAAGTACTTAAATACATAATAATCATGCAAGTAGGGTTTGGAAAGCCATGCTCCTCACGCCTCGGCTATCAACCCACAACAGGATTGAAAGACAGTTTATTATGCCAACTTCATTTCCTAGACTTCAATTATCTCACAACATCCAAGTAGGAGGAGAGATATATGTATTATAGTTTTTAAAATAAGTCAACTCAAGCCCGGTTTAGATTTTTCTCTCTCTCTCTCTATATATATATAATATCGATGTTCATTTCTTCAATTTTAAAGACATTATTCATCTGCTCGTCATCCATCTCACTATTCTATTGGGTTCAGTTGCATCATGGAAGAATAAATCAACGGTTATTTTTATGGAATAAGATCTCCTCTAAATATATAAATTTTTTAATTTGTTTGTGGTAATTATTTACTATATATTCTAATGAGATCTATTATATTTAAGTGAATCGTTGACTTATTCATGATAAATAATATGTAAAAAAATAGATTAAAAAAAAAAATCAAGATCCTATTTTACTTAACCGTTGGGCTTATATTGGGTATAGCAGCGATACAAGAGAGAATGGCAGGTGAGTCTCCCGATGGTGACCGGGCATGCCTTGTTATTGCTGTCGCTAGGATGGGCATGCCAAAATTCTTCGATGATGTATTGGGTGAGTGCCCAAATTCAATAACCAACAAGCCACTGGGCATAGTAAATGGGCTTTCTTGTCTAACTGCAACTGGGTTCAAAGTCCATTCTCTTCCCTTTTATTTTTGGTGGTGAAGGAGTCCCGATTGTTTGGCCAGTTTTTTTTATTTTTATTTTTTAAAAACTAAGAACAAAAATTAGGCAGATTTAGAAAACAAGTTAGAAATGTTTTGTGTGTTTTTAAAAATAATCTTTCTAGAATATAAAAAAAAACAACCACCACCACCACCACCACCACCCACCAACCACACTTTCACCACCACACTCCCGCCACCAACCACCCTTCCACACCACCAAACCAACACAAGTTGTGCAGCAAAAAAAAAAACTAAAAACAGTTTTTTATGACTCTTTCCAATTTTTTGAGATGTAAATTAAACATGGTCAGTTTTCCATTAGTCTCTCTCTCTGGTCCACAAGAATACCCCAAGGGAGACTCGTTGAGGTGGGCCCAAAACCACAAATTCAAAAGCTAAAGGTTCAATCTAAGAATATAGCCAAACATTAGATTGGAATTCAAAGGTTTGCACACTGGAATATTTCAGGCACAGGACTATTCAAAAGTTAAAAGGCATCTCCGCACATAGGGTGGCCCTCCTTTTCCTAAAGTGGTGCCTTTCTACATCTTCTTTAAGCTTTGGGCTTGATGACTATAAACACATTTGGATCATGTGGCTGACAAGACCAATACAATCGAAGTTAACTAACAGGGCCCTACACATATACATCGGTAGGATTAGGGGGTCATGGGTCCAACTTCCCATCTTACAATACATCAACCAAATCTGGCCATACAAATCAAATAAATTTTTATTAACATAAATATTGACACAAACACTATACAAGTAGAATATAATCAGATTCAAACGACTGTAATATGCGATAACAGAAGAACAAAGAACAAAGATGCAAAAGAATCACACACAATATGTCAATTACATCTATTCTCACGAAAAAAATCTAAGATCGAGAAAAAATCAAAACCATACTACATCCATTACAAAACAAGGTGAATATAGAGGTAATTCAGAAAAAGTTGCACTATTCTTAAATATGTAGACCACAAACGATGGTAACAGAGTTAAAATGACACCTTGTTATCAAAGCTAGGAAATTAGAACCCAGTGTCCAATATTATCAAACAACATATAATTTTACAATGACACGATACATGACACAATTCAATTTGATTGACATCTCTATTTGAAGATTGTATGTTAATCATGTTATGACAATTTTATCTCGTTTGTCTTCAAATAGAAATTTCTTTCACAAATTCCTCTAGTCAATACTCACATTTAAGTCATCCCTAGAAAAACTTGTGATAACAGCTATTTTCTAGACAAAGCATAATTACTTTGCAGATACTCAAAATATTATTGTGATTGTAATAGCATCTAGGTTGAGGTTGGTGATCATTTGAATGTTCAACTCTCTCTAAATTATACTAGGGTCTAATCAAACAGAAGCGCTTTGAAATGAGAGAATATTTGGATGATAGTGTAGACGAAACTCGTGAATGACATTATTCTTCTCTAGTCGTCTAAAAATAAAATACATCTTATTTATTTAAACATGATGTTCAGTCAATACTTCGTTTAATTAATGTCTTATAGAGTTGTTTTGGCAAATTAGTTTTTTCAATGGGGTTGCTTAAGGTGATTGGTCAACTGAACTGACAGACACTTAGTACTTTCTCGGCAAAGATGGAGAAGAAGAAAATTGTATTTGACGAACACAGTGTTTGACCATTTGTATGTATGTATGTATGTATTATCAAATTCAACTTGCATGCTATCAACACGGTAGCAGTGCATCCATATGATCAATATCTGTCATAGAACCTTCCTTGTAAGTGATGTTGCTTAGTTACATTGGACATTGGATAGTTAATTATCATTATTGTTGAGATAGGTTGTAAATTGGTGGAGTTTTACGCACAAAAGAGACTCTGTTAAAATTGGTCTTCTGAGGTTAAGGCCTTTAAGTTAATTAATAAGGTTTAATGAAAGGTAATTGAATTAATAGTAATATACAGGATTTTAGGGCGTCATACTATGGATGTACTGAGACCCTACAAGAGTTACAGTACAAATCCAAGAGTCTTCTAGTCAAGCTATCCACGCTTTAGTCTTAGGAAGGATTTTGAAGAGTGGTTGTTTATAGCCATATATGCAAGCCCTAATCCTGCTTTTATGGGAAAGCATGAGCAACATAGGGGACAACTTAGCTGTACAGGGAAGTAGATGTATAAGAGTCCCATAGAACCTGAGCAAATGTTGTCTTGTGGACCTCGATTGTAGTGGACCAAAACTTACCTGGACTAGCAAAAGAAGAGGCCAAGCAAAGACACTGGAGAGACTGGACAGAGCAATTGCTAATGCAGAGTGGGTGGCACAATTTCCAGAAGCCTATGCAAGGAATCTACCACGCACCCAATCCAATCCAAGTTAAAGATAATCCTCTAACTACTACCGTTAATAAACCTTTTAGGTTGACAAAGAAATGACTTGTACTTATTTGGGCATGTAATCTTGAAACTCAAAAGACTTTACATGTTGGCTTATAGACTATATTCCATTGTAATTTGCGTATGTACGACGGAGGCCTTATACATTGATTTGCTATTGTCTCGATGTTTCAGGATAAAATCTACCTCAAGAAAGAGGACTGTAAGGAGATTTTTTTTTTGATAAATTAACCACATAATAATACCATTTTTCTTTTGAGCAAAAAAGCTTGAAGGAGAGAGAGAGAGAGAGAGAGAGAGTTGATTGAGAATTTTCATGGGTAAAAGTTGAGACAAGGTTACAGAGGCAGCGAACGAAGACCCCAAGAGGCAACTTGCAAGAGAAGTTGTGCAGTTGTTATCAAGGATAACCCTACTCTGTTTCTTAGTCACCGCTCTATTGCACAAGGGAACACGCACCCGTGACTCCAAAGACATGACCAACCGACAAGAGGGGACCGTCTTTTAGCCCTCTCCACCAATTTTGTCATGACCAAATCACCTCCCAACCCCACTCTCCTCTACATGTTTGGTTGCATATATAATTCCCAAATCTGTAGCCATTATATTTACTTTTGCCCAATCAAAGCTAGTCTAAGTCTCCGTGTCAAAATGACCAAAGTCTAATAAGACGATTCATCCTCACATTTGATTGGTGTTTTGTCATCCAAAGATGAATAAGATTCTTTATTAATCATATCGACTACTATAGTGACTTTACACAAAATATGGAGGGACCCACCCCTCTTTAAAATTGCCATAATTATAAATTTACTAAATGACATCTCAAAAAAGTCTCTGTCTAACCTAACCTCCTAGAGAATTGTTGAAGAAATGTACTCACATCACATGGCTGCAGAATTCCTCACAGTTTTGCTTCTATTAAGTCCACACATAAAGTTAAATAACCTAACATTCCAAGGACAGGACTATTCGTATACATCCATGATCCAACCTAACACACCCACTTCAACTGTCAATTTATCATCATCTCAATGCTCAAAATATTTCATCCTCAAGTTTTAGCCGTCTGCCAATACCCGCTCGCTCGGTCTTCACTCAGAAGGTCAAATAAGTAGATATTATTATTATGCATTTGCTCCCAAAATATTGAAAAGAGAAAATAATTCAAACTTCTTCGCTCAAGGCTTCACAGTTACGATAGCTCGGTTGAGTTAAACTTACTCTTTTACATTCAGAGGATACAATAAGATCTTAACTTCGATACTAATATAAGTGCGATGACATCTACTTCAAATAACTGTATGATACTAATAAATAAAATCTCTTAACAGATATTTAAAGTGAACTATCTGTATATCTAACACATTCATATTATTATTCGATTCTTGAAAAATCAAAGACAACAAAAGCAGGAGGACCATGGCCAAATTTAAAGGAAGACATGGATGGAGCACCACCACGTGGTGTACATAGTCAAGCAGGCTACAAAAGAAGTTGGTGTAATCAATACAGTACAGTAGCGTTCTTTGACAAAGAGGACCAAACCACAAAGCCTTTCCGTGGGGAGAGGGCTTTGTACGGTTTGGACCACCAACTTTTCTCTCTAGTATTTATGTTGGATGACGGGTCTTTGTGTTTTTTTTTTTTTTTGAACAGGTGTAACCTTTTTTTTTAAAATGTATAATTTTATTATTAACAATAATAATTTTGAAGTAAGAAGTTGGTTTGTATTTGAATTATTGAGACAGTTTGAAGAAACATTTTATCACTAGAATATAAAAAACTTATCCAAATGTACGTACAATTTACTTTAGATAAATAAATAGACAATGTTGATAATACAAAAACCATTCAAACGTTTTAGAGTGATGTTATTGTGGCAGTAAAACATCTTTAATACTTCACTTTTGTGTTTTTGTTAGAGGATCCCAACTCTTATGTAAATCTTATATTTATATTTAAATAAAACACAAGTTTTGCTCCTTTACTCAATAAAATGGAGGAAAAAATGTGGGATGGAAGGGATAAATACAATGTATGTGTATTGGCACATTTAGCCTTGAGAGCTAGTAGAAGGGAGGGACAAATACAAAGTATGCTCTAATACTATATATATATATATATATTTAAATCTAAATTGTTGAAATAAAATATAATAAATTTAAATCTTACATTGAATAATGAATCAAAAATATTAATTTATTATATGTAATCAATTAAATTTAAATGAAGAGCAAATTTGAATAAAAAATTATTATGTAAATCAAAAAAAAGATGGAAGATGGGAAAAATTTTCAATATAAACATGATATCATATTAGTATTAATGACATGATAAACAGTAGGTAGTTATTGAATCACATGAACAAATAATTTTTAATTTGTGTGGAATCTATTTTTTTATTTATTTATATATTATTAATTGATAATAATATGTGACAATATTAACGCATATTAATGTGGACGTGATATAAACTTTATAATGAATATTTTTTCTTAAGGATGAGCCACCGAAGGCGTTAGGTAAATGCATGCATGCGGTGGAAGCTTATAAAAGAGAGATGGAAAAAATTCTAGAAAGAGGCAGTCTCATTGAGGTCAGTCGCAGTCCTCGTTGGCCCCACGTGACCCTACCACCGACCCCGCACCTCATGGAATTCCTTGTCATGCCCATCCCTCTCTCTCTCTCTCACTCTTTGGTTTTCTATTATTTAGTTTGAAATTAGAATTCAGCGGGAAGCCGGTGGTTGGCGTGTACGACTTAACCGTACGGCAACATACGGAAACGCCCCGGCGCTGACGATTCTTTGATAGAAGGTCCCTCGTCATTTTCGCGGGGCCCACCATTACAGCTTGCCGTACATCACATCAATGAGCAAATCGGTGGAAAAAATATCACTGCTTGGGGAAGAAAATATAAAGGCACCACCATGAGAGACTCAGTGTCATGCGCTGTTTATAATCTAATAAAAAATTATCACAACTATTTCTTTTAAAATTAATTTGTTCAAAAAGTTTATTATAAGTAATAATAATTAATTAAGAATGTATAATATTTTATGAATAATATACACTACATGACACTTTCACGTAGATAAATACTTAATATTTTCTCCTATTACGTGCATCAATATTTATTTATTTTTTTATTCAATTGTAGAGGAATATTAGGATTTTTCGATCATTCTAAAGCGTTAATTCATACTAATCCTAATATATTTACTAGATCATACTAATCCTAATATATTTACTAGATTCATTAAGGCTGTGATAGCCACGACAGATATTATTAAAAACCACAACCATCATCATACATGAGAAATTATTATAAATAAAACCAATTTTCACACCTGTGCGGTGGGTGCAAGAGTCTAATTAATTTTGCGGATGCCAAAGAGAGGAAGAAGTTTATCAAACTGTAGCTAGACTCAGCACATGGCATAAGAGACGAATCTGCGCTGCACTCTTTGAAGCCTTGTATGGGCTGCATTCATAGTGTCAGCCCCTCCTTATTCAATGCTTCTTCTCTTACCTCTTTAGCCTTCTTTGAGCTATATATATATATATATATAATGATTATTGAAAGGTAGTGAACATTTAAAACTCTCTCATGCCTGCTCATTGCAGTCCAATCTTTGCCCAAACACAGTGATCAAGAGAGATAAGTTTTATAGTACCAAAAAAAATTATGTTGAATGATGGCCAGCCCAGCGGCATGACCACTAATGTTAAAGCCCGAAAAAGGAATTACAAAAAATGGGAACATGCATGCTCATATTATCAACTGCCAAAATCATTTCATCCATCTTCAATATAAGCCAAATATGGCTACTAGTAGTAGGCAACTTGCCAAATTTGCAAAGCTTGTGCTTGAGAAATTTTTTCATTTTCTATGTACTTACGTTTGTTATATAGTTAAGGTAGTTGATATGATTAAAAATTACCATAAACAAAATATTATATTATACGCCACTTTTATCATTGTGAAACTTAACCAATATCATAAGATCTATGCAGTAGTAATACTTATTTCTAAAGTGATTATTTTCATTATATATTCTTAAAAAGGCGTCGAGTATCTATTTAAACTTCCACTGATAATATAAGTTTTGTGAATTTTTATATGCGAACGTGTGTTTAAATAGTTAAGGGGATGAATTTGATGATCCTAGTATATGCAATTTCACCCTTCGAATTTGGTGGCCTGACCTTGTTCGTCTGACTCGCTGCCGACAACAGTGGACCACAACCCGTCACACAGCACCGAGGGTGGGGTGGGGTGGGGTGGGGTGGCTATCCTATATGTCATGGTCCATAGTGATAGTATGCCCAAGTGGCATTTCAGAAGGCTCGTGCTAGCCATAAAGTAGTCTAAGTGCCATCTCCAAAATATATAATCCCAACCCCATCTTCCAAGAACACCCACAATTAGCAAGTGGCATCTGGGGGAGTCCAATCCTAGTAATCCGGACCTTTAAAAAAAAAATTATATAATAAATGGTTTTAAAATTTGTATCTTGAATCAATTTATCAAACAATTTATATTCATTTGAATAAAAAATTCAGGATATCCTTTGCATTACTCTTTTCATTGTTGTGAATCACAAGTTTGATTTTATTTATTTGAATTAGACCTAACTCCCAGCTTATGGACCTACCATTCCAACTCCAAACCTTTAACAAGGTTAAAAACTCTAATCTCTCTTCTTTTTTTTTTTCTTTTTTTTAAAGAGAGAACTTAATCTCTTGATTTTAAGAAGGCGAATTTTCATGAGATAAGAAATACTATTAAACTAAAAGGTCTGTTAGTTAAAAAATCCAATCTTTTTGTTAGAAGAAGAAACACTAAATGTACAACATGTTTTATCATCTATGCATAGTAAAAGGTTGACTTCATAATTCTCCATAAACAAAACAAGGTTAATGTAGTTATTAAATTAGTTGATAATTTTAATATTAAATGAAACTCATTTTTAATGTATAATAGTTATGTAAAATTAAATTATCATTATTAATTTTATTAAAATTCAAAAAAAAGGACAATAAGTAGGACAGTGGGGGACTCAAGCAGAAAGTAGCTTTATTGGATTCGGGCAGACTACGGAATCCCCTTGAGGCCGAAAAAGAAGAAACAAGAAAGATGATTGCTTTTCCTATTCATTGCCAAGAAATGTTCAAAACGCAATTCTCAACTCAACTCTCACCTCACTACCAAACATTGTCACGCAACGGGACACGTAGAGGAAATCTGCGGCGCGTTTCATGGTTTCGCGGAGATGAGCGTGATAAAACTGATAGGAAAAAATAAAGCCAAAAGTGGCACGTAGACAAAGGCGTTAAAGGGAGTTAAAGGAGCATCCACCATCACGGAAATTGTACTGCAACGGACTACCGAAAAACACAAAGAGACATGACAAAGAGAGATGCAGGAAACAAAGAGTGACTCAACCGGCAATCACGCCTCCAACGTTTTCCGCACTCGTCCGTTTCTCTCTCCTTACCTTCTGTTTAAAAATAAGAGAAATGCTAATTAGGGATTTGTTGGGATAAAATTCATTTGTCAAAATGTGAGACTTTGATCTTCTAAGTTGATCCATGATGATTTTTTCTTCAAAATTCTATTTTTTGGAAAATCATTTATTTAATGGCTTTGATGGTTTAAATTTTCTTTTTTAAATAAGCTCATCTTTTTTTTTTTATTCTTAACTATACCTCAACTATAATGTAGCATTGAATATAGAATAATAATAATATTAAGGCATACCAATTTGGATGTTACTCTATTATAACAGTATAACATAATTTATTACGTTTTAAATCTTAGTTGTATCCCCATTCTAGGCTAGATTGATTAGATACTCATTAGTCATACCCTCCTCTTTACAATGGTGGGCAAGTTAAGGCCGAATGTGCGTGCTGTGTTTCATTCAAATTTGGAAGCAATAGAGTAATTTAGGGGATCTAATGTGATTTGTTAGCTATAATGTGGGGTAAAATGCAGGGTTAAAGGAGCATTAATTATAGCCGTTAATTGCCATTCTTTGTCTAATCCAATCCAGTTGTCGGATATGGATATGAATTGCAAATTCAACATCAAAACGCAACTACAAATTCATTACTTTTTTAGTCTAACAATCCAAATTCTAGTGGATAACTAAGTATATGTGTGGGCCCGGGTTCAAGAATTGACTCCTCCTTAGTGAATGAATACAGACAATAAATAAATTTATTTAAACATCAACTAGAGTAAGGTAGCAAAGAAATTGGCAATTAATTTTTTTAACAAATGGTTTAATGTTTTGGTGATATGAATATAGACAAGCATACCTTGTTTGGAGGATCGGCTTTGAGGGATAACCAAAGTTGACTAGGGTGGGTGCTGCCCAACCTTGACTCACTACAAGCTGCAAAACTATGGAACTTACTTGTACAGAAGTTTGCCCATGGCATATTCTCAAGCATCATCTTCCGATACATCCAAAGTTTGAATATTATGATTAACAATTATAATAATTGATGTCTAAATTTGTCAAGTTTATACTATGTTTTATTCAACTTACATTCAATCTATTTCTAATCGTGCCTAGTGTTGTTTTGATTTATTTTCTATAAAACTTAGTTTCATATTAAACTATGTTTGTATGAACAAATATATTAAAAGGATTTGAGGGACAATTCTATTTGTTTAACATGTAAAATTAAGCTAAAACACATTAATTTTATGTTATTGTCGTACTATTTTTGAAGTATTAGATTAATTACACTAACGATAATTTGATTGGTCCAAATCGGAGCTAGGTTCTGGACTTATACTAGGTCCAAACTTTTGTTTTAAAATGAATGATGTCACAGTCTCTCTCTCTCTCTCAAAGAACAATTATATATATGAATGAATTGGGCTTAAATGTTAAAAGTAACAGTAATACTATGTAATTTTGATTAAATTTTAAGATCAAATTTAAAGTTTAAATAATATGACAAATAATTTAGATTTTTTTATTTAATTTTAAATTTAATCTCAAAATTTGATTAAAATTGCGTTACTCTAAAAATAATAAATAGTGTAGAATAAGAACAATGAAATGTACCTGCAAAGTACGCCTTTTTACCTGTACCTCTCAACTATCTCCAATTACCATTCTTAAATCCGCTCTTCCCCTCGCTATATTTATACCCCCCCACAACCCCCACTTCTCTGCCTCTCTCTCTACTCCGCACACAAACGCACAAGCACACACTCTCTCTCTCTCTGTACCCCATCCCTCGTTCTCTTTTTCTCTCCGGTCTCCAAAGCCACAGTCGTCCTCCTCTGTAAAGTTTTCTCTGTATCTATAATCTACAGAGAACCAAAATCAGCGATGAAGAAGCTTATTCGAAGGCTCTCGCGTGTGTCCGACTCCTCACAGTACTGTCTTCTCCGATCCGAGCCACGATCATCGTCGACTACTCGTCAACGTCGGTCCGAATCGTTCCGTGCATCCATCTCGACGTCTCGCCTCTCCGGCGGCGTTCCGGAGGGACACCTACCGGTGTATGTCGGCGAGGAAATGGAAAGGTTTGTAGTGAGCGCTGAGCTCCTTCACCACCCGATCTTCATGGAGCTGCTCAACAAATCCGCTCAAGAGTACGGTTATGAGCAAAAAGGCGTGCTTCGCATCCCATGCCGTGTCCTCGTCTTCGAGCGCGTTCTGGAAGCTTTACGAGTCGGAGATGATGCCTCAAGTGACGTACAAGATCTTCTGAATTCCTTGTCCCATGACTTTCTCTAGGCTTTTTTCGAATCCAAATTCCTTTTGTTCTTATCTCAATACTTTTAATGGCGAGATTTGGTCATCAGGGATATAGATCTTGATCGTACATTTAGTTCGCTCCTTTTTTTTTTTTTTGTATGTATATATTTTGCTATGATCATCAAAGTGAGATAGGGTAAAGTTAGGGTTTCGGCGACGGTGTGTTTGTCATGGTGTGGAGGGGAGATGAATCGTGATATGTATGTACTCTTGTCGTCACTGAAACAGAAATGAAATGCCAGATTACTTGCTTTTTTTGCCCAAATTTTATTTTCATTTTCATTTACACTTGGTAGGTATTAGAAAATCTGAGATTTCATTTTTACTTTTCCCTGTGACCAAGCAGAGCCTGAATGGTTGTACTTGTGCCAGAACTAATTAATGGTTTTCTGAGGAAATATCGCCGGCGAGTCTGGCTTGAGATTGGTTGTATGTAAGACAAATGGACATGAAGTTGGTTGAATTTACGGAAATGGTACTTTGGATACTTGTCTTTGTTTTTATTTTTAAATAGGTGATCCGTACATTGAAATTCGTAAGTAGTAGTCAGTAGTACTGTATAGTTTAATTAGTAGGAACCGGTAAAAGGAGCGGAGGACTCTGGTGGTTGAATTAGTGGACTTCCTATCACCGTCGAATATTTAATGCATAGGATTTTCATATATTGTATTATATATTATTTAATAAATAAATTTAAACTGCTCAATTTTTCATAATATCCGTGATTTCCAGTCGTACTTTGCGGCTTCTAAAAATGACGTTGTTTTTCTATATAGCTTGAATGAATGAAGAGACAAAAGAAAATTAAAGTTATTATAAAATTTTTTTTTTTTTTTGATAATAGAACAATCAAACACTACAACTTAAAAGTATTAGTGAGTGGGGACCTTTATAACACACACATACACTAAGGTTATCCGATATGAAATAATATTACTTATTATTTGTTTATAAAGAACTACTAGTAAATAATAATAATAAAAATACATTAATGGCTTTTCCAATTTACTAATTATTTAAGCCTGTCTGTCTAGCGAAATCATTCTATTCATCGTATCATGCATGCGTAAGTAAGAGGGAAAGCCACCTTAAACCAACAATGTGGATGTGTTTCATTGGTTGCTTTTTGGCTTAAACATCTCCCAACTTTATTTAATTAGTATATGACTAGTGGGACAAACAACATTATTTCTTATTCTATTGTACAAGGCAGGGCAGGCCGAGGCAGTTGCATTGCATTCCATGTGGCATTGTCATTAACTAAATATTTGCGTCATACAAAAAGTTTCTGGTTTCATTATTGTTGTGGCTGCACATATACTTGCTAAATTTTTCCATGCCCCTTTTGGGTGTTAAAGTTTGGGTTTCAACTTGTGATGGAATCACTATGCATATGGAATGTTTGAAATGTGTGGTAATATTATAGCAGTTTTATTTATTGATTTAATTTATTATGATCTTTGAATCAGTTGTGAGTCCCTTAACCTTAAAATTTGTGGATGATCTAATGGTTCTACTAAAATCATATCAATAAATTAAGTTAGATTTTTAGCTTCCAATAATGTTTCTCTTGAAATGTGTAATTGTTGGTGTTAGAGGATCGTCTCTTGCTAGCCCTCCGCCAAGTTCCTTGATCAACCACAGTTTTAATCCCAAAGAGTAGTCTAAATGGTAATAAAAATAAGTTATAAATTTAGACGTTCTAAATCCGAATTTTGACAACTTATTGGGACAAAGTCACAAGTGATTTATCTCTCATGAATGTCTTAGTCCTATCATTGATGTTGATGGTCTCTCTTTGATTGGATCAAAAAATAGATTAGTCAAAATACGCATAAATTGATCTAAACACCCCTAATTGTTGAACCTAAAAAAAAAAAATCAACCATGTTTTAGATTTACCAATAAAAGAGGAGCTGAGGGCGGCTTTTAACAACACTCTCCATTAATTTGTAAACTAAGTATCTTTCAACAACTATATCCTTGACCGTTTACTTAACGTTATTGTAGTGACCAATTCTAGCCTTTGCTTTTCATGTATACGTATTTTTGAAAGTAAAATTACCAAATTCTCTAAAACCTTAAGCAACGTTTCTTAAAGTATAAATTATCAAATACCTCAGATTAAACCAAATATATATATATATATATATGATAGTTTATGGATTAACAGAATATATAGCTCTTGATAGAGCGTAATGAAAAAATAAGATTTATGTAGTCGACCTCAAATATTTGGAATTAAGATTTTATTGAGTTGAGTATACATATAGAATTTATTTGAGAAAATATAAATTAAGGTTGTTTGAATGAGGATAAAATACTTGTGGGAGTAGGTTTAGGTTAAAGGGTCTCAAACAAGGGACCCTTGGACATCAAGTAGTGGGAGAATCGTCCTTATCTGTGGCCTGCTTCTTGGCTTGATGACCCCACGCCAGACTAGTGCGTGCAGTGTGCTACTTTCTCACAAAACAACACCTTATCATCATCGCTTTAATCGCTTGATTAATGAGATAATCAGCTGACAAAAATCAAAAATAAATAAATAAAAGAAAAAAGAAAGATTCCACCGAATAAACACGATATCAGAAAAAAGACACTTTGAATCGACAATAGACAATGAATTTTTGGCTCTATTATCCAAAAATGATTTTTTTTTTTTCTTCATTCTACAACTTTTTTGTCGCTAATGATGAGAATGAAATCACAATAACCCGACTTTAAAAGTTAAAAAATGAAAAGACAGACAAATTCCGCCCACTAAACACTATAAAAAAAAAACACCTTTAATCGACACTAGGCAATGAATGTTTGGCTCTATTATCAAAAAAATGAGATTTTTTTTCTTCATTCAGTAACTTTTTTCTCGCTAATAGTACGAATGAAGAAAAACACATAAATCGACTAATAGAATCCCAATAACCCGACTTTAAACGTTATTTGGTAATCAATTCAATCTTGTGACTTAACCTTGCTTGACTAAATTAGGATGGATCATGTTCTTGCGTTTGACTCAAATTGCTTGAAGTTCTAATGGACTGTTCTTTTTAATACTTGGAACTAAAATGTAGAAAGTTAGGAGGCATAAGAGTCTTTCACCTTGGAATATTAAAAAACACAACCGCATAAACAAATGGTCTGCAGTGTAACATTATCTTGATAACACCTTCCGAAAAAAAACATTATCTTAATACTAACTGCAGAGGTATCAAGCTATATATATATAAATCTAATTTGGATTGCGATAAACTTTGAATGAAGTGACAAATTAATTGACGTAGTTCTTTGTCACTATGTTTGTTTTTGTTGTTGTATCAATAGGCACAATTTTGTTTCTATCCATCCCAAATTATTAAGTTTTTGTGTCTAATATACAGAATATGGATTATATTTGCTGGACGGATCGATCGATCTTGAGAGGTAATAGCTGTTTAGAAGATTGGGTTCATGAATGTTTGTTAAATTTTGCCTATTTAACTGCCTACTTTTGAGTTGATTCCTTTAATAAGATGGTACAGCTGCCCAGAATCTTCTTCAAATCATGTTGCAACCATAATATAGATATTCCAGCAATATGAAACTAAGCTGTTTACAGGTTATCATGAAGGAAGGAAGGAGAGAAAAATAAAATACATTAGTGAGAACTGACGAACCATGAAGTGGGGGTTTAGTAAGTAAACCGTGGAATGTATATAGTTAAGACTTACACGTAAGACGCGTTGTTGTTACGTTGTTGATTGGGTCATGTGAATTGAGGGACTTCCATTGATGCAGTAGGCACATGCTACCTCGGAATATTACAAAGAAGGAGAATCCTCTCGTCTGTCTTAGTGATAATCTGATCAGAAAAATAATATATATAATCTCAGTTTATGAGTCTTTGTAATTGTTTGATTATTTTGAAGAGGCCAAGGTATTTTTGCTGTGCTGGTAAATGATTCTCTGAATGGAAAACGATAGAAAGATCCGAGAAAGAAGGGGCCAGCCGTACACATGTGATATGATTCACATGCTCATCATCACCATTCTTATATAAGATCTCATTCTCACCTCGATGTGATCTTCTGTTGTAAGTGTCCCAACAACTGTACTTACGTACTTGTATAAACTACTCTATTTTCTGGTCAAAACTTTTGCAGCAGCCTGGTTTCAAGTTTCAGCACAGCATGCTACAAGATCAAGATGGGTTATCTAAAATTTAATCACAATTAGTGTGGCGGTTGAGATGAATATGAATATACAACTTGTCTAGGCCTGTCAGATCAGAACAATTCGTCCACACAATTTGTGGGCGGGGGAGGTGCACGCAGCATTGCACCCAAACAACGGATGTGGCTAGGGGTGTCGGAAGGGCCGGACCTGGCTAGGCATTTTCAGATCAGGCCTAGATAAGATAGGCCCAAACCCTAACTCATGAGAGTTTTTGGGCGGCGGCCTTGTTTTGGAAATCATAGGTTATCTACGGCCCAAGGCCATCACTCAGTATTGCCAATTAGGAAGTCAGACTATGGTACCAACAAAAAAATTCGGTATCATAAAAACAAATTTCACAATTTTTATAGGTTGAGATACAAGTTTTCAAGTTTATTTACGGTAAAAAAAAATTATAAATTTTGAGGTGATATTATAATTTTTATTTATGGTTCAAATTATAATTTTTTTAAATCCTTTAGAGGTGATTTAGGATCAATCGTGAAAGGCAGAGAGGCATCTGCTTTTACAATTACCATCCTGTACGGTAACCTCTTGCTTTGACTGTTGTAGTATGTATTTAGATAGATGACCAGTAAGAGGAGAGGGTGGATTTCATACTTTGGCTTGTTAAGACAAGCTTCTAATTATTCAGCACCTTCCGGATTGTAAAAATCTAGGGTGGGGGTGGAGTCTCTCCTGTCAATCGAGTAAAAACTATGCACAACCTTCGACAGCAACATCAATCATCAATTTCAACTAAAAAACAAATAAGTTAAGGACCAAATTAACATAAACCAAATACCCAAGACATTATAAAACCATTAGACACAGATTCCAAAAATTTTGCCAAGACCCAACCAACATTTCAATAAAAATAGTCCAACAAAATTTCATATTTACTGCTCTTGAGCTACCTTGATTTCTTCCTTTTGCTTCTTATATTGTTCATATAATTGTAAAGACAGTTTTGTTCTATCTAACTCGCCCCTTAATCTCTCATTTTCTGACATGTCACGAAGCAGAAAGAAATGCTCAGAAAGTTTCTTCCTGACCTCGTTTTCATCAGTCTGACTTGTCGTATCAAGACTTGACTCAACACAGGCTGAAACGGAAGTAGACCCACTTATTCTTTTCCGCTTAATACTTGATCTCCTGTTTTCAAAGCTTGGGTTGAATGCCTCCTGTTCCAGTGACAACTCCACAAAAGCTTGTTGAGGAGAGGCATTGTAATGAAGGGCCTGGTTATGTGCAGCGGTCATGGTTGAAATGCTCGAGGCCATTGTAGAAATGGTCGGATGATAATGTCTTGCCAGAAGGTTCAGCTCCCAAAGGACAGAAGCAAGTGCACCACTGAGGTGTGGATCCGAAGCATATGGCTGATATTTCTGCAAGCAACCAAAATGGTTATTGGTTTGCACCAAGGAAATTCAGTATCTAGAGGGACATCTCTTGGACAAGGCACGAGTAAAAAATCACATGTAAATTTAATATGTAACAATATTTGACGAGACTATGGAATACCAAGAAAATATCAAAGCCCCCTTTTACAGGGAATACTTGGATTAATTTTTTTTTTTTAAAAAGAAGAGCTATAGAAAAGTGCAGGTCATTGCATAATCGGATATTTTTTAAAAATTCCAAAATTGGCAATTTGAAATTAAGCGGTTTTCCTTCCACGTAAACCACCTCCCGGCTGCAAATTAAAAAAAATTAATATATAAACAACTCACATATTAGTCCAATTTCACAGTAGAATCACATAGCAAACAAAACAACATGGTTCAGGTCCAAGAGGCACATTAGATACGAAATTTTCAAGGTGAATCTTCCATCTCTTGACCAGAAACAATACAAGATCTTACCGCAATGGGACCTGAAACTGATCCACCACCAGCATCATTTTCTAACAGATTGCGGCATTTGACATTCTTTTGAAGAAGATGCTTCAATGTAACCAAGGCTGCAAGCATTCCCAAGAAGAATAACATATTATGGCATAATGAAACAAGATGAAGTAGGCGTGATGAATCAGCAAAACAGTTATATACCAGCCAACGACTCTGCAGCTCCAAAGCATAAAGAGAATGTGGCCAAACGTTTTATGAATGCAGCAGCCCTTTGCATGTCATGTTGCCTATCATCACATAACATTATCTTCAGAGCTTCAGCTAACACATCACCTGGATCCCTGCTGACAAACATGAGTGATTACCTTGCACATTGCAGTAAAATAAAAACTCTCCAACAACCATTTTCTCGTCCTTTTAAAGGGTTGGGGAAAGGGGTTTAGCTACTAAATTAAGAAAAACTGAAGGGAAATAAGAGTGAAAAATAAAGAAGGGAGAAAGTGGAAATCTAGGGAAATAAGAGTGAAAAATAAAAAAGGGAGAAAGTGGAAATCTATCAGACGATTGCAGGTGCAGATGTAAGTGAGGAAGACAAAAACTACAGGATTACAAGCAAGGAGAATCTGAGGCATCTAGGCTTATAAATAATGCAATAAAGTCACCGCAATGATTTCAAAGATATCCTTGAGAATTTAAAACTCAAATTCGGCCTTTAATGAGGTTACTATAACATTAGTTGGGGTTAGTTGAATGGGTTTTTGGATTATGCACAGACCAGCTAACAATTTAACACATAAATTTAGATTTTAATGCAGAAAATGTTCCGGCATCAAAATCCAGAAATTATTTCAAAGGAAACATTAAACAGCTTTCATACTGACCTTCCTGGCCTGTACTTAAATAAAAGATTGTAAAGCTGGACAAAGAAGTCCTGCAAATCAACATTCAAGGCATCAAGATTATTCCTCATCACTTTGAAAGCAACAATGCAACACCGCAAGCGTTCAGATACAGTCAGACGCTTCAAACTATTCTCAGAACCATCCAAGTTGCTTCCACTGCCAGCAAGCTTTCTCAGATAATTCATAAGATCAGCCATAAAATCTAAGTCAATCAGATGGGAAAATTTCCCAATTCCATCCAAACATGGAGCAAGTAGAGGGTGGGCCCCAGAGAAACCAGGTAAAGTGGTTGCTTCTGGTCTGAGCAACAGAAAAGAATGAGAGAAACATTAATTCAAACTAATAGTGCCAATTCAGTTTGGACAATTGAATGATAGCGAAAATTAAAAACACAAATTGAACTTTATTATTCAGAAAATGTGTAATGTAAAAACAGATAGCATCTGAAGAACACAGGTGTATCTAGCAGAGAGAAGAGAGAGAAAGTAGTCCTCGTCAGAGGTTTCCTCAATATTTTCACAAATTTATTCCTTTGTGGTATGAATAATGTCAAATAAGAATATGACCTACATTTGAAAGCATAATTTGTGCAGTATTTATTTTTCAGGAAAAGGGTGACTTTAACAACCTAGCCAAGCCATTTGTCCTAAAAATAATTGTACAATTCAACACCTAGTCTAGATACATGCCTCCATCAGGAAGGTATAAGTCCCTGTAGAAAAATTTCCGGTGGACAAAAAAATTTCATATGCTATTTAAAATTATCCAGCCCCTACCAGCAGCATGTAATAATAACCTTCCCAAAATCCCTTTGGGATTACTCAGTTGATCTAAGCAAGGTATTGCAATTTTTAAATGCCACAAGAACATTCTCCAAAATGCATCGACACTTGATTGCCTCTCAATTATAATCAATAAAAAAGTTGTGTACACCAACAAATAAAGCATTTCTATGTTCTTTGTACTTTAACATGAACAACTTATCAAATGCATCTTTACAATAACCCCTTAATTAGACAGAAGTAACGAAGGCACATAAAAGAAACAAACAATAAAGTCATGCAAACAAATCCACAAAATAAAAATGCAATCCCTATCAAAACCGATGACCTTGAAACAAGTGAACGCTCTGTGATACCATACCCAAAAAGTCTCCTTTCATCTTTTTGGTTACATACCTTGGCTGCATGGTATTCTTCAAGATGCGGAAGTATGTTTCAAATACAGCAGAAAGAGTTTCCGTCTGCATCCTTCTCCGTTCCATAAAATCTTGGGTAAATGAAGCAGCCTTAAAGTCGGCATCCACCTGTGTAAATCATTAGAACTTCAGCAATCTGTGCAAAAGAAGGAACATGAGCAAAAATGGTTTTCATAGAACGGTGAATACCTCTTCTCTTGTCTTTGACATCAATTCTCGCCTAGATTTCTTCTTTTCATTCTCTGGTAACTGACTTGGCTCCTTCAAATTTTTCCTTTTCTTAAATTTTTTGTTTTTAGTTTTGTTATCTGCATTTGAACTTTCAGGCTTCCCAAGATCCTCATCAAATGACAGTGTCATGAAAACCTGAGAAAGCATTGCAAATAACTTAAGTTACAAAAGAATGATCTATAATAATTAAAGCATTGCAAATTAAATTAAGTTACAAAAGAATGATCTATAATAATTAAAGCATTGCAAATCAAATTAAGTTACAAGAGAATGATCTGTAATGATGTTTTCATTAGAGAATTATGTCTACGCACTAATCGCAGCTTTAGATTGTTGATATATAGAAGACCACTCTCAATCAGCACTTCATAACAGGTCAGACATCAAAAAGACTGTCAACTCAAATACACAATATTCAGGAGACATACAAAAACTTCCACCAGCATTTTCTCAGTCAATGTGTAAAAGGATCACGTGTTTGTTTTATAAGGTCGCTATGTAGAATTCCTTTTGTGCTCATATCATATCTATGTGAAGCTAGTGCCTTTTGCTTGTTAATTTACTACAAGTATATTTTTCTACCGAAAATAGATGATAAATTTAGACATCTGCTTTATGCCTGGATGCTACTAGGCAATCATACCAAAGTGAAGCACTAATGCCTTGTGCATGTTGCTCTTTGCTAATGGTTTGGGAAGATACACGCACGCTAAGGGAATTTCCATACCTCAACGGAATCAGGATGCAATTGGCAATCATGAGCTTTCACATGATCTGCAATCAATTGAACAGCCTCAACAGTAGCTTCACCACCATGTTTTCCCTCGTTGGTAAAAAGTGACTTAACAGTAGCACAACAGAGCTTCCTGCCAACAAATAGTAGTCATGATTATGAGGTAAAAGATTCTTGCAATGCTAAAAAACCGCAAAATTCAGAAGTTTAACAGAGGATATCAATTATATTTACCAGTGAACGAGATCAAAAGAAAAGACGACTAATTCAAATATATAAAAATTACTAGCTTTAAAATTTAGCATGATGTGAATGAAAAGAATAGCTGAGAGCCTGAGACAGCCCTGGGAAGGAAGTGGTAGCAAGTGATTGACGAAGGTGGTGTTGGAGAGTTAAAAAGCATTGCACTAATGCCAGCAATGATGGGCCAAAGATGAAAATGGAAATGCATATGATGATCAAAATGATGACAAATTGGCAGCCATAATTGTGGTAGCAGCAATTTTTAGAAACCCAAGTGGACGGGTAGTCATTTAGAAACCCATCTGGCCCATACCTAATATACCGATCTTAAAAATCTCAATAACTTCCACTTAGAAAGCAGTGTAAAGTTTAAACATTGCTTGAACCACCAGTTGTTCTAAGGCAATCTATTTGCCCAACCCCCATTTTGAACCGCTGTGAAACATAAAGACCTGTCTTACTTCAATTCCTTTGTCATGCTACACAACAGTGTTTGCTTCATATGGTACGGTTTTTCATTCGAACCACAAATTCTCTCTTTCCATCGCCATAGTCTCCACAGTATGATGATTTCATGATTTCAATTTTATTTTTCATTTAAAAAGGGTTAAGGATTATAAAACAAAGATCCTTCCAAGCAAGAGTATCTGCTAGTGAATGATCAGTGGATACTTGTGATATAAATTTAATAGTTCCGCAAAAAAAATTCAACTTCTCTTTTTTCATTTCTTCTTATCTTCAACAGTTTGTGTATGACATTGTTATTATGTCACAGTTTAGCTCCTTTGACCGATTGTTGCCCAGACGTTATTCCGCTTCACCCCCAGTTCACTGAAGGGTTTGGTTTTGCAGACATTAAATAGCAAATATTGAATTATGGAAATGGTTATATGGAGATGAATGTAATGACAGACAACACGAGATTTGTAGGAGCGCATGGTGGTAATGGTAGCATTGCCTAGCATATAAAATCATCGGAGAGGAAAACAGGGAGCCTATGTAGTGTTGATAATTGGAAGTCTTTCCTAACAAGAAACAAGTATGATAATCAAGGCCGTGTGATAATTTCATAAATCAAGTGCCATTAGAATCAGAATGAGTAAAGATGCTACAAGAATAAAAGAAGTTGCAAGAGACAGTTGAACAGGAAACCACTTGATAGATTCATGGGGCAAAATATGTGAAAATATGAACAAAGGATGTATAAAACCTTATGACATCATCCTGGGAGCTGATATTCTTGATAACAACCGATAATAAGCTTTCACGGAAGTTGAAGTGTGGAACAGCCTCTAATAAAGTACAGATACAGCGAATGGCTACACGGTGAAACGCAGCCTGTTTTTCTAATGCTATCAACTTCTGCAGGTAAGCCTGTAAATGTAAACAAAAAGAACTACAACTAGTAAGCATTATGACCTCATGTATAACGTGTGTATGTATATGGCATAACTATACGAATACCATCCAGAAAGGATCAAAGGGATCGTCTAATATATCACACGTCAAATGGTTGGATAGCCACCAAAACTACTATTGAATACCAATTCTATTGCGACTTTCGAAGATGCTCAAGTGCCCAGTTTGAAGTCTATTTATCTTCAATACAATACAGCATAACACTTCCAAAAACAATTCTTGAAAGCATAGCCAAAATGTCATCCTAAAATCTTTAGCACTGCACATTTCATAAGCAATCAAAACATAAACACATCCCATTTGTTCATTCAGAGCACAAATTTGATAATAAATTCAGCTCTATGACAAGATGACAATATAAACAAGCATGGATAACCAAAGCCTCCACATTTTTAAAGTCTCAATGTTGAAAGTGCATTTTTCTAATGATTGTTGGAAACTAATCACTTTCCTAAGAAATTTATTCTCTAAACAGAAGTGCAAAATAAAACCATAGCTTCCACCAGCAAGACAAAAATTGAAATAGATGGCAGATCAGTATTCTGGAAACAATGCCACTCGAAGAATTGCCTCCAGATTGAGTAAAGACATGTGACATATAGAAGCAGCAAAATCCTATGAAACAAGTATTAGCTCTTGTGACATCTAAGGTATCCAAAAAAAATGAAATAATCCAGTCAGCAAATTCTTCGGCGGCAAGCTGGAAAATTAGGGTTGGGATAGGGATAATGGCAGGTTGTGAGTTTTATTTGATCCCCAAGGTCACTAGGGAGTGCCTTCAGTACGCAGCATTGTATTATGTATAAGCAGGTCTGGAGCTTGCACTAGATTTTGCAGTGGAGAATAGTGGGAGAGTTTTGAGGTTGTTGAGCTAGAGTGAGTTGAGGACGGCCCCAGTCCACTGGATTGCCTGCTGATTCCAGGTACTCTGTTGCCTCTCTGCATTTTCCTGTGCTTGAACTGCATCAATTTTTTTCGGACTGATGGTAACACCTCTGAAGTTGGCTGCATTGTGGGTTCTTAGGGTGTTCTTCGAGTAGAGCCTTTGTATGGTAGCCAATACATGTGTGGGATTCAAAAGACTTTGTTAACAGTCACCAATAGCTCTCTGCACTTTGATTCAAATTTGTTTAGAGCTAGTAGTGTCCATAAATAAATTAACCCATGCGGATGAAACGTGATTACATTGACTCAAATCAGCTTTAGTAAATAGCTGAAATGTTGGCATTATTTCAGGAAACTAATCTAGTGCAATAAATGCATCGTTGGTTTAACAGCTTTCAGCCTTTCCACACCATGTTTGGCATTCAACAGATTTTAGCAACATCAAAGACCAGCTCTCTAGTGTCAAACAACGAGGAATATACGTCCAAATGTAGCTATGTGCTTTCTACTTACTCATATAACTAGTCTTGGAAAAATAAACATCAGAAATATCAGGCATGTTACAAAGACATTAAAAGGGGTGAAAATTTCAAAATAGAGACATTAAAAAGGGTGACGATTTCAAAATTAAGGAAAAGCGAAAGCTGCGAAGAATAAATTGCTGTGAAAGCATATTAATTAATGGAGGAAGCAAGTATCATAGCTAGCATCTAAAATCTAAATCGACCTCAACCCTCAATTTCTCTTCAAATAATAGTCCAATAAAGTGAAGCATGGAACCTTATACACAGAGAGGATCGTGGATTCATAGAAGCGCATTTTTTTAACAGCCTTGGAGACCATCATCTCCTGCTCTTTTTCAGTGGGCAGCCTGATACGATATCTGTTGTAGGTATTGAGAAGGAAAAGAAACAGAATGATAAGATTTGAAATGTCAGCAAACAGAACAGCAAAGTATTCGTAATGACATAGCAAAAGCACAGCACTATGGAATGGGAGCAACTTCCTCACCCAGGAATGATGTCGTTAAAAACAGCCAACAAAGACTTCAGGCCAAGTGTGACTATAGCATAATCTCCGTCTTTAGAAATTTGCAGCATATCCCTTAGAGATTTAATATTTGATTCCGGATCCATAAGCAGTTCCGTTCCCAGCTCTGCAAGTCTATACTTCTTTTTTTCAAGGGTTTCTTCAGCTGTAAGATCTTTTTCCACCTCAACCTGGACAAAACATGCACATCTTTACCATTATACAATGTTTGCAGATAAAACAAGTTCAAGAAGGTTGTTTTGCTTTAGGCCACAAAAATTGGAAATGATAAAGGTAAGAAGAGAATTTTCAAGCCTCATCAATAGTCATCATCAATGCAAGGCTTTGTGTACTGAATCTTTAAGCATGATTTACCATAAGTATGTGCAAAAATAAGAGAAAGATTTGTGGGAACCAGCAAAAGTATGAGAAAAACCTTCTATGACCTGGTTTACCAATCAATGCTGCAATAGCTTTGTTGTTTGATATGACCACTTTGTGCTATAAAAGTTTTTAAAAAAAAAAAGCTTCCAAATGAAAACGCTAAATAGAAAATCAGAGAGTATTGTGAATACATATTGTGTTTAGATAACTTAGTAGTGAGATGGTATTATCTTAGTTTGTAACAATTGCATCTGATGATGCGGGTATTCCATAAAAGCAGCAAACCAAAGTATCAATAATGCACTTAATATTTCACATTTTCTAATGTCATATGAAAGATTGAGGTGCATTTTTACCATCCACAGCACCCATACATTAGTAGGGGCAAACAATGGGAAATAGTGTTTTCTCCTTTCCTACATAATGTGCTTGTGCATTTTCGATAACTAAAAAATTAAAACCACCAGCAATTCCAAGAAAAGAAGTTGCGTGGGGAAAATAAATACCAGCACTTGAGCTTGCGTGGTTTGCTGCACTTCCTCTACTTCGGCCACGTTATTCAGTTGTTTCTTTGCTACTTTCTTCATCTTCTTAAGCTTTGCCCTCTTTTCAACCTTAGTCAACTTCACCACACTTTCATCTGCACCATCATCTACATTTTCACCAGTGGCTTCAACCTCATCTGATGCACTTCCAGATTTCTTTGATTCCTTGGGCACTGAACCCAATATCAACAAGAGGAACCAAAATAGACAAATCTTCCACGTCAGCCTCTAACTATCATTGCTAGAATGACAGATGATCCGAAAAGACAAAAAAAAAAATATATATATATATATATAAGAGACCTGTCTTGTAGTAAAGTTTTCCATCTAAGGTCTTAACAGGAAGGGCATCCACAGGATCAACTTCAAGCACATTTTCCTCCTTTTCTTTGTCTAATAACTTCTTCCTTAACCGTCTTTCATACAAAGCCTCCAATGCATCTTCTTTCACATCCGCAACACGAGTAACATGCCTTAGAGAAGTTTAAATAATATTACCAATTGAGCAAAGAGTAAACTGTATATTGAAGAAGAAATTAAAAAAAAAAAAAAAGCAAACGAAGAAAATGGGGACCACAATGTCTATTGCTTATATAATCACAAATTCACACGTACATACGCATGTACAGAAAAATACCAGTATATATAAACATGACTTCTTTTTCTTTTCACTAATTTATGAAATTATTTTTTGAATTTTTTTAACCGGATATCATCATAAATAAAATTCTTGGAACTTGATTCATCTCTATACAACCTTGCATATGTATTGGAACAAATATATAAATGGATAGCCTAGAATTCCAGACCTAGTAATTGATTGAGTGTCCAACTTGGAGACGAAGCCAGCATATTCACGATTCTCGTTAACGAACTGTAAGTCCTCGTCAGATACTTGGATTTCATCCTCCGGAACCTCCGTTGGGAGCTCAGGCGGCAGTACTATTTTCTGCTTCTGCTTCTTCTTCCCCATTACATATACTCTCTACGCCAATTAAGTCGGTAAGCAAATCTAGAGGTACAGTGTAAAATTTCGGACCAAGTGTAGTCCAGAAACACTCTTTATACAAGTGACTATATTTATCCGGCTCATGAGAGAGGAAGAAGAATAAAATCAAGAAACATAACAAAAATCTTGGTAAGACAGAGGGGTGGGATGTTATACAGTAAGAGAGATTAAGAGAATAGGTGAGGAGCGGAAGGGAGAGCAGGTAGGTAGGGTTTGGGCCTGGGAAGTGGCGCCAGTAACGGGGAGGTGGGTTTGGTGAGAGCTTATTATATTTTGAGGATTAATTACAAAATGTACCCTCCAAATTTTAATCATACTACAATCAGCTCCTTTAAATTTCAATTTAGACAATTTGTCCTTTTCAAATTTCCAATGGATCAAATTAGCAGATGGGATGGATGGAAAACATAAAAGTCCTAAATGACCCTTTTATCCACAATTTTTATTGTTTTTGTTACATCTCTACCTTCACTAAGAAGGCTAACACCCCTATCGTCCCTTATAATACCATAACCTACTTAAAACACAATTCTAATAACAAATCAATTCAATCAATAATTATAATTTTTAAAATTAATTAATCAAATAAAAAAAACTTCTCAACTTCATGAAATCTCAATCGATAAGGATCTCATTGCAACATGATCTAAATTTAGAGAGGATACTCTGTAATTAATTCTTATTTTTATTTTACGCTTGTGTTGTATCAAATGGGTTGGGACTCGGGAGCAGGGGTATTCAATTTTTGATTGGTCGTAATTTTTTATCCTACGTTACTGCAAAAATTAGATAGGAATACTGAAGAGTTTTTCGTTTTTCGATTAAATCGAGTAGAAATGCTAAATATCTATCAATTTTTGCATTCCTACCTTATCCTACCCTACCCGTAAAAAATATATTTAACTTTTTTATATTTTTTTAGTAATTATAAGAGTATTTGTGTGGTATAATTTATATTATAAACATTATCATTGTTGTGGATGTTTGAGTTGCTAAAGTATGAACTTATTTTTTGTGTAAGTTACATGATTTGTGGTGAACTAATGATTTATTGAAGCAGTTATGATTTTAATGTGTTTCATATCGTTAAAACTTTAAATAATTGTTATTGTATTTGTGTAACAATTATGATGAACTGATGTTCATACTTTTTTGTGCTTTATTATAATTGTTATTGTAGTTGTGTTTAGGTTTTAGTGTTATTAATTTATTGTGTTATTAAATTTGTGCATGTTATTTAATTAAATTGTTAAAATAATTCAAAAATTAATAGATACAAAAGTGTTTACCCAATTTTCTATTCGACTACTTATTCGATTAATCGGGTAAAAATACTACACCTGATCGAGTAAGAAAGGGTAAGAAAAAATTATTTAATAAATTATCGAATAAGAAGACAAAACACTATATTTCTTTTCCGTAGAGTACGATGAACACCCTTACTCGGAGGGTCAATATCGGGTTTAATTTGATGGAAGTGTCCGGTTCGTATTGACACTTCTATTCGAAAGAATTCGGATGGGCTTTTTCTAATCAAACAAGGCCTGGGGATGCCCGTTTTGGTTTGTGTAGTGGGCCGTAGGAACGAACTGTTAAAGATGAACCGCATATCTCCGTCACGGAATGTCAGTGGGGTCCATGCCCTCTGTTCTCCATCGCGAATCAGAAAATCTTCGCAATGCTTTGTGCCATGAAAATGCTATTGATGAAAGAGAAATAGTTGTTGCTGATAAAAAAGATATACAACCACACACTCTGCAGACATATTTCTGCCATCTTTGTTAGTTATCAAGAAAAACTAAGATGCAGATTTTTGTGAAAACCCTAACTGGGAAGACGATCACTCTCGAAGTCGAGAGTAGCGACACTATCGACAACGTCAAGGCCAAGATTCAGGTATTTGTTGCAGTTTAAGGTTTTGATTAGTGCCTTTGTATTCTTTCGCTTTATATCGATCTTTTCTACTTGTTGGTAATAGTCGATCATTCTATTTTGCTGATTCTTCTGACTCTCTTAGATAGTTCATAGTTGTAGGGTTTTGGGTACTTCAACCAAGTTATATCTTTCATAGGGCTTTTATACTAGTTTTATTTATTGGCTCTGCGTTTCTCTGGCCTTTGTATATAACCCACGCCTAGTTATTTACAAGAACAATTAAATGGATACACATACCTATGTTGCTATACATGTACATACGTTGTCATGCATATACTTATCATGGGTGAGTGTGTTGGCATTTGGTACTGTTGATCTTTTTGTTTTTTATTGCTGTATTTGATTGTTAGTGTTTCTTTTTTTTTTTTTGATAGATGATTATTAGTGTTTCTTGATACTGGTTTTGTGTTAATCTTTTCATTATTTGAATGAATTTTTCCAGATTCTGTTTTTGTTTTCTGTGAACCTTGCTGCTATTCCTGCATATGCTAAGTTTCCCGTGGCTGTCATCGTCACCGCACAATGAATATGTTAAAACACACACAAAGAAAAATAAATTTCGTGGATAGAATAAATAACATAAATAAATATTCTGGATTGTGATCTATCAAGGAATTATTGTTTTCGCCCCTGCTTGGGCATGCATGGATTAAGAAGTTTTTTTGCCACTATGAATGGTTTGGGGGTTTATCAAGTTTGAATTCCTTCTGTTCTGTTATTTTGCTTAGTCCTTTAGGTTCTAAAGCAATATCCAGACTTTTCAACCATGTTTCTAATATCGGTTTCCTAGTACTCTATTTTCCAATGCTTATAAAAAAAACTATGCTTGTTAAACTAGTTATATATAGTATGCTAAGGAATTCTAACCTTAATCTTAGTTGAAAATGCATTGAAATCTGACTTGATTAGAAAAAGATTTTTTTGGCTTTAAAATATGTGATTTTTCATTCATTGCTGAGAAGTACACAGCCAATCCTGATGTCCTCCCTTGAGTTAGCGCCCTCATGCTGAACTTGCGATTTATGTTTTTTTTTTCTCGCCAGGACAAGGAAGGTATTCCTCCTGATCAGCAGAGATTGATTTTTGCTGGTAAACAATTGGAAGATGGGCGAACTCTTGCAGACTACAACATCCAGAAAGAGTCGACACTTCACCTGGTTTTGAGGCTTAGGGGGGGAACTATGATCAAGGTGAAAACTCTCACTGGAAAAGAAATTGAAATTGACATTGAACCCACTGACACCATTGATCGGATCAAAGAACGGGTTGAGGAGAAAGAAGGAATCCCTCCAGTGCAGCAAAGGTTTGCGTGTTCTCCTATTTTACTCTAATTTACTTTGATCTTAAGTTTGTTTTCCTCATGGTTTCCCCAAATTTGTTAGTGCAAAACCTCAGTCCTAGAAGTTCACCCTGATTTTGGTCATGCTGGTTTGCAGCTTGTCATGACTACTCTGTTCATTAAATGTTACTAAGTGAGCAGTTTGAGGATTCGATTTATGTTGCTTTGTCCCCCCACCCCCAGGTCCTTAGTACATTCTTTGAGTTCGAAGTTTTTTGAGCACCTTCCCCTATTTTGTTAATAGATTAAATCAGAATCTTGTGTGGCCCATGTTATTCTACTGTGATGCAGTTGTAATTACAACATTTATCCGTATAAGATAATGAATCCTTTTATCATCTCCGGACTAATTTCTTATAGTTGAAGGTAATATTTGATCTTGTGGATGTTTCTTGTTAAGTTGAAGAGAGGAATAATCTATCAATTATCAGCAGCACTGTCATCAGAACCGGACTGTTTCGAACTGGTAGAGAGACAGTGGGTTAAGTGGTCGAACCAGTTGTATAATAAAAAAATATTATAAAACATAGTAATTGAATTAAAAAAAATATGAAGAATATATATTTTCTAGAGCAAACAAATTGACAAAGCATAAAACCCACAATCATAGTAAAAATTATAATTACATTGCAAATAAAATTCACAATCACGATAAAAATCATAATCACATTACAATTAAAATTCCTAATTAAACATGAGAATTTTATTCCATGCCTCCCAACACGTATGATCACAGCCTCCAATGCCCACTGCCACTCAAACTCTACTTTTCTACCTTCCATGCAACCCCGTCATTCAATCTTCCATACAACCCCCTCATTCAACCTCCAATGCAATGCCATCCAGGCGGCTGCTCTGTGTGTGTGTGAGAGAGAGTGAGACAGAGAGAGGGAGAAATGGAGCAAAGGCAAGAGATTGAGTGGAGAAGCAGATCAAGATAAAGAAAAGAGCTGTGCTTGTGCATCATCTAAGAAGGGAGAGTTCGAGCTGAGCTGCTGGCCTGCGCCTGTGCCAGTATGTTATCTGGATGGAGAAGAAGAGAAGACCGAAGCTTCGTTGATTTCGGGCTAAATTTGCCCCCAAATAAGGTTTTTTTATATATATATGAGGTGCTTTTTGAACCGCCCAGTTCACCGGTTTTCATAAAAAACCGGCCAATTTTATGGTTTCACAAGCGGTTTGCTGAGCAAACCAGACTGGTGTTTGGCCCTGTTCACGGTCCGACCATCTTGTCCGGTCCGGTTTTGATAACACTGATCAATAGTACTATAGTTGTAGGATAAAAATGTGCAATTTATTCTCTTCATTTGCTTTTTTTTTTTTTGGGTGATTCCTTTTACTTGTTAAACAGAGGATGTCCAACTTTCTGAATCGCGGATCTTGTACTTTGTGGAATGATCTCTCGGCATTTCATGGATTGTCTTGGGCAGAACCGAGCAAGGAAGTCAATCGCTTATTAATGATTTCGATCTCAATATCATGAATAAATAGTCCATAGGACTATACGATATATAGGTCATTTTTCTATTTTTCTAACTACACTGCTATATTTGCCAGCTGAGTTGATTTTAAACTCATTTTGATATTTAGCAAAAATTCTTAAAGTTTCTAATTGTTAAGAGTTGATCCTACTTCAGAGGGCATTACCCCATTCTAATTCTCTACCATGCTTCATTTTCCTGCTCTTTTCTTATGTACAAAAGTTTTGTTCATATGCTTATGTCATTATGTGCAGGCTTATTTATGCTGGCAAACAACTTGCAGATGACAAAACAGCTAAAGATTATAACATTGAGGGTGGCTCTGTGCTTCATCTTGTTCTTGCACTGAGGGGGGGCGGGGTCTTTAAATAATCCTTCTGATGTTTGGAAAATTTGCTCATTCAGCTTCTATTTCACCCTAATACGAGACGGATGAGTGAGTTTGCTGTCATGTGTGAAGAAGTCAGGGAACTTGTGGTGAACTATGTTTCAGTGAATTGCTTTAGACGCTTGATTTATCATCCATTTTCCGCCTTCGCTGCTGTGCATTTTCTGTTCAATTAGCTTTTTACAGTTCAACTGTTTTATGGATGGCTTTTGAGTATACCTCGAGTCTTATAAATGGGTCCTAGTTGAATTATGTTTATGGAATGTAAAACTGGAGCAGCAGTCTTATAAATGGGACCTAGTTGTATTATCTTTATGGAATGTAAAACTTGAGCAGCACAGATTAACTCATGTACAGTGTAGCAATGTACTAATCCCATTCCTGCACCGCTACGATCTGGTCCCTAAGATGAGGTTAATTTTATTTTTTTTGGATGACTAGATCAGGTTGATTCTTTCATCTAGAATGGTTGGGATGGACGCATCATGTGGCACAAATTCGGGCCGAAGCACTCATGAATCTGATAGTGAGATTTTTCTCTGGAAGCCACCGTCATGGGGGATTTGCATGGTTGTAGTGATCCTGGAGGTTATTTTTTTTCGTGTTACGTCTTCGGTGAATGAAATTTCAAGAACTTATCAATACAGCGATCCAAGCATATGTCGATGCTACAATTCTTCAATCGGTTTATGTGTTGCAGAAGAATTTGTTGTGCAAAAAAAAATAATAAAGAAAAAAAAGAAGTAATGTTTATGAAACATCTCTCTCTAAATGGATATCGGGTGCACTTTAATCAATTATAATAGGACACGACTTAGTCACAAAACCAATCTTGTCATTATAGGACCCATTGTGAGCCCTGCCTAAAATCTAAGTTTGTCAATAGATCAAGTTTTAATTTGAATATGATTAGTTGGACATGTATTGATATTTTTTTACTAATAATTTGAAATCTAATATTAATTCGCAATCTTATATTTCACATATTTAGATTTTATATATATATATATATATATATATATATATATATATATATATTCCCCAAAAATATGTATATATTTCTATATAAATATTAAAAAATTGATTGATCATTCAAAATTTTAGTTAAAATTTAGATATAATTTGTTAAATTTTAGTTAGATTAAGTTATTTGAATTAGATCGAATTTTTAAATTGAATTTTAGATTGTTAACTGGTTCGGATAAAAATAGTTAAAATAAAATTCAAATTTGAATTAAATTTTTTTTTAAAAATCAAATTTGAATTAGTTAAATTAAATCCCTTGACAAGGCTACAATGCTGCAAAACAAGTAAAAAAGTAAACGCCAAAAGTGGCCAGGCCCAAACCCAACTCGATAAAGGCCAGCCTGCAACAGTTAGATTAGGGGAACTTGTGAAAAGATATATCGTTTTCGTTTTCGTTTTCATATTTATTTGTGTAAAATTACTTCAATATAAAATATATATGTATAAGTGTCTTTGTGTATAAATGTTTGGTAAGGAGAAACACTTTTGCTGATTTTTAAATTTTTCTTTTGTGAAATTTCTATTTTTCTTTATTAATGGGAGACAAATCTAGCAGTTATATTAGGAATTCAGTATTCTAAATTTATGAAATAACATTTTTTAATTTTAAATTTTTTTTTATTAGTAAGAGACAAATCTGGCAGTTATATTAGGGATTCAATATCCTAAATTTTTGAAATAACATTTTTAAATTTTAAATTATATCTTCCTCTTTCATTCAATTGAAGTTATTCAAATATTCATGTTTTCCTTACATTAAATCATAAAGATAAATATATGTTTTCACCTTATATAATACCATTAGTTGTTATAGGTTTTTTTTTCCATAGATATTTTAAATTTAAATTTATATGTATGTTATTAGATGCTGATACCAATAAATGTCACACTACTAAAAAGTCAAAATCAATGTCACATTGTATACATTGACATGACACAGGGCAAATGAAATATCACAGTGACACAATACACAAATATTTTATGACACACATCATGAATAACTAAATATAATGTAAATAAATTACATAGTATAAAGAGGATGAATTATGTTTGTGGGGTGGAATTAGACTTACGAGGAGGTGGTGATGTTGGTTGTGGTCTCGATCAAATAGTGTATATAGGGTTGGAAGGTTTTGAGCGATGATAACAGATAAAGTATGTTGCGAGAATGCAGTTGTATATGATCTATTTGGTGTTTTTTTTGGTAAATGATCAAACACTTAACGTGCATGTAATACTAAGCACCAGAAACATAAAAGTAATTAAAGAAAAACAAGTTGATAAAATAAAACCATTAGAGTGATTTTGGAGAAAAATTTGTCATTCTCACTTAAAGTTCACACAATCCAACGATATTAGTGAAATTATATATAACTGTTATCTCTTTCTTTCATTCCGAAGCTGCCATCACTTATTTAGAAAATTGTTCAATTTTTACAAATAGGGTATTTTAAACTTTGGGCATGACATGTATATTTTTTTTATTGAAATTTTCAATTATGGTACTTTTTACCTAATATTTTTATTAAATGGTACTGGCCCTTAATTTCCAGTAGATTAAATCGATCCGTTATAATAATGGTAGTTTATTCTTGATTCATGCGCGACGGACAGTTCTAGTTCCAGAATCTTCAATTTCCCGGTTCTTGGCACTTCCAGTCTCCACCTCTTACAAGAAAAAGATTATGCACACCTCCCATTCCCAGACAACACACTTTCCCTCTCTATTCGTCTCTCCACTTCGATGGAAGAAATCATGGAGTACAATCGCACTAATTACATTCCCGTTAGCGACGAAGAAGCTCGAAGCAGCGTATTCTTAGAACTGAAGCACTACTGCTTACAACTACTTGATCTCCTTCAAAACCCTAAGAAAAACCCTTCTTCACTTTCTCAACTGCTCCACTTCCTTCGCCGATCTCCGCCTGATGCTCTCCAGCCTTTCTTCGAGTATGTTTGCCTCACCCCATCCTGTCTTATCTCTTTGTCTCTCCGTAACCCTCTCTGTGATTCGATAATATGGTTCCCTATAATATTTACTGTCTGTTATGCTGTAGTTTTATTCTTGGTGATTCTCAATTGTAAGTGAAGAGCTTTGTTTGGTTTTGTGGATTTCTATCACCTACCACCGTAGTATCAATGTGAATTCTTCGTGTTTTCGTATACAGTTAGTTTTTTTCTTATTAATCCGACACTACGAAATAGTAATAAAAAAAAAGGGAGTAAAAAGGATGGATAGTAGGGCCAAACAGGATACCAACAGCAAAATCTCTGAGCAAGATAGAAATACATTTAGATTTTGTAAGTATTATAGGTTTGCGAACTGTGTGAGGTAGCTGGTGTCATTGAATGTGGTGAAGAGTACCCTCGGGAGTATACAGCCCTAGTTTCTCTCGATAGAAATCAAAGATGAACAGAATTCATAGGAAGCACGGGTAGCTGCTCTTGGGACCTCATTAAATGTGCAAGAGATTGTTGCTGCTGGTTCTGCTGCTGCTGATAAGAAAGTTTACTTGAAATTACGCAGCGAGCACATGTGAGGAAAAACCGCTAATTTTTGACATAGACTATACTTGAAAACTAAAAATAGTATCACTTACAATTGGTAGTTTGCGGGATGACAGCACATAGCTTCTGGCTTTATTAGGGGAAAAAAAGCTTGTTGCCTTGTTGGCTTTATAGATGGGAATGGGGTTGAAATTGGCTCGGTTTTCTGGTGTTTAGTTGCAGGAAATTCTGGAACAAGATTAGTGGATTTTCTGGACAGAAACTATGTGAGGTTCTGGGTGTTATACAGTGTGCTATGCTTATTAGTTAATGAAATGTTTAACTTGGAGAAGAGGTGTTGGGACCTATTAACTTATTCAATGTACTAGGTTTAGGGTTACAGTTGGTACAAGACAGGGTTAAATGCCAGAGGCTTTGATAGTGATTGGGAAGACAAAGTTGCGTTGCTGTCCTGGGATTATGAACAGCAGTAATGGCAGTAACCTTGCTACTTCTCTGTCTCTCTCGCTCTCTGAACACAAACATGCAGAATTAACACACCGATACACACAACAGGACACTCACAGGTATTATAAACCCCTAGTCCACTCTTCACTCCAAAAGAGCTTAGCATTTGAAGGGATAGAGACAAGTTTATAAACCCAAGAGATACAAGTTGTGTAACCGATGTGGGATACATGAGCAGTTCAATTTATTTGAACACAAACATACACAATTAACACACAAATTGCTTACTTGCCCAACACCTGATACACAAAACAAAACAGTCACAACTATTATAAACCCATTGTCCACTATCCACTCTCTCTCTCTCTCTTATTGGTCTTACAATTTCAAAATTAGAGGGATGAGTTATGATTATTTGTGTTTAGGGTAAACAAGGAGGTTAACAATATCCATGTGTGGGTTTTTAAAACTTATAAAGGAGCAAAGATCAAAGTGAAGAAGAAGCAAAGTAGAAAATGCTAGAAGGCACACTAAGATTTCTTGAAACATCTCATTGAGGGAAAGAGGTAGAGTCTTAAGAAATATGGAAATTCTCCTCAATATAGCCATTGTTGAAATATCTCGAAACAATAAATAGATTTGATGCTGTATCTTCTAGGCCTCGTGTGTGGTGTCTCCCCACTGTTAGGAATTTAATATCTAAACTTTGATTTTTGTAAGCCTCGTGGTTAATATTTTAAAGCAACCATTAGATAAAAGGAACATACTCACAGAAATTTATGCAGGATTGTATTGCAAAATGGAATTACTAGACTTGCTTGCTAGGTGCATATTTAATGGGAAATTAGCATACCACAAATAACTTGCATTTACCCTCAGCAATCATCCTTTTTCTGTCTTTGCTATTCGATTGTTTGACATGCAGATCTCTTATTGAATTTTTCAGCTACACTCTGTTTCCCTTGCTGCTTCTATTGGATGCAGCAGTCAATTGCAGATCTCCACCAAAGATTCATTCTGAAGAGAGATCTGTGATGTTTGATGTCCCAAAAACGCCACATAAGGTGAGTGACACTGTGGCAGAAGCTGTGCTTCAGTGTCTGGAAGTGCTGCTGACAAAGTGCCATTTAGGATCTGTGGATCAGGTAAATGAAATTTTAAGCTTTTTTTTTTAGATTAGACATGCACTAATTTACTTCCTTGTCTCCTCTTGTGCTGCTTTGCTTTGAAGTTGACACTTTAGTCTTCATGTTGCGAGTGTGTTACTTGTGTTATTCATATTATCAGTTGGACATCTTCTGCTGAAATTAAACGATGATGCTTTTTAACTTGGACTATGCTCGTATGCTTTCGCAGATGGTTGTTATGCTGAAGAAGTTGACATATGGGGCATTGCTCTCTCCATCTGAGGCTGCAGAAGAGTTTCGTGAAGGATTAATCAGGTGTTTCAGGGCACTGCTGCTTAGTTTACGGTTTTGCTCTGACAGTTCTTGCTCATGTAAACACATTAGTGGTTGGCCTACACTCTTAGAAAGAAGAGATTTGGAGTCTCCCCTTACTAGAATTCCAAACTATGATTCGGAACCAGAAGAATGTTTACTTGCATTTCTTCAATCTCAAGCTGCTTCAGCTGTCGTTGGACACTGGCTGTCACTTCTCCTCAAAGTATATCTCCTTTTTCCCTTCCTTGAAGCCATTTGTTATGATTGTAGAGCACTTCGTATTTTCTCATGTTGTGTTCTTCCCCTCCCTTTTGGCCATTGGTTTTTTTTATTGAGGAACATCATGCTGCTCAGTTTCCATTTTACTTGAATCATAAGATTTGGTGGGAAATTAATCTTGGGTTTTGTGGAAAGGCTGCAGATATTGAGGCTGCACGAGGACACCGAGGCAGTGCGCAGCTTCGTGTAGAAGCATTCATGACACTTCGCATGCTTGTTGCTAAGGTAATGTATAACATGTGGTAAGCCTTAATGCTGAAAAATCATAATATCACTCGTGCTTTTGCTGGTGCTTCTCTTTGGTATTTTCCCACTGGATCAGTTATTCGAAATAAGTAGTCTGTTACTGAATGCCTCTAATTTTTTGTGTGGAATTTTACAGTCGCAACTGGCATGTTTAACAAAATTTGGGGTGCACATAAATGTTCCGAAAGCAGCTCTGAAGTCAGCTTCCCTGCCATCTTAGTGGGAATTAGTCTAATAATCTTTCCCTTGAACTTCTTAGACTCTCTTGGTGTTTTGTTGTGGTAATTCCCTTCTAGAATGATGTCTAACATCCCTTTTTGACCTCACTGGATAGAATAAACCCCTCTGGAATTTTGGTTCTCTACGGATCGTGATTGGTTTTGATAAGCTTCACTGCTAGAACCTTTTGACAAAAAAAATTATTGGTTCTCCATTGCAATAGCTTCTGTAATCTATTTCAAAAATTCCTTGTTGGAGTGACTGCACATACTTTTGTTCATAAAATTAATGGGTATGATCTCAATCTAATACCCCATTCGTCTATCTTCTTTGAGATGGAATTCCCCATTCTCCTGCCTCTATTACATCTGTGTGTTCTTGTATTTCCTCTTGCAGGTTGGTACTGCCGATGCCTTGGCTTTTTTTCTACCTGGTGTTGTTAGTCAAATTGGTAAAGTTTTACATGTTTCCAAAAGAATGATTAGTGGGGCTGCTGGAAGTGTGGACGCCACGGAACAAGCAATTAGAAGTCTGGCTGAAATTCTTATGATAGTTCTTGATGATGATGCTAATATATCCAGTCTTAGTGTGTCCATAGATGATGTTACTGGTCTTCAGTCAAATAAAGACAAATCTCCTCTATCGTTTTTGGAGGAACTCCGTCAGTTGCCTTTAAAAACTCAAGATCAGGGTGAATGTGCAGTAACTGATTCAAGGGGTGAAGCAGTAGACTGTAGTACTCCTGAATCTGATGTCAAAGGGAAGGGAAGCATCAATTCTGGGGGAGTGATAGGATCTTTGCATGTGAATCGTACAAAAGACTGGGTTGTGAAAACTTCAGCTCACGTGGATAAACTGTTGTCAGCAACTTTTCCACATGTATATCTTGACAGCTTAACTCGTTGCTAGTTAAATTTTCTAGGATATTCTGCAGTCTCATGTTTCACTTTATACTTCCTAGACTAAAGCTGTTACTTCTATTATTTCATGTGCTAATCCTCCTTATGTTTCTCAGCTTTGCATTCATCCAGCCCAAAAGGTGAGACAAGGACTTTTGGCTGCCATACAGGGACTCTTATCAAAATGCTGTTTCACACTGGAGGAGAGCAGATTAATGCTTTTGGTGAGTTGTAGAAGTAAAACTTCTGTTCTTAATCTATCTTATTGGGAAACAAAGTACTTTGTGGGATCTCATTTTAAACAAGCCTTTTAAGGTTTTAGTGAATTTATTTTTGGCCTAATGCTGGCCATTGGAGTAAGCCTATTGCTATCCGAATGCCTTTTGTCCGTCCTGCTTTGCTCCTGTTTCATGCATGTGCTTGAAATTACATGCTAATTGTTGCCAACTTACCATGATCTGACCTATAGTGTTGAAGCCAGGCTAAGATTGGTAATATTGCTGCTTGAAGTAATATTGATGTTCTTGTATATATAATACCAGAGTACTGCTTGGCCTTTTTCTAGTCTAACTTGGTTGGATGGTCTATATGAGTCTTCAAAATTCAGGTGGTTGTCTTGGCCTTGGGGACCTGTATATTTGTTATCTACAGCCAAGATTGAAAGGTTTGGAGAGGCTATTTATATCTATTTTTTGAGTAGCTCCAGTACCAATACACGCTCTTGTTGGTAATGCAGGAATGTTTATGTGTTCTGGTATCAGATGACTCTGAAGAGGTGTCTGCACCTGCACAAGCATTCTTTGGATATCTGTTGTCGTCAAGTGGAAAACGTCATATTGAAAATGATATTGCTGTGATCTTTAACAGGCCTGTATTTTGATTTTCTGAAGTACGTTGACTGAAAATGGAAACCATGTCTTCAAAGGAACAATTTTTTGATTTCAAAATTTTTTTTACAGGCTTATTCAAAAGCTTCCAAAAGTGGTGCTCGGAAGCGAGGAGTCACTTGCGCTATCACATGCTAAGAAACTACTCGCAATAATTTACTTCTCTGGACCTCAGCTTGTGGCGCAGCACCTCTTTCAGTCTTCTGTATTCATAATTTTTCTTATTTCTATTTCTCCTTTTTGTCTTCTTTTTCTTTGGGTTTGGTGTGTTTCTTTTTCCTCTTTTTGTGTGTGTGTGTGTGTGTGTTTTTTTTTTGGGGGGAGGGGAGTGTGGAAGCTTCTATCGGATGGTGGTAGCAACTACACAACCCCGTGGAGGTGGAGGTGATTTGGTGGGGTTAGCCCTCCTCCACCCAGTGGGATTCAGTCACTGACATCTTGTGCAGTGGCAGGACACTTAAAATACCTAATCTGGTGACACCTTCCACTGCCATATTAATTTTCTCTAGGAAGATCTCATCACTTGACCATGCTTCCCACCTTTTAAATCGTTGCCATCTTTCTTCAAAACCATTTCATAAATGCAAAAAAAAAAAAAAAGAAAAAGAAAAAGGAAACGAAATAAAGAAAGAAAAGGAGCTCCAGGACCTCCCAATTTACCGTCTCTTGAATCCGTTCATGCTCATGTTACTTTTGCTTATTTTTTTAAATATTTTGCATTCCAGTACTTTGTCTGAAACCATAAAATTGATCTCTTGGAGTGGAATGTGTAGGTAACAGCAGCTCGATTCTTGGATGTTTTTGCCCTCTGCTTGAGTCACAATTCAGTATGTGCTGGTTCCCTTGACAAGGTTATTTCAGCAAGGCCATCCTCAACTGGCTACCTGCGTTCTATAGCTGAGATGAAACCTAACATTTGTTTTTCTAATGACAACATGAATATCATGGATGCTGAAGGTTCAAAGTTCCCTGGTATTCAAAACCACAGGGCACATAACCTGCTGGAAAATGTACAGAATGAATATGAGCTGCCACACATGCCACCTTGGTTTAGTAATGTTGGCAGTCAGAAACTTTATCAGGCTCTCGCGGGAATCCTTAGACTTGTAGGTTTATCTTTATTTGCAGGTTGCTTCAGCTCTTTAGACCCTGTTTCTTTTCTGAGATTGATTTCTTCTGTACTCTGTACTTAAGCCCGGCCTTATCTTTTTTGCTTGTGACCAGACTCTCGAGGTGAAGGGTCTCTATCAGTTATCACTGATATTCCACTAGGCTACTTGCGTAAATTGGTTGCTGAGGTCCGGACAAAAGAGTACAGTAAAGAAAGTTGGCAATCTTGGCATCAAAGAACCGGTTCAGGACAACTGGTGCGGCAGGCTAGTACTGCTGCATGTATTCTGAATGAGATGGTATTTGGTTTATCAGATCAAGCAGTTGATCCTTTTGCACGAATGTTCCAAAAGTCGAGGTTAAGATGGGGAGAAATGGAGAAATATGATGCAGGATGTGATGATAATCAGCCTTTCAAACTTGAACAGGCTGTGCCTGATAAATTTGTTTGGAAGGTTTGTCAAGTGACAGGTTCAAGGAGTTACTTGATTGACTGCATTGGCAGTATTTTACACGAATACTTATCGCCTGAAGTGTGGGATCTACCAGTGGAGCATGTATCTTCGTTTCAACAATCTGACAGTAGAGCAGGAGACATTAGTTTGCACTTTTTCCACGATAATGCAATGCTACAGCAGGAAATATACAGCTTCATTCCTTAATTGTGCATGTGGTTTATTATATTATTTCAGATATGAAATTTATCCAGTATTTTTTTTTCTCAAACAGGTTATCATTGATGGGATAGCCATCTTTAATGTGTGCCTTGGAAAAGATTTTTCCTCTTCAGGATTTCTTCATTTATCTCTTTATGTTTTGCTTGAGAATCTTATTTGCTCAAACTTCCAAATTAGAAGGTCATCTGATGCTGCCCTACATATCATTTCTGCTACTTTTGGCTATCCAACAGTGAGTATAAATGGTACAGTTCACAGTTTGTCATGGATGTGAGGATCAATGACTGTCATTTAAATTTCTTGCAGGTGGGGCACTTAGTTTTAGCAAACTCAGACTATGTAATTGATTCCATATGTCGACAACTGCGTCATTTGGATCTTAATCCTCATGTGCCGAATGTGCTCGCTGCCATGCTTTCGTACATTGGAGTTGCTCACAAAATATTGCCGCTGTTGGAGGAGCCTGTACGGTTATTCCTATGAACACACCAATTCCTGTTTAGCAAGCAGCTTGTTTGTTTTCTAGCTTGCCTTGAAGACTATTTGCTCATGGATAACTTTTTCTTTGTTTGTTGCCTTGTATTACATGTTCTATATTTGGAATTTTTTCTTAGGTTTGCTTCTCCTAGGCTTTTGATTTTTGTAGTTCTATTTATTCTCAGATGGTTCTTTTTTTTTTCTCTCGCTCTTGTTTTCAGATGCGCTCTGTTTCGCTGGAACTTGAGATTCTTGGCAGGCATCAGCACCCCGATTTAACCATTCCCTTCTTAAAGGTCATAGTTCAGAAATAATTTACTCCTTCACGTCATTGTTACCCATTTGGGAATTTTTAGTTTTTTGTTTCTTTGCTATTCCAGGTTGTGCTGTGCTGTACAACTAGTAATAACACAGTAATGAAATGAAGAAAAGATGATAGAAGAATAAGTAGCTTATTCTCTACACAAGTTTCAAAACGACGTGTTGTCTATTTCCTTGCACAGATTTGTCTCTTAGAACTTATAAAGAACATATTTTCCATGGATTCTGAGTTCCAATTAAGGAAATTGCTGTGAGACTTGAGCTCTGGTATGCTGTATAACCAATTTCTGGTAGCTATTTTTCCTGGGGTGGCATTTTTCTTTCAGTTATGGATGGTTTCACAATAGTTGGTGTATCATCTGCATCTAGAAATGTTTACCTTGTTGATAATTATTTTCTTTTTTTAGGCAGTTGCAGAAATAGCCAAGGCATCAAATCTTGAGGCTGGTTCACTGCCGAATCAAGCAGAGTCATATTCTAAGCATGTCAAGTCTAAATTATCTGATGTAGAAAGAAAAGCAAGGAAGGATTCCGGTTTATCAAACTCTCATCGCGATAAAGACATTGACATGGCTCCTGTGGAATCTGGTGAGTATTTTTGAAGTTATCATGCTGTTTTGTTGATTGTTGATGTAACATGCATAATCAAAAGTGTTTTTGGGACAAAAGGAGAACCGCTGAGTCTGTTACATCAGTATGAAATCAGTTTGTGTTAATTTGATTGCTTGATGTTGAATTCATGTAGTTTACTTATAATTTTTTTGATGCAAATTTGATACCATGAAATGCTTCTGGGTTAATCTTTTGTTAGCTGAACGAGTGTTTTCCTGAGATTTACCTTTATTTTGTGCTAGAAACAGAGGTGGATGCCTACTCCATAGATGATTTGCAAATAGACCAGTGGGAGTCAGCTTTGCTCAAATTGAATGATTCCAAAAGATATAGGCGAACAGTTGGATCTATTGCTGGTTCTTGTATAATGGCTGCAACTCCACTACTTGCTTCAGTTAATCAAAGAGCATGTTTGGTTGCCCTTGATATAGTTGAGGTATAGTTCGGGCTGATAGTTCTTATTTTCGAATTTCTGCGGTGATAAATTGACTTTGGATCTCAGAAGCATCAATGCACATTTTAAGAAGGTTCCTTAGGTTTTACGTGCTTTAAGCATCAACGCACTCTTTGAAAGTATTGATTCCTAGGGTTGTTTTCTGTGAGACCAGCTGTGTTTGTCCATCCTTCTCCATATTTGATTGCTGTCCCCTTTCTATTAGTGAAGTATCATAGCCATATTATTTTGAAAAGGGGAGCTAATTGTGGTATTCATTTAAAGAAAAATATCAAAACAGGGGGCTTCAATGCATCTTAATCTTTGTATTAGAGAAAGGGGAAAGGGGCTTTTGCTGTGTTAAAGTGAAGAACTTCACATAGCTTTGGGTGAGGACAAGCAGTTGGAGAAGTTCATACAGCTAGTTAGGTATTCCGGTTGTCCGGCCACATGATGAAATTTTTTTCCTGCATTTGTAGTGGAAAATTCAATTTTTTCCGGTCTAGAGACATACAATGATAGTAATATTTGAGTGTTTGAATCTATAAAACTGGGATGGGCCAATGGTTGTTCCACAAAATGGAAGTGTTGCTTCATTGTAAGCTGAAATTGATTCAAGCAGGGTCTGTTATAGCAGAAACAGCAAATGATACCCTACTCAACTGCAGTCACTGCTCCAAGTTACATTGATACCCCAATTTTGATTACTGGCTTTTTACCATCAGAAGCTGTGTCAAAACTCAAGAGTTATTGAAATTCCAGGAGGTGTTTGAACTAGGATTGTTTATTATTGCATTAGTTTTACATCACGGACTTAAGTGATATCTGTTTTATTTCCTGCATTCATGGTGATTGTGGATTTCTAGGATGGCATTATGGCACTTGCCAACATAGAAGCTGCCTACAGGCATGAGAAGGAAACTAAAGAAGCAGTGGAACACGTTTTCCAGTTGTGTGGATTTCATAATCTTCGGGATTCTTTGGATGCAGCTGAGGATGGAACTGAGGAAAATAGGTTGCTTCCTGCGATGAATAAAATATGGCCTTTCTTAGTTGCTTGCATTCAGAATAAGAATCTGGTGGTGAGTGATCTGTCACTTTTCTTTGCTTGCTTGAAGTCAATATGATTCTTTTCCCCAAATTTTCTATCAAATTTTATGCAATCATTTGGGGAAGCTAAAAAATTTGTGCCATGCTGGTTATGCTGTAAAAGCTCTAATACCAATTCTCATGCCACAGAAGCGCATGCATACATGGAACCTGTTACAAATTATTTATAAAAATAAGATACATGTAGTAAACAGCAATATTTGCATGATTTGATTACTTTTCTACATCCAAGAACAAGAGAGGATTGACCGCTATGATCATCCGGAAGTTAACATTCAATAGCACCCAATCTTAAGCCATGTGATCATCTGTGAACCATCCTGGTGGTTGGTGCCAGGTCCTTGCTTGATATTTTGTTCTCTCTCTCTCTCTCTCTCTCTCCACATATATACATGTATAGCTTAACTTTCCACAAAACAATGCACACATTGAAATCCATTTCTTTTGCAGCCCTCTTCTAGTGTCCTAGGATTTATTAATACTGTTGTATTGCAAGTTCCTTGGGAAATGTGGTCAAAACCCATAAGCAGCTTTACATAAACCTTACTTTGGAACAGGAGGGGGTTATTTAGCAATTCGAGGTTACATTAAATGGTCAATTGCCCCTCGAATTTTGTATCCTATAACTTCTCTTGTAAGCCTTATCTGCAACCCTATTTGATGACTGTCAAAGTTATCTATTCAGTTATGCAAGTTTCTTTACTTATCAGAATTGCTCATATTTGCCGAGTCCTGTGTTGGATGATCTTGTATATTTTTTGATTTGGTGTGTAAACAGGCTGTTCGGAGATGTTCAAGTGTCATAAGCAATGTAGTGCAAATTTGTGGAGGAGATTTCTTTTCTCGTCGTTTCCATAGTGATGGCGTCCACTTCTGGAAACTTTTGAACACGTCCCCATTTCAGAAGAAACACATCTCAAAAGAGGAAAGAATGCCCTTACAACTTCCTTACCGAAGCACTTCTATGTCCTCAGAGGAACCAATGGCTGAGATTTCCGATCTGAAAGGCCAAGTGGCGGTGCTCAATATGATAGCTGACTTATCTAAGAACAAAAGGAGTGGTTCAGCATTGGAAGCAGTCCTCAAAAGGGTCTGTGGTCTTGTTGTAGGGATAGCTTGTAGCGGAGTTATTGGGCTGCGAGATGCATCGATTAATGCCCTTACAGGACTTGCATCCCTAGACCCAGATCTTATCTGGCTCCTCTTAGCTGATGTTTACTACTCCTTGAAGAAGACAGACATGCCTATGCCACCGTCTGGAGATTTACCAGAAATCTCTCAAATTTTGCCACCGCCATCATCTCCTAAGGGGTATCTTTATGTGAAGTACGGAGGGCAGAGTTATGGCTTCAACATCGATATTTCTTCTGTGGAAATTGTTTTTAAGAATTTGAATTCTAAAGTTTTTACTACTCAAATGTACAGTTAGATTTGGACGAAAATATCCATGCAAGTCAACTTTTTCATTTATTACGTCTTTGGTCTTCTCTTCTCTCTCACAACTCTCGTCCATCATCTAGTACACTTTCCTAGGTTCGAGACACTAATATTGTGACCAATTTCTAACATTATAGCATAGTTTTTTAAGGTGCCCCCTCCCCCCTCCCTCTTCTTGCATGACAACATTGGAAACAATTTATTTTTGGTCGTATTCCACTTGCCCATGAATATGCATGCATAATAAAAACCTCGTGAGCTCCATTATTCAACATAGAAATAGATGCTGCTACTTTCTGATTGAAGCAGATACCCTCTGACCCCTCTCCTATTAATGCTTGCTCTGATGAATTGATAGCTTTAGATCAGTAGTGTCCTCGGTAATGGAGGAAAAAATGTTCACCCACCAAAAATTTGGGCGAAAAACGAGAGAGGCTAGATTCACCGTGGTAATTTTTCTTTTCTTTTCTTGATCATTTGTTAATTGGTATTTTACACCAAATAAATTTGACTCTGCTAATTCCTAAAAAAACTTGAAGAGGAACTCGTCTGGGCTGGCTACTCCGACCAAATTCTCATTCAGTAGTTTCAAGTTTCGTCCACATCTTCAGTTTTGTGTGAATCTCTCTCTCTCTCTCTGACATTTTGTTTTTGTTTACGTAATTGTTTGGGTTGGCTATTTTCACAATTGATGGGCTTTAGCAGCCCAGAAACCCTATTGGGTGTGGCAGCCTGCTGTGCGATTCAGTTTGTGGGTTGTGGGCTTTTTCTGAAAGTAAAGTTGTGTAAATATGGGATGGGACTATGGGAGGCACACACACACGAGGTTGACACAGAGAGTCACAACCTTGGAATCTGTTCTCACTCTCAAAAGGAAAAACGAAGGCGTCGGAGTGATCGGTAGCGACAGGAAGATGGGGGAGGAAGAGGAGAAGAGAAAGAAGAAGAAAAAGAGAAGTTCCTTGTCTCCCTCAGAAGGTCTTTGACACTCTCTCTCTCTGTCTGTCTCTCCCTTTGTCTCTCTCTCCTAATCTATCATGCAGTCGCATAATTTTACGCAGATGAAGGTAAGAGCAAAAGGCGTAGAACAGTGGAAGACAAGGAAACAAAGAGGAACAAGAAAGACAAGTCCCAGTCCAAGGATCGGAAGAAGCAGCACCACAAATCTCATAAATCATCCAAACACCATTCTGATAAAGGTGTCGTTTCGGAATTGTTTGTTTTTATTCTATATTTTTTTCTCCCTTTGATCTTTCGAAACTTAATTGCGCAATTTCCTTTATCTTAAAAATTTGAACTGGTTAATGTTTCTTATTACGGAGTACAAGGAATTTGATATTATATAGTCAACCGTAGGAGTTAGGACCGTTCGGATGTGTGTCAATAAGCTGCTATTCATTAAGTTGTTAATGGTGTAAGGATACCTAGGTGGTCCTCGATTGGTATTGAGGGAAAATTGGACAAGTTAGGCTAAAGGTGTACAGTCGCATTAGCCTGATGGTAACTCTCGCTGGAATTTACATTTGATTTATTTGTGGACCTCAACCACAATAGCTTTCGTCCCAGCTGTGTTTAAGTGGCTTGATTTTTACAATTTACATCTGTTTGATTATATGTTCGGTATTAGCTGCCCATGTCTTGAGTTCGCATCACCAGAGGGGGATCCTAGGAATTATAAGTTGATGAACTGGATTCCCGTTGCTGCTGAAGGGTTATAAGAATCTAATGAAAAATAATAAGTTGCTCCACACTTTTTTTTCTTCCTTATTTGTGAATCGGCTTTCCAGAGGTGACTTCTTTAGCTCTTGAGGATTGAGGGAGATGTCTTGCTCCTTATCACTTCCACAGACACGAAACCATGATAGTAGTCTTTTGGAAACAGTTGTAGGGGGCAGCATTTGCATGGCACATGTTTGGTGCCCGTGATTTAGTTTTGCTAAGGAGCAAGTTTGGTGAATCTTCTCTCGGAACAAAAATATGGTAAATTTATCTGACTTGACATTGACAATCAGCATATGTTATCTGAAACAAAGAAAATCAATTACGTTAACAAAAATATAAATGTTTTTACTTCTTATATTATATTTGAAAAATGCACGACACTTTAAATAATAAATTAGTATCCAATTCAATGATCAGGAGCCCATCCTTGATCCAAACCGGATTATGTATTACTTAGCTTCATACGAAGCCTTTGGGTCGTTTTTCAAGCCACACCAATTTATAACTCAAAGCAGTGATAAACACTCTCCATTTCCACTTGGCTTGAAAGTTTACACAAACCAAATCAATGGAAAAAAAATTCAACAGGACTGGGGAATGGTGATCACACCGATGACGTTCAACTCTATTAATGCATTCCCTCTTTTATGCCTAATTGCTGTGACCCCTCCTAATACAATCCTTCTATATCTATCTTTTTCATTCTCCGTAAACCAGCCCTATCGGAAATGACAAGCGGCTCGACTGTTTTGCAAGTTGGTCTAGGTGTGGAGTTTGATGGCGAAGTTCCAGCCGAGAACAAGAGTAGGTCCTTTTTCTCAACTGGACCAGACCATGAGCTCGGCTGTGTTGATGAGTGATGCTGGTGGTGGGTCCAAAGTGTGATCATTCAAAAGCGACTGAGAGGGAGAGAGGGAGGCTGATTCAATGGAAATCTCTCTCTCTCTCTCTCTCTCACACACACACACACAAAAAAAAAAAAGTGGTAATCTTTTTAGTCTTCCTTATCCTCAAACCAACAGTACTTTTATTAGAGCTGGTAGATATCATATTTTTCTGGTGTCAAAAATGTAATTTTCAATGTTCACAACAACGACCAAAAGTGGCTCTCTTCCTTTTCTTTTAGCTTATAGATATTCTATAAGCGCAGTAGTGTGGCTGGTACAGGTGCAGTCAGCAAATTGTTTTGCAACACAGGAAGTGAAGCACACAATTGGGTCATATTGCATGTTGCATGTTCGATTTTTTTTGAATTTCAGTTTTATATGATTCCTCACCTTACATGAGCCTACTTGTTGCTATAGGTGTTGATTTTGACTTTAGATTCAATTGTCAGCAATCAGTTTTCTTTTTTCTCTACCATTTTTCATCTGATTCGAGAATGCTTTTAGTTTAATGATTTCTCACCAATCTGAAACATTGATCAATCTGATGGGCTGATGTTGTTACAGGAAAAAAGTCTGATGAGAAACACATTGGTAAACGTCACAAGCATGATCCTCATTTGGTGCGTACTCTTATTTAGATATTTTTCCTTATGCATATTTAGATATTTAGTTCTGTTCACTTGGAAGAGTTCAAATTGATATTTTCCCTTGTGCATATTTAGATCAGAGTTTATTTTATTGATTCAGCTGCTCCTAATGAGTGTTTTGTTCATTTTGAATGTGCTAAGATAATTAAAATTGGTTAAATCAATTTTGATGAAGGTAGTTTGAAATCTTCTCTCTCTGCGTGTGTGTGTGTGTATGTTCTTATTTTTTCCATATTTAAGGCTGCAATAAAAATAAAAAGGTTTATGCATAACAGGGTGGATCTGTAGAAAACTAATGACATAAAAATCAGAGGGAAATGGGGAGATGTGTGTGTGTGTGTGAGAGAGAGAGAGAGAGAGAGAGAGAGAATCATAAAATTGATGGGATGAAACTTTTGAGTAATATATTATTTTGGATCCATTATTTGAGATTCCATGAATTGTAATCCTTTGTTACCTTTAACTTGGTCATGTGAAAGTCATTTCACAGCTGGGATACCTAATTCATAGAAATTAAATAGATAGCTTCTGTTTTTCATTCTGTACCACAAGTGATAATTGTAAAAATTGACATAGGTATGTTTCAGAACTTCATGCTAGGAAGTAGGAGTAGGTACTATTAACTAATTGTTTAAGTAGTTTTTGCAGGTTACCAGAAGGAAATTAATACTATGACTCAATTGACATATGTAACAACTGGGCACTGGCAAATGCTGCCTTCTGGTACAATTATCTCTAAATAAAATAGAAATGCTGCCGTGCTATATTTGAGCTGAATCTCGCGGTAAATGGAAAATTGGAAGATTTATTATATGACTTGTATGACACTATTTGTTTCTCCAGCGAGCTCCTTGTTTGGGGAGACAATGTGGACTGAGATGTACTCTAGGAGCATCCACTAACTCCATATAACTGCTGTTGAAATATGTCAGATGGTACACCTGGAAGAATATTTATTCTATTCTGATTTTGGGGATTTTATTTGCTTATCCATTTGGATGTTAGTAACTGCTCTGAAAAGTGAAATGGTGAGTTCTACACAAGATAGAGAGTTTCTGGGGATGGATAATGATCTTTATGGAGTATATGTCGAGGTTTTTTTCATCTTTTTCTCTGAATCAACCTGAAAGAAAGGGAGCATTCTGCACATGGGGACCAAAAATCATGACAAATAAGTCAATTCAAGCTGTGGAGCTTATCTGTGTTTTGTTGACAGATCCAAAGAAGTCTGTCCTCAACTCTTCCAATCCATAGTCCATATCACCCAGTAAAACTGATATTTCGGATGTTTTTAGCTTGATGATTGATCCAAGCAAGTATTGCTGTTACCATTCAGAATTTGGCCGGAAAAAATCCATTTCCACTTCCACTCTTTTTTCTCATTTGAAGAAATTTAACAGCTTTGCATGCCTACTTATGTGTTTCACTTTCATATTGACCATCTTCTCATGTTATATTCACCTAGTTATCTTTCAGGATCTTTATGTAAAATTCATGTACAGTTAGCCTTTGTCAACCTTTGTACTTTCCTTTCATGGTTGTCCAAATTAGGGCAACTGCCTATTTTGTGAAGTGATGCACTGCTAAGAGTCTTTCATTCACCATTTGGGTTACATTTCACGAGGTCTTAGGTGACAATACATGTGTATCCCCGTTTGCAGCTGTTGACTTTCTTTAGAATATAAATAAAGCATACATATCTTTTTGTCACATGATATTTTTCTTTCATTTCTTACACTGCTTATATTTTTGGGTAGTTAATTGTTTAAGTAAATCGTGGTTTTCTCGTCTTTCAGAAAGTTAATCGACAAGAACTGTCTGAGGATGACTACTTCTCCAAGAACAACGAATTTGCTACCTGGCTGAAAGAAGAGAAAAATTTGTTTTTCTCAGATCTTTCGTCTGAGTCAGCACGCGACCTATTTTCACGGTTTGTCAAAGACTGGAACAATCAAAAGCTTGAATCCCAGTACTATGAGGGCATTTCGACTGGGCCACGCACATCTCATAAGTGGAAAATTAAACAATAGTGGAGTCCTCAAACTTATTGTTCTTACGTTTTGTTGTGGCTTCTGTATCTACTGATCTACAGTCGTTTCCTATGATAAGTTTTAGGAAAATTAACATCATCCCCGTACCCCTTGTTGTTTTTCACCTTTTATTTTTTGTTACATGATAAGCTAGTTGGTTTGGTTGTAGTGAATAGTTGAGAATGTCTAGACAAGTATTAGAAAATTTGCATGCTTGAGATTACCATGTATTTATGTCAACTTTGTTGCTCAATTGATTCAGCACTCATACGAGTCACACCCAATAAAGAAAAAAAAAAGGGGGGGGGGGGGGGGGGGGTTGATTTAGCTCTAATTGGTATGTGGGTGTGTCACATAATTTTAGTCACAGAATTTATTTTCAAAATTTGATCAATGTTTTATTTTGATTTATTTTATTATAATAATTTGCTGCCTTGGAGGAGTGTATTTCTTGTTCTATTTCCATTTTAATACACTGTTTGTCTTTTCACTTAATAAAAAATCATACATGTACAAGTGTAAATTCACTAATAAATAATGAATTACACTTTAATTGATAATAGGTGATTTATTAAAGGAAATCAACTAAAATGTATCGAGTATGTGTCATAATGAAAAATCTAGTTCAAAAAGACTGCAATGATGGATCTTTATCCTCCATAATTCATCAATACTCCATTTGCATGCTCCAAAAAGCAGTCTAAGCTCTGTTTTGTTAAAAAGATTATGAATGCTATCAAAAGAATGCTGTTGCCTCTCAATCTCATTGTTACGGAATCACTGCTCATCACAAAATCACAGCATAACACTGCAGATAGAAACATGCTGCGACCAAAATGTGGCAGCCAGAATGGCCATCACTGTACCATACATACTCCCAAGCTTTAATTTAAAAGTAAAAGAGCCAATCTGGCAAAAGTACCCAATCTACTCAACTTCGTTTTAAGACTGAAAGAGGAGATGCAGAGGCATAGGCCATCTAAAACAGTCTTGATATCAGAAAAGGAACATCAGTAGGCTTTCATGATACAGAGCATTTTATAAGAAATGAAATCAGGGCAAACTGAATCCGGTAAGTTTTAGTTTTCCCAATCCCTTCGCTAAAAGACAAACTACTCAACTTCATCCAGGAAATCCTTGATTTCCGCTGGTGTCAGTACTCTGCAACAAAACAATTCACCAAGATTATCAAGCAACTCATCAAAATGTCCATAGGAGCGCAATCAGGTACGAGGAAAACAGAAAACTTGCCTGAATTTTCGGTCCGTACCAATTATGCCAATCTCAATATTTTTGCCAGATATTTGTCCTTCAAATCTGGGACAGAAACACAGAAGTACATGTTATTAAGAGTTCATCTAAACAGTAACAAAGAAGAAATTTTACTAGCCAAAACTTCACGAGTAGACATTTCTTAGTGCCATCAAATATTCAAAAGCTTACTTCCCCATGTTCACATGTACAACAAGACAGTAGTAACAGGAGATGATCAGACAAGCTCAAGCTTACACAAGTATGAGACTTCAGAGATTACAGTTTTTGCCCAAACTAAAACAGTTTTTTAACAAAATAATTTCCAACCTAACACTATTGTAGCAGTAATCCAGTTCTAATGCTCTAGTTGCCATCTGAGCAATTTTTATTTGGAAAGTGTTTTGACACATAAGAACTTAAATACATTTTCCCATAAAAACGTCACAGAAACTTTACAATATTCCTGCAAACCATTTTCGGCTCATAGTTTAAGTAATCTGTGGTTCATAAGCAGGTATCTCTTTGGTCAAATACAATCCATATCCTGCTTCTTTGCTTGATTGAGTTGCTACAGGGTCCTATTAAATAACTAACAGGTGGACTACGGTAAAGAACTTCATTCTTAAACCATGGAAACAAGAATTGGTCTTCATGTTATGGAAAAATTTAACTTAACCAAGTATCAAATGGAGTTCTATCTCGCATTTGAAGAGAATGAATCCTACTTTTTCTTCCATGTAAAACTAGCGCAAATGATGGCCTTTGGTCAATGAAGAGAATCACTTTCCGGCTGCACTCCCACTCCTCTATTCATTTGATATTATCGATGACGGGTAACAGAGGGACCGTTTCATTTTTGTAGGTTGGTTTGGTCTATTGCTTTTTCATTGTGCCTATTTCGCTTTAGGGGGTTGGTTCACAGGTACCACCGTTGTAACTTCATGGTATACTCACGGATTGGCCAGTTCCTATTTGGAAGGCTGTCATTTCTTAACTGCCGTGTTTCTACTCCTGCTAATACTTTATTAGCACATTCTGGCCAGTTCCTATTCGCACATTCTTTATTGTCTAAATTAATTGTTTTCCCCTCAAAAGAACATGTTATTGTGTTGAGAATTTTAAACAAAAAATAAACCTGGCAATCACTTTCCAAGACAACTAGGAAGTGGCAAAAAAAAAAACATTCGAGGGATATGAGGCACAAAGTACTAAAGCTATGAGCCCAAAAATGGTTTGCTGGGATATTGCATTGGAGTTGATGAGAAAATAACAGAGGAATCTTCAATGTCTATATGAGGTTTACTATGGAGTATGGGCAAATGGTTTAGTTCTTGAGTCAAACATTGTCCAAATATACTTCTTCACAAGGCAACTAGATCATTAAAATTGGAATTACTTTCACAGTAGTGTTAGATTGGGAATTATTTAGAAGATGGTGTTAGTTTGAGCAAAAATTCTCAGCAACTAATTTAAGACTGAAAAGTTGTAAAGGATTTTTTTTTTTTTTTGATTTCTACTCATGCAGTAAAGCAACTAAAATAAGTTTTCCCTCTTCCAAGAAAAATCAGAGAGAACTACTGATACCACCTGATGGAAGGCAAAAAAATTACTAAAAAACACGTTACTCCGAATTGCAATCACATGGAAAATATCTGCTTACCCTTCCTTCAGTGTCAAAATAGCAGTGTGCACAGCATCGTCCAGTTCCATATCATCTGTGTACCTGCAAGAAACATTAACTTGATCAAAACTGGTCCACAAAATTCAGCAGGATTTGAAATCCTTAGAACCAAGTAAACATTAACCCAGTTCAGTAGCACCATTAGAGCCTAGCAAAAATCACACACAAAAAAAAAAACCTCAAAGAAAAGAACTCAACTCCACATAATGCATGTTGTAACATAATTAATAAGACAACATTGCCAATTAACCAAATAGTGGGTATAATAGGTGAGCTTGGAATATAGTTTAATCATTTTACATACTGAAACTAAGGAATGATCCACCAGATAAACGATAGTACAGAAATTTGAAGAGAATTCACCTCTTTTCAAGAAATGTTTTTGCGTTAGACACATTCTTTCCCATGGCTGAAGCTTTCCAGGAGAAGTATGAACCTGATGGATCCACCTGCAGCACGAAAATCAACAGAGCTATTGGTGAAGTAATCTTGAAAATTATTCAAGGCAACTTAGAAAAACAAAATAATTCTTCCAGGACTAATATTCATAAAATTAGAACTGCTTATGAGAAGAATGAACTTTGTACAGCATCAAGGACCAAATTAAACCCACAGAGGTCATTAAAAAATTACAAACTACTTTATCCCAAGCCATGTATCGAGATTAACTGAGCCATACTTTCACAAGCTTGTGTTAACTGCGTACATGTGCAGAACAACAGCTGCTATGTGGGTACAGCAGGGATATTGTGCTGTAAATGGGAAAAAAACAGTTTCAAACCTATTCAGGTTTTCAATAATAATGCAATGGCTGATGGCACCTCCCCCTCCCAAGAAAATTAAGCACATAAATTAATAAATAATTTTTTTTCGCAAGTGTGGTGACTCCGGTATCAGTAAATGACACTTCGACTAGTGTTAACACTCACTATACCACCAAAGCCCTCAAAATGTAAAGTTGAGAACTGATGACTTCTAAGAGAAATGACACTAGATGCCAACTAAATTTAAGGAAGAAAGCCTGTGAGAGCTTTAGTTATTAGCAAGAAGCACCAAAACCGCAAGATCAACACCAATTAGGGCACAAATGAAATACCTGATACAGTTGTGGACCCTTGTCATCAAACCCAGCAACCAGGAGTGAAACACCAAAAGGCCTTACACCACTACCACAAGAAACAGAAAAATGAGAAACTGTAGTAGAAATAAACATCTCCGGGCTCTCTTACAGATCCAAAAAAAAATGTTTACCAAATCACAAATCTAATCCTTTTTCATCTTTGCATGATCCCAATTTATATAGATCTACACAAAATTTAGTCCGGAATTTGGACCCAGAGCCAAGGGTGGCAACTGGAAAGGTCAAGTACTCGTATCAACTTTGTGCAGTTCAAAGAAACTTTGAGCCTATATTTCTGCATTTTAATCTATCTTCCAGCCTGTGAATTCTTCCTGAAACAAGAAGAGCTATTACAATATCACTTTAGTTTTCAATGAGCATGACATTGCCTCTTAAATCCTTGTGCAACCAAAGAAATTTCTCTTTGTTAAGGAATGCTCCATTTTTAACTTATGTAGATGTGCGGTTCAGACGTCCACTTAGTTTCACCCAAGCTTCATACATGTCATGGATGGAACAGTTAGGTTCGAGTCCTCCATAAGCAGTAAGTAGGGGTAGGGCAGTTGCAACTAGCCAACATTCCTCAATAATTTTAAGAAACAATTAGGTGACGGCTGCAGTGCTATTTTTTTTTTTTCCCCCATTTTTGCAGCTGCAGTGTGCAAGCATTTTGAGTCTTCAAATTTCAGGAATACAACATTCTTATCACACCTTCCCCAAAAGACTGAAGATTGATAATTAACAAAGAATAGGACTGAACAAGGTAAAGCCAACCAGAAAACACTACTCCTTAAATCTGTACTGTACGATATTAAATCATGAAAGAGGGAAATAATAACTACCCAGACTGAGTGAATTCCTGCATAACAGCGGCAGTCTCCCTTACAAGTTGCGTAACAGGGATTGGCTCCTACAAATTACAAAGTTGCCATCATCACAAATCGTTTTGCAAGATACAGTGGCTGTCCAAGACATACAGTCAAAATGTAGAGGCTAAATTAAGTTAACGATTCATAAAATTAATCAGCAAAATAGTTGGAGATTCTAAATTACTTTAATATAGATGCTGTACAAGACATTCCCAACCACAAACTTGTACTATATGTGTACGAAATGACTAATCCCAAAGCAAATCCCCATTGTACAAGATCAACAAATTTTGTTCCTAAGCCACAAACTAGATAACTGTATTTTAAAAAGGAAACAGAACCACAAAGCCATTCATTGCAGTAATATATACATGGTGCTTTATATATGATTTCTAAATATGAACATATAATAAGATAAATATCCTGATCTCCAGTTTTAAGTAATGGACATATCTCAAAGAACTTTAGCACAGTTAATGTAATTGATGCTGTGGCAAAGACAAAAATGAAAAAGACAACCACATTTACACAAAAACAGCTACTTAACAAAAAAAGGAATATCATCTCCATCTTATTCAACAACTAAACAGAATTTGAATCACACATAAGAAACCAATTAATACTTTATACAGTCGATGATACTGTTCAGCCTGCTTCCTACTTTTTCGAACCAAAACACGGAAATCAGGGCCCATGCCGCTACAAAAGAAAAGAATGCTTGTTAGACTGTAGACATCCGTATACCTAGAAAAAGAGAAGGAGACAAGCTTACTCTTGCAAAATAGAACTGCAGACAAAATGAATTAAGCATATAGAAATAAGATACATTTGCTTCTCACAGAAAAAAACATCCAATTATACTGAAGAGGATTCATTATCAAGTATTGAGGATTTTCATCCAAATAAGCATCAACACCAGGTAGAATTGACCTCCCAATCAGTCAAACACATAGTTACATTCTGATGGCGTGCTTTCTCCAAGTACCCTTCCAGGGACCTAGAATCAGGACACTTAACACCAATTTAAGCAAAACAGGCACAAAACAAGCTAGAGAATCAACTTCTCCATCACTCAAATACTTGTTTTCTGAGTCTCATAGCTGCATGGATTAATTCTCATGGCATGTTTCTTACAAGGCTCCTTTAAAATACTATACAACATCAAATTTTAAGTGAACTATTTATTGAAACATGTATCAATTTTAGGCAGCGCAACTATGACATAATATAAACATTACGTATTTAAACCTGTACACAACGCCAATATTTGGGGTCAAAATCTGAATCTTTTGCACCTGCAGTCAGACAAAGTGAAATATCAGAACCAGACCTTGTTATCTGACTTGATATATAGGAAAAACACAAAACTAATGATGCAGTGATAACAAGGCAACTGCAAGAAAGAATGGCACTCATCCAAGGAGCACATTCTTAACTAACTACTCCAAAAAGCCCAATGAAAAGACAGAAAGGCATCACCAGAGACAAGGTTTAATAAACAACTACTAAAACAACATCAACAAAGGATTTCTATACCATTTGTTATATAGCAGAACTAGTAGCCTACATGTGTACCCAGAAAATACTCACAGATGTTTCATCAACCAAGATAGATGGTAGTTTCTTCTCTGTCGCAATAACCACCCCATTAGCAGCTGCAATCACCAGGTGAACATGTAAACAATAGAAATAATAGACGATAATTGTTAAGCAACCAAGAGCAACGATGATGGTGATTTATAGTTGCATTTTAAAAAGGGGGTAGCATATTATTATAGCTGCATTAAAGGACACACAATTTTTCCAAAATACTTACATTTCTTTTTGAACAGATAAGTGTAAGTCTTTAACATATAAACCCCGTATTTTAAATCATCACACTTAATATATCACATAAATCACTGTTCAATACAACTGGTGCACCACTTGAGTCATGACCTTCAGATTATTATTATTATTATTTTTTGAACAGTATGACATTCTGATTATTTAGTTCTATGTTTCTATACAATAAATAAAAACTATCAGACCAAAAGTGGACTTTAGTTGCATATGGAAAGGATGTTATTTTTCTTATGTAAGGACCATCCAATTCATCATCAGAAATTACATGGAAAAAGTTTCTGGGTGGACAGCAGAATGTGATTTTAACATGAAGACAATTAACAGTTCTCATATGGCAAATACTTATTAAACTATATCTATCATGTCTGTCCAGTTTCCTACTATCTTATTTGTGGATAAAGCAAGAATTACGTAGCTCACGTACTAAATTTCAGTGGCTGTAGCCTTTAATTCATCTCCTTAAAAAATGGTCATATATAAAACTATAAAAGCACAAAAAAAATTAAAAGATTATAAGCTTGAAATTACCTTTAATCCCCAAAGATGTTTGGCCAGATGCAACGGCTGTTAAGGCATGTTCAATCTGAACAAGCTTCCCAGAAGGGCTGCATCAAGGTATACAGATATAAGAAAAATCAGATGATTTTCATTAGGAAAGACACATGCACACCCCCTATACAAACATATAGTGCATATGTATATGGTGCACCTAATTTTGGCACGTAAAATTGGAAAGTGTATTTGGGGAGTGGCTCCATACCTGAAAGTGGTGAGAGAGAAAGAGTACTGACTGTCTCCCATTGCTTTAAATTAACTGCAAAAAAAAAATTCGTCCGTAATGTTTATATTTACCATCATGAGTCCAGTACAACTGAATCCTAATTTGTATCTATTTTTGTATATGATGCATGATTTGAAGAAACCGAACACGTAACTCGTCAACCCTGAACTCTCTATAACAGTTCAAGTTCGTATCATGACCCTAAAAATACCTTTAAGCTCACCAGGATCAAATTGTTGGGAGCCAAAACAAAACAAAACAAAGGAGTGAGCATCGAAATCTGAAGATTTTGGGCACCATAAATCATACATTTGAAGATCCAATTTGTGTTTCTGATCCGTCAGTCAGACATATATTAGCACAAATTTCCAGGGTTTTAAGTGCAAAAAATGGAGCATTTACCTGGAAAATACGAAGTGCTGCCTAGGTCTTCCTCCGATGTTCTTCTGTCTTCAACAAAGAGGAAAGAGGGACAAAGAGAAAAGGTAATAATAATTTGGTGGGCGAGTTTTCTTGTTGAAGAAGAAGGGGAAGGGAAAGGGTCCGCTCCGCTCCGCTTTGTTCACAAACTTCTAACTACACCAAGACCATCAAATCAAGGGCCGCCTAATTTTGTTGGGCCCAGAAATGCAAACTTCTCCAAGCTAGCGTTTAGAGCCCACTGGGCTTGTTATCGACCACATATTAACATGAGCTATTTCGTCGTCGCCATTTATAAATCATAATCATAAATAAAGACGATAAGTCATCGCACACTGGATTATTCTATCACTATCTGTGTCGTTGTTGGCAGCCGCTTTCATAAGGTAAATTATTTCTCATGCACAATATTAGCGGATCCTATTTAAATTAATATGAGAAGAGGGAATCACACTTTACACCTCTAAATGATTTATAAAAATTATTTTACATTCTTAAAAATTAAAACTTCACCTTTCAAAGAAAGTTAGAGAGCGAGAGCGATGTCAATGGAGGTTAATAGAGATTGATGTCGTTGAAGTTTGACCGTTGGGCAAACGAGCCTTCGCAACTATTATCAAGTTCAACAATTGTCTACTATAACTTGAGTTAGGTTATAACATGTCCCTTATGACAGTATCAACCCATGCACTAAGCCATTGTTTAGGGTCCCCAAATAGGACGCTCCAAAATAAATTTCTTTATAACGTTACTAAACTTAAATTTTGGGCTTAATTTGAAAAATTTAATGTATTTCGGCCATTAAATTAGTAAGAGGAACTAGCATTGAATAAGTTTAATAGCAATCAAATAACTACAATTTTATAGGTGTCAAAATTAGATCCTTAAAATAAATACAAGTAATATAGTATTGTAAAATTTTTAGGATTTCTTACAAAAGTATTTAAGGCCCTAAAGTTCGAGCCAATGTTTATGATATATCAAAAATATGTGTTATCACCTAATAAAATATTTTTCTATCTTATTATCAAAACAAACCATTTAATTAATTGTCTATCAAATAATAGTTATAAATTATAAATTTATATTTTTTTAGATTAAATTTGAGGTCAATTCATATTTAGGATATATTTTTGCTTAATTATATGTTTAAAGCATATAAAAATGACTATAAAATAGCGTGAGCAGAAATATCTCACTCTCTTAAACTAATTGTAATCATAGTTGTGTTGCTAAAATTTTTCCATTAAAACATTTATTTAGTTCTCTACAATATTAAACACATGCTCTACATATTCCAATACCATTTAATTCACACAAATTTTAACTTTTATATTTGTTTTGAAAAAATTCATTTTTTTAGTTAATTTAAATTTTTATTATTTTTTCTTTATCTTCAATAGATAACTACTTTAATTATATTTGGTCGAGGATTCGGTTTTTGTTAATTAAATTTTAATATATAAAATTTGAATTCAAAATTTAATTAATATTAAAAAAATTATTTATATTATTATAAAATATATTAATAGAACTTAATTTAAAAAAATTTGCCTAAGGCCCCATATAAAGTTAGGCCGTCCTTGCCTTATGGGATAAGAGTGAGTGGTCTTTATATGGTGTAAAAAACAAATTGAACGTGAGAGCGTGTTCAACCGTTTAACTTCTTGATCACAGATTAGGTCAATTGTGCCGGTAATACTACTCTATAAATATTTCTGATACAAATTTATTTCCTCTCTTTCGGCGTGACCACACTCCAGAGGCAAAGAGATAAACCGAGAGAAAGAAGGGAATCCGCGACTACCCTTAATTCCCTCCGGTGGCTCTTCTACCTCAGGCGATACGCAACTTACCTTTATTTGGTGTCTGGTGCGTTGGTTGCTCTTTCAGTGGATTCTTCTTCTATCACTGCTAACTCTCAATCCGAATCCATCCATGGTTTTTTTTTTTTTTGGCTTGTTTTATTGGTTCAATGATAATTTTCTGACTATGGGGTGCGATTGGCATGTTTAGTTTTTTTTCTTCGAGGGTTCTGCGATTGTCTATTATTTGCATGTTTAGGCAGTTTTTTTTTTTTTTTTTTGTGTCTGTGATATTTATTTCAACGCTAAAGTAATTGTAACTGGCCTTATATCTTCTGCATCGGAGAATGAAGGGGTTTACTTGTGTTTTAACTGGATTTTTAAAGTGGCGTCCGCGTGTGTGACTATTTTTTCCTATTTGTTAGCGGCTGCGACAGTTGAATTGTAGTGGACTATATTTAAGATTGTCCATCCCATAAAACAGACATTTGATTAGCAGAAAAGGGCAGTCGCACTGAACATAATCGCAATTATGTATGATGAATGATGATTAAATAAAGAAATTAATGGTATTGCTATGCTTACTTCTTGTATTTCTTATTTTAGTGTCTTATTAATAAGGCTGTGATGTGTTGTTTTTATACCAAATTTGATTGAAATAATCTTAGGTTTTTATTATATGTTCATATCAAAAAATATGTTTACATATAATATCATTCAACGCCACGTCTTTATCTTGTCGTGTCCCGTCTCTGTGCTTCTTCTCATTGTAACCTTGGAATTTTTCTTTCCATAGATTAGTAGTTATGAATGGCAGAAGAGAAGGAAGAATTCAAGTCATTTAAAGATCTCTGAGTATGTGAGCAATTGGTGGAGGCTTGTGATAATTTGGGTTGGAAAAATCCATCCAAGATACAAACTGAAGCCATTCCACATGCATTGGAAGGTTCAGTCCCTTCAAGCCTTTTTTATATATTCTGGATTTTTTTTATTTGTATTTTTTTCTTTTTGGAACAACTCTGTTTTCTTTATTTGTCATTGGTAACTGATACTATTCTTGTTGGATTCATAATGGATTTTTATTTTTATTTCATTCCTTGATACTATTTTGGTATTTTCCTTTTAGATAATTATTTCACTCGCTGATTCAACTATCTCAAAACCTGTTCCAGGGAAGGACCTGATTGAGCTTGCACAAACGGGTTCTGGTAAAACTGGGGCTTTTGCACTCCCCATACTCCAAGCCCTTTTGGAAACTCCACAAGCATTCTTTGCCTGTGTGCTTTCTCCGACACGGTTCATTATCTGATTCATTATTTCATTTTGTGAAGGAAGTTGTTTATTACCTGGCCTTCATTAGTAATGTGTTCAATGTTTGTTGTTTTTGTATGTCTTTCTTGTTTTCCTGTTTCAAGGGAGCTTGCAGTTCAGATTGCTGAACAGTTTGAAGCATTGGGATCTGGCATTGGTGTGAAATGTGCAGTGGTTAGCTTCCTGTTGAATTAATACTGTACCTATTGAGCATCTTGTAATCTTTAATCTTTCCTCTGTGGCAGTCACAAAATGATAGTTAGTTCTTGCCTACATATAGACTAGCTGCATGTAATCTTTTCGATAGCATTTGCAAGTTCTTACCATGTGCAAATTCTTACCATGTGGTAGCCTTTAGATGACATGTCAATGTGTAATTTCAGGATTCCTACTCTAGAACTATAGGCTTGAAGCTTTTTAAGTGTTGGCAGCAACCAGAGGTTCTTGTGCAAATGCAAGATAGGAAATTTAGAATAATCTTGTTGCATGGTATTAACAATACTTACCATTGTTGGAAACCAAACTGCCTATCTGCTGAAGGCTGTATAAAAGCCTTTAAAAATCTGATTTCTTGCAAAAGTGGGTTCCCTCTTGGGTGATAACTGGTATAGACAGAAGGTATGATTGTATATAATAGATCTTGGCAGATTGGAGCCCTTCATGTGATACATAATTTTTATGAGCTGCATATTGTCTTTTTCCCATTTCATGGATGGATATCTTGTCCATCCATATTACTCTTTGATGTATCATTTTTAAATTAAAAAAGTTGTTTGGTTTCCAATTAAAAAAATGATTGAATATAATAGGCTTCGCATAAAACAACCATTAAACAAAAAAGAGATCGTCATTTTGCTTGTGCATCAAGAATGGCTAATGGAGACTTTTTCACCAGAGACTTGTTAAGAATACCAAAGTCAGAAATTGTTTGCAAGGTTCATTGTACTTAGTTGTTGACCATTTCCTTATTCGCAAGGGTGACTGACTTCCATATGTGACAAAATCCTGCACAAAGGCTAGAATATGTTGCTTTTGATTGTTTGAAATTCCTTGTGAAAAATTTCTCATTTCTGTTAGGAATTTAAAGCTGTTGCGTTTGGGTTACAGATTAGGAAAGGTGAATTCTGTCTTTTGGATGAATTTCTATTTTACTGGAACTTAGATATTAAAATTTGTTGAATACTATTTACTAGTATCAGCCATTTTTTATTCACGGGTTCATTGTATTTGTTGTTTGTCTCTTTTTTCTTTTTGCATTTTTTTTTTTTTTTTTTTTTTTTGGGGGGGGGGGAAAGGATTGTATTCTCTCATAAAGGAATTGGCTGTCTACCAGAATTGGATTTAACTTTTTTCACTGCATGCTCAGCTAGTCTGCTGAGATGCTGATTTCAGAAGTTTCAATTTCACAATGTATTCCTTGTTGTGACTCAAATTCTCCAATTGTCGTTCTTTTTGAAATATGTTTCCATTGTTTTAATCTTGTTCAACAAAATGGCTTCTGAATAGATACCTATAGACTCTAGTAGTAGATAGCTAGTCAGAGGTGTCAGTGACATTGGATTTGGAGTGCCTAACTGGCTTATTCTATTGGACGACTATTGTTGCAAAAAAAATATCTGTATTGGAAGTAAGTAAAAATTTCATGGAAGATAAGCAGGAAAAGAGATGGATATTTGGAGATCAGCCAAATAATGTGTGCCTTCTGGTCAGTTTTATGCATAGTTTCAACAAGTATGTCATAATTGGTATTTGTAAAAAAGCATTAAAGTATTTTCATAGTTCTTTCCATAACATATGTCAAACAATGTTAATAAGTGTATTCTACAAATTCTTTGCAGCTTGTTGGAGGCATAGACCATGTGCAACAAAGCATTGCCCTTGGAAAGCGGCCTCACGTTGTTGTATGTGCTCATTTTATCTTCTGAAATTTAGGAGGACTGAACATTTTTTTAATTTTGAACTGCAGCATAGTATAATGCACCTGATAGTGCACATTGTGTACTAACACTTATATTTCTCCACATGGGTGTATTTTGTGTGAGCAGTATTGTGGAAGTATTGCTCATTTGTTCCTTACTTGGCCCGTAGCTACTTTCTTGTGGCATAACCTTTGTGGGAGGCAGATTTGGCATGAGTACCGCTGGCTTATTGTGTTTCTCTTTTTGATGGTTTTGGAAATGCTAAAAAAGCTTTAAGTTTATGGAAAATGTGCAATTTTGGCTATTTTTTTTGGGTGGTATGGATAGAGAGGAATCATAGAATCTTTGAAGGAAAGGAGGAGGATAAGGAATTGTTATGGGATAGAGTGAATTTTTTGGCATCTTTATGGGCGGTGGTTATCAACGTTTTTTGCAACACTTCTCTTTTAGTTCTCCAACTCAATTGGAAAACCGTTTGTAGTTCATAGCGTTTGCTTTATTGGCTTTGACTTTTGCTCTTTTTGGTGGACTTCTTTATCCACTAATTATGTAAAATTATATCTTTCAATGAAATGAATGTGTTGTTTCTTATTAGAAAAAAGATGGTACATAACCTAGCTACCATACCATACCTTCATGTTGATTTAAATTTTTAGCTGTGGAATATGATTCACTTCGGGTCTTTTGCAGAAGCAAAGGTAAGGCAAGAGCTTAGGTTGGTCTGCCTAAAAGACGCAGTATACTTGTGAGTTCTGTTGTTTGGAGGACTCTGTTATGTTCCCATTGAAGGCTGGAATGTTTAGTACTTTGATTTTTAGGGAGGATGGATAATTGGCAAAAATAATGGCATAAAGGGGCTTTGTTATCTATTGAGGGCCAAAAAAATTTAGTGTGAGATATCTAGGAAGAAAACCAAGAGTAACAGCTTATGAAGCATATACTACTTTTTAGAAGAGTGATATCCATGCACGAAGCTCCTCTGCCTGCCCTAACTCTACTTTATATGGGTAATTTCCTTGAGTTTTAATTAGTTGTACTACTGATCTGACCAAATTATTTTTGTTCATCATTCCTACAGTCTTTATCAGTGTGCAGATATATCAATCAGGAGAATATAAATGTTGCAAAAGATATTTATGCGTATACATTTTGCTAGCTCATCCATACATATGTAATCACCTCATTTTGTTGCTTCATTTGTAGGTGGGAACACCTGGCCGGCTTGTGGATCATCTGTCCAATACCAAAGGTTTTTCTCTTCATACAACAAGATACTTGGTATGCACATATATTGATTTTTATTTGATGTTTTCAATGTATAGTTGTGTAAGAGATGAATGTTGCTGTTCTATTGAAAAATGGTGAAATAATTCATGTTTGCAAGGTTTTTGAATCTCATAATGCCTGTCATCAGTTTTTGGATATTTTGTTTTGCCCTCGATATTCAACCTCTAAATGTTCAGCAATAAGGGGAGAGCCCATGAATGCAAAAGAACACATTTTAATGGTGGCTTTACCAATGGGAATGGCTAAATGTGAATGTGCTTGTAACACAGTTAAGGTAGCATAAGAAGTGAACTTGTTTCATTTTCTGTTTAATGATTTGCATGTGTTTGGCAGGTATTAGATGAGGCAGATAGGTTGCTGAATGAAGATTTTGAGAGGGCAATTGATGAAATTTTGAATGTTATTCCTCGCGAACGGAAGACATAAATTTTTTCTGCTACTATGACAAAAAAGGTACAAAGTTGATTTCGTTTCCATGATACCTTCAATCTTGGATACCTTCCTACTAATTGTAGTTGATAAAGTAGTGTAAGGTGTGCACAACAAACAACTTGTTAGTTTGCACTCCATATATGTCTTTCTGTGAGTTGTGGCTGTGCCTTACGTTCAAAAGAGTTAAGGTTTGGTGAGGATTTGAGAACCATTATTTTACCATCCTAGGAGAGAGTTGGTTAAAGAGTGTGTGTAACTAACACTTACCAGGGTGAAGCTTTTTTAAGTTGATTTGGATATGATATGAATAAATCAAAGGTTAGCATGGCATTCCTGTGATGCCTAGGGTTGGATCTTTCGTGGTGATGAAACATGCTACACTGCTTAAGTTGAACGATTTGTTAGTTTTGAGAAGATTAAAAAAAATATGATTTAAGTTCTTCGATATAAAGTATTATGTTTGTACTGCAAATTTTTTAGGACTACCCATTTTTTCAAGAAACATGGAATAATAGTACATTCTTCAACTGCGAATGTTGAGAACTGACACTTGGAACCTGGAAAGTTTCTTTTCATCTTCCCATCCAACTCCAACTTGAAGGAACTGAAAGAGAACAGAAACAAAACAAAAAATTGAAACAGTTGCCTGGGTTCCCAATCCTTTTTCCATCCTTTTGGCAAGTGTTGGATCTTTTTCTAACAGTTGCCCAGATTCCAAGTTAGGCCTCGGCAACGGGTCGGGCAGGCCCAGCCCGACATTTTTCTGCCCATAGCCCATCTGTGGGCCGGGCTCTGGACTTTGACTAGTCAACGGGCCGGCCCGCCTGTTAGGAATTTTTAAGGCCTATGGCCTCCTTGTGGGCCGGCCTATTGGGGCAAAATACGGGCCTTATCGGCCACCCATTTGGCTTGAAACAGGCTTTTTATTAAAAAATTACTTTTTATGTAAAAAAATATAAAAAGACATCGACAAATTTATTTTTTATATAAAAAATACAAAAAAGATATCAATTACATTAAGTTGGTATGAAAAAATAAATTAACAAAAAAATTTATTCATAGTGATTTAATTTAACAAATATTCATATAGAGTTACAATGTTACATTGCAAATTGATTGGTGGTGAGACTATTTTGCATCACTACAAATTGAGTATATCCTAATTAGGTTGACACCTATACAATTGTCAATCATTCGCAAGTCTCAACCTATAAAAGTTATGGAGCAAATATCAAATAAATAATACAATTATGATATACAATATAATTATCTTATTGGGCTAACGGTCCGGCCTGTTAGTCCCCTGGTCCTAAAGAACACGGCCCAGACTGGGCTATACCCAAACCCTGCCACGTGTACGGGCCGGGCTGCCTGTTAGCCCACTGGGCTTCCGGGCCGTGGGAGGCCCATTGGGCTTTTTGGTGAGGCCTATTCCAAGTTTTAACTGCCACCACACCACACCTAGAAGCTGCTTGACCCACTAGAAAAAGAATATCCTCCGAAGTTACCTCTAATTTGCCAAGAAGTTTAAGTATTGGAAGTTTTAAGACTCCAAAGGTGTGATTATGTATTTCTTGTGATTTGTGCACATGCTTGATTTCTTTGGTGTCTCTTATATCCTCTGGAGAGGGGAATCACTGTTCCCACTACTTTCCATTTTATAATTTCTTTATTGTGGACATTGGTGCAATATCTGCCAATTATCTTGCAGGATTTTCTTTGAGGAATGAGTGATACTATATTCCTTGCTTATATCCACCACATTCAATCCTTGTTTCTTACACGGGATGATCACTTCATTTTGGACATTTATGTACTGAACAATTACATAGGATGACCACGTTAGCGACCATCTCGCACAACTTGAATGAGATGTCGAATGATAATCATAAGGGACATGTTATACTCCATATAGACTAGCTTGATTTGTAGTCTGTGTCTGTACTTCCTGTGCCGCCTTCAGGTTAAAATCTATGGAATATTTAGAGAAATGTCTTGGTGAAAATCAGAAAATGACATTTGTCCCTAAAAAGGGTGAAAATAAAAATAAGCTAGGAATTTTTTCATGATGCAGTATCAGATCAACTACTTGTTATGAATATAATGTTTCAACTATAACTTTGATATGTTGTCAAAAACGGGGTTCCTCTGAAAGGGAGAATATATTATGGCATGCTCTTAATATTGCGGGTACGGAAGCTCCAAAGGGCTTGTCTCAGGAATCCTGTGAAGGCATGATCACATACTTATAAGCACTTGATTTTCTTTTCATAGAGGTTTCTTCGTGAACTTTTTTACTGAAGTCAGGTTATAAATTCTTTCAGATTGAAGCTGCATCTAAGTATTCCACTGTTGATACATTGAAACAGCAGTATTGCTTTCTTCCTGCCAAGTTCATGGTCCTTTACATTGAAGCTGTCATGCAGGGTTCATCATAACTTCACATCCTTCGAAAGTGATTTACAATTGACCAAATTCATGTCACATAGGCTGGTGTACCAAATTTGGGAAAGACGTAATGGGCAAAATATCTATGGTGTTGATTGGTAGATACTTGTCTGTATTTCTTGGATATTTTTAACCAGTTTAAGAAAATCAGCCAACACCATGGACAAGTAAGCATTACTTTGGCAATATTAAGACTTCATTTGAAGCAAGTTATCTTTTAAGCTAATTTATAAAGAATGACCCATCATCATATGCCTTCCTTTTTTTCTTACCATATCATCACGGTCAACGCTGAAACAATAGATATAGGCCAATTTGACACTTAGTTGTAAAATATTTTGGACAGGGGTTGTGGTTGTTGTTCACTGATGCAGTACAATCATTGATACATGTCATGAAATATCACCATTGGCCAACTTTCATTTAAGAAAAATATGTTGACTTGTACAAAATATACAAGAAGTAAAGAAGAAAAGAGAGCAGTGTGATTTTAAGGTTTTCTAGTGTGGTTTCCAGTTTTCTGCTATAGTACCTCAACTATTTGCAACGACCCTAACATCTATCAGAAGCTTTATAGGTTTCTAGTGTAGCTGGAGCAGTGTTATTTTCCTTACTTTTACGTGGAACTGCTGGCTTGAACAAGATTAATTAAAGAACTTGAAAGAAGAAGATACTAACTTGCCTTTGGTGATGAAAATCCTGTCATTATTCAAAATATGGCAGATACCAATAAGACTTCGCATCTTCGGTTCTGTTAGTGTTCCATTTTATGTGTAAACCACGAGTTTCATGCGACTCAGCTGAGTTATTTGAAACATCGCAAGTCAACTAGTTATCCGAGTTGGCGTCAGTAAATTGCCTAATACCATATCATAGCGTCATGATAGGTCACAAATTTCTATGTTTAACTCTTTTTGTTTTCTATCTGGCATGTCATTGATAATTTGGTATTGTCCGATAGGGCTCCACAGTGCCACTGTTGATGCGCCTTAGTGCTTATTGAGTCAATGGCCGGCACCACAACTTTGAATTGGGGATCCTGGTTAAGGTTGATGAGTAACTATCCCACTGGTTGTTTGTTCTGCCACCTCCCCTCTCTTCTCCCACTTTAACTTACAGGTATGAATGCAAACAAAGAGAGCAAACAATAAACGTATTTTTAATAGAATAACAATTAAAAAGATGAGAGATTAACTGTCGCTTGGCCTAGTGGTAAAGGTGAGGCTTCTAAGAAGTGGGCACACCAAAAGAAGAGAGGTTAAAAGCTGCCTTGGCCTAGTGATGAACATAATGAGTGGTCATCAAGTCACAAATCTCATTTGATGGGTTGGATAATGGGCTCAATTCTCATAATTATCGTTCCAAAAGAAGAATAGAGAGAGTAGAAAGGGAAGTTTACTGTGCACAACACAGACATAAGCTAGGCATTGTACCATATGGTCGTGTGAAGTGCCTACAATGTCTGGACGGGCCTAATCTGGTATGTGGCTGGAGGTGTAATCTTTTTGTGCTAGATTTACTGGATATGACATATTATGTTTGTTGTCCGGCTAGATCAGATGATAACCTGTTTGTGTATTCCTTGGGTCCCACTCATGAATACCAACTGAAATATAATGTCAGAAAAATTGCTTTAATGTGCATCACTCTTGTGTTATATGCTATTTTTCTTTAGTCCTAATTGCATATCTACCACTGGCTACAGGATTGTTATCTTGTATATGTTTTGACCGAGATGTCTGGAAGTACATCAATGGTTTTCACTCATACATGCGATTCAACTCGCCTTTTGGCTTTGATGCTTCAAAACCTTGGTTTAAGGGCCATCCCAATTAGTGGTCAAATGAGCCAGGTATTACCTTGAGTACATGCTTTTCATGGTTTTGTTTTATGCCTCATTTATACTTATCTTGTCCTAATTAATCCAAGTTTGCCTTCATTTTCAATCAATTATGTGTGACAGGCAAAAAGACTTGGAGCCTTAAACAAGTTCAAGGCTGGAGAATGTAGTATTCTTATATGCACTGACGTTGCCAGTAGAGGACTTGATATTCCATCTGTTGATATGGTTATCAATTATGACATCCCTGCAAACTCGAAGGTTAGGCTTTACGTAATGTCTTTAGTGCAAGTTAGATCTGGAGTCTTGAGTGTAAACCTAGCCCAGTGCTCCCTTTGTGGAGCATTGGCTACCTGTCTTACTGTACAGTTACGGAATTAGGATTTACCCTTCTGCTTTGTGAAGATATGTTGTGTTTCTTATTTGTTTACCCTTCTGCTTTCTGGAGTTATGTTTGCATATAAGAAAAGATGGGGCTGTTGTTAATGCATTTGCATATAAAAGGATTGGGGCTGTCATTAATGCTGTGTGTATCCGGTTTACAACTAAAGTATTATTTATTGTTGTCTAAAGTTTTAATTCACAAGTGAATTTTCCATATATTATATTTAACCTGATCTCTTCACTTTTAAATGTATAGTTACTTCATCAGAGATGCTGGTGTTGTAACTAGTAATTCTTGCATTGAATCCATACTGCCAAATTGAGTTTTCACTCTATTCTACTTGGTCATTGGATTAGCAGGAAGCGGGGCATTTTGACACCACAGAAACTTTACCTCATATTGATCCTACTGCAATTATGGGAAATCTTGCACCTACATATTCCTGAAATGGAATGTTCTCCTAGTGTTCCTTCAGACAAGAAGCTTATGTAAATCATTTGATCTAAACATGTCCTAATTTGCCATTTTTTGAAATTACCTGTAGGACTATATACACAGAGTGGGCAGAACTGCCCGGGCAGGACGATCTGAAGTTGCTATCTCACTATTGAATCAGTATGAGTTGGAGTGGTTCATACAGATAGAGAAGCTTATTGGTACGCAAGTGTGATACTCATGGGGATGTTGATCAAACCAAGGGGAAGTGTTTGTTAGGCCGACATTTTTACTTGTATTTCAGGTAAGATGTTGCCCGAGTTTCCAGCCCAAGAAGAAGAAGTTCTGTTGTTGTTGGAACGTGTCACAGAAGCGAAAAGGAAATCTCAGATGGTATGAACTTCGTATTTTTGCTACTACCTTTGATTATCTTCTGCTAGTTTTATGAATTGCACGATGAATTGATTTTTACTTGATGGATTGGTGCTTCGCCATGCAAATGGCGTTAGTGGACAGCTAATCTAATATTATATTGATTTGGTCTGTGAACTAAACCAACTGTCATCTAAACTTCTCAGCATTAGCATTTTATCTTAGTCCTCTGATAGGTTGGTAATTATATAGTGCTATTACATTAATCATCAAGGTATTATACATTGTTGTTGCCTCATATGTTGTTGCACTCTGTAGGAATAGAAATATATTATCTCAGAAGTAGAACTTCTGTTGCAGCCGGTTACTAGTTGTTGGGATAAGGGATTACTTGAAGATTGTTGTTGTTTGGTACAAATTTCGGTAAACTTAGAAACCATGCTATAACTGTCATGTAAACCATAATAATGGTAACCATTTCCTAAATATTTAGGAAGTTACCTTAGATTGGCGTTGTATTAGCTTCTGTTGTTTTCCTGTGCTCTGAGATTAGAAAAAATTCTGCAACTGGATTCCGATTCAGGAGATGATTGTGACGGTTCTATGGTTCTCTCTCCCGAGTTCTTGGTTAGAAATGGACTGATGCAAGCAAGAATAAAAAACTTGGTGTGGTGCATTGTTTCAGTCATTTAGGAAACGGAAACGTTCTGGAAATAAAATAAAAATAAAGAAAAAAAATTGGGAATTTATGTCGAAAACATTTTGAAGTGCTGGTTGGAATATACCAAAACATCTTGAAACACCTCATTTCATTCCGAAATATTGGTGGAAACATGCCTAAACATTTTGAAACATCTTGAAACATTCCGAACATCTCGAAACACTTTGAAGAATTGTAATTTTGATTCAACCAATGACTTGTTTAGGTTTTTCCTTGGAAATGCAAATTTTTTGTGGGTCTTCAAATGGAATTTTGATTCTTAGATGCAAGCAATTTAGAAGTCATCATAAAGAAAAATTCTTCATTTGGAATACCAGGTGAAAGCCCCCCCCCCCCCAAAAAAAAAAAAAATGAAATACTCCAACCTAAACAAAGGTAATACAAATAATGCACGTCCTTTCAGTTTTGGAAAATATAGATCACCGATTTTAAGGAAGTTGCATTTATTCATTTATTTTTTTCCCCATACTTCTGGTTTCCTCGATCCACTTCAATGTGTACATTTATTGCTTGTAGAATCAGTATTTGTGTTTAGGGCTTCTCTTGAAGAGAACAAGCTATTAATCAGACATTATACATTTTCTGACCTCCTTATTTCCTTTTTCTTATGTAGAAAGTAAAAGAAGCGGGAGGCGGGTATGTTTCTGGCAAGAAAGGACTATATCGATCATTTTTAAGGTGAATTTGATTATGATATGATATTTGATTTATTGTTTTGTGGTTGTAAACAAAATAGATTTGTAGTTGGCAGTGATGCGTTTATATAATATTAAATCATTTGATTCTTATTAGGGACTGGCTGCTCATGCAGATAAAATAACTTCTATTCAAATTAGTATGAGTTTTGTGGGTCTTTGTATACTGGTGGTTGATTTGTTGAGTTGGATAAAATTCCGTAGCATGGTTGATTTGTTGTTCTTCCGAGGTCAGTTAGTCATGGATGATTTATGAGAGGGAATTGGAATTTTGGTAGAGTTGGTATGTGAAAAATGATGTTATCTTTGTCAAAGGGAAACTCAGATTGTGTTGATTAAAAACGCAGTTTGAAATGAATGGTGCCAGGCTACTATTTGAGAAAGTTCCTGCTCCAGAATTGCTTGCTTGAGCACAAGGATGATTAAAACTATATATAACCTAACCAGACCAGACTCCAATGCATTCATCATTATATAGGGCAGAAGTCACCCTACAAAGAGTTTTATTTCGTCCACCATCTCTCCATCTAAACTAATAATCACCCCTACATAAAATAATGAAATTTATTTTATATATTTAAACCTTGACTCAAATTTAGGTTAAAATTTAAGTTTGAGTAAAAAATCTAAAAAAATTGTTCCAACCCTTATTCAAACAAATATCAAATTAAGGGAGATTTTTTTTTTACTCAAATTAAAGGAGACTCAAATTCTTACCCAAATTTTTAATGGCGATATTTTACCATCTTTTAAAATTTAATGGTCATCTTTACTTTCATTTAATTTTGGGTTTGTCATTATTTAAATTTAAGTTTCTCATTCTTTAAATTTGAGTTTGTTCATTAAAGCTCATTATACTAAATCAAACTTTTTACTCAAATATTAACTTAAATTTTAGTAAAAAATTGAGTAATAGTCGGAGATGTTCTATGTATGAAAGTTTTGTGGGCTTGTTTATAATTAAAAAATTCTAATTTTTTAAATCATATTATGACTTTTAAGATTAAATTATTATTTTTTTAGGTTAAATTATAACAATTGATTTTTTTTGTTGTTTTACCATAAAATAGTCATCTCTAAGTGTATATCTATATAATAAAGTAGCTATATTTTTTGTCTTGACCTTTTCGCAACTCAGATCGTTTGAAGAGAATATTAATCCGACGGTGCTAATACGAAATTTTTTTCCCCAATTTTTTGAACAAGACTTTCACTCATTTCCAAACTTTGACTTATTTCTCTCTTGTAACCCCCCTCTCTCTATCTTATATTATCTGATGCTAATACAGCTCACACATCTCTCTTAGTCAGTTCTCTCTCCCTCTCACATATTGTGACAATCAGTATAAAAATTAATTGCTAACCATTAATTAGGTCGTTAATTATGATTCTATATAATTAAAAAAATATTTTAAGAAAATTCAAATAAACAAATGAACCTCAAATACAGATTCTTAAATACTATAATATTTGAATGATATAATAGGCGAATAATATATATGTAATTTGTGGTATATCTATATAAATGTCTCTCTTAGTTAGCTCTCTCTCCGGCTCATATATTGTGACCACCAGTATATAAATTTATGATATTTCTATATAATAAAGGAGTTACCATTGTTTGTGCTGAATATTTTACGACTCACATTATTTTAAGATTATTAGTCAAACGATTGAAACTCCTCCTCCAAATTTTTTTTCCCACAAAAATATTACAATTTTTTTTTTACTTTGCTTGATTATTAGTTCAAAGTGATTATAATTAGAATTCGAATTGAAATGAAATTTGATTGTCAAGTATAAATTATATATTCTTGTTTAAACTTAATTTTACTTGAATTTTCCGAGTATTCAAGTTGAAGTCAAATTAAAATTGATTGTAAAAATACTAAAATACTAACTATATCTTTAAGGGCACCTTTTAATTTACCATATGTTAACCTCATTTAGTTTACCATATCTTCAAGGACATCTTCTCTATTTTTTGAATCTTCACTGATACTCCGTATCAGATTAAAAATATTAAGTAGAATGAAATTTACTAAATTGCCAATGATATATTTGAGGACGACCTTCATCCACACTTTCTCTACATAAGTATATCTTCAATGAGATCCCTTCTATTTTCTAATTTTATTTACGTATTAAAATTAGAGACGATTAAAGTTTGATTTAATTTTTTTTATTTTTACGTATTAAAATTTGAGTTGATTAAAAATTATATTTTTTTACGTATTAAAATTTGAGCTGATTAAAATTCTATTTGAGCCAATTAAAAAATTTTTTATTCAATTCAAATAAAATTTTAATCAACTCGTATTAAATTTTAATATATAAAAAATAAAAATTTTAATTGACTCAAATATTAATGAATTGAATTTTAATTGACACAAATTTTAATAAATAAAAATATATAAATTTTAATCAGCGCTACCAACTTGGGTAGAGCTCAAATCAACTCAAATTTTAATACGAAAAAAAAAATTTAATAGACTAGAATTTTAATAAGTAAAAAACAAAATTAATCACTTTGAATCAAATTTTATCGACTCAAATTTTAATATGTAAAAAAATAAATTTTAATCAGTTGAAATTTTAATAAAATTTTATATAGAAATATTAATTTTGGGATTTATGTAGGTGTATTTTTGGTATTTTATATTAATGTTTTTTATTAAAAATTGTGGTTTAGTGGTAAGAGTGTCAGTGATATTTTTGATAATAGAGGGAGTGTCATTAAAGATATAGTAAATTAAAAGAGGTGTGACTGAATTTTTTTTTTTATAATTAAGGCTCAAATTGAACTGAATTTGAAAGTCGAGTATAAAGTATAAATTTTTGTTTAAACTTAAATTCGATTAAATTTTATGAATAATCAAGTTGAATTCAAATAAAATCTGATATTAATTTTTCAACAAAACTTTTTCATTTATGAGAATTTACGTGAAATTTTTGAATGATTTACTCACAAAAGTTGTACGAAACTCACATTAGAAAAATAGTGCAAAGATAATATTACGAACTTTAGATAGAAATTGGCAGAAAAATAAATAATTATATTTTTTTAAAATTTGAGAAAAAGTGTTGAAATTGTGGATGTTTGATCAATAATATTTATATTTTCTTAGATGTTTTGCAATAGTTGTAGCCTGACTTTGTTTATATAAATATTTGATTATATATATTCTGCATATAGGAAGAACAATGTCAATTTAATTGTTGTATTATCGAAATTGTATTATACATTATTTTTATTTATGAACAAATATTTGTAATTATTTATGAATAATATAGTGTCAATGCCTTTAGACACGAATAATTACTAATATGTAAATATCCGTTATAACGGCTATATTATATCATTACAATCATTCAATGACATGAATAATTATTATATGATATGAATGAATAACTATTTAATTGTGTAAAATTTATTTATTCACGTGATATAACCGGTGGACTCAATATTTATTTATTCCGTGGACGGAACATTTGACGAACAAAGTCCTCCCCCACCTACCCATCACATCAAATCGATGTATATAAAAACTCCCCCATCCAAATGGACGCAACGACGATTCCACCTTAAATCCTCTTTTCCTACAGACATGTCGGATCCCCATCATAAAAACCAACCGTTGTAGAGCCGTTTGTTTCTCCGTTTATCAAACATACGAAGGAGAGAAAACAGAGGAGCAAAACAAGGGAAAGGTTTGAGGTCTCTGTTATTTCCTTTTATGAGTTCATATCATATATACATCCTTACGTGCTTTTTACTTACCCAGAAAAGAAAAATAATCTCTGATTCGATCTGAAAAACTTCAAATATGGCAGCGGAGGTAAAATCAGAAGAAACCCAGATGGCCCAAGCCGAGGTTTCTCAAGAAAAGGAACCATCCAAGGATGTCAAAGATGAAGGTGTCGTAAGTGGAGACAAGAAAGTTTGGGAAGAAAATGGCGAATCCACGAAAGATGGTGAGTCTTACGCAGACAATGTGACGGAGGAGAAGAAAATTGAAGTTGAAAAGGGAGGAGAGACTTCGTCATCTGATGTTAATGAGAAAACAGATTCATCTAAGGAAGAGATCGATTCACCTATTGGCTTGAAAGAGAATGAGAAGAAGGCGTTCATCGAGCTTAGATCGAAGCTTGAAGAAGCCATTATAACGAATAAATTATTCAAGGAAAAGAAGGAACAAAAGAAGAGATCGACGACAAGGTGAAATCAAGCGAAGAAAAGTTGAAGAAGCAAGATGGAGAAGATGAAGAAAAAAATGCACAAGAAGGAGAAGAGAAGAGAGAAGATAAAAACCCCACAAATGGAGAAAATCAAGGCAATGAAAAATCGAAATTCGATGAAGAAGGCACAAAAGAGAAAACCCATGAGGGTGTTGAAGAAAAAGTGGTTGACGTTAGTAAGGACATCAGCCTTTGGGGTGTACCCTTATTGCCAAGCAAGGGAGATAAGGGCACGGATGTTATACTTTTGAAGTTCTTGAGGGCAAGAGACTTTAAAGTCGACGATACCTTTGAGATGATTAGGAATACCCTTCAATGGAGGAAGGAAAATAAAATGGATTCTATATTGGACGAGGATTTGGGGGCTGATTACGAGTCCGTGGCCTACATGAGTGGCGTAGACCGTGAAGGCCACCCTGTCTGTTACAACGTTTATGGAGTTTTTGGGGATGATGATACATATAACAAGACATTTGGAAGCGAAGAGAGCCGCCAGAAGTTTCTGAGGTGGAGGTTACAATTGATGGAGAAGGAGATTCAGAAGCTTGATTTCAAGCCTGGAGGTGTGTCCTCATTGCTACAAATCAATGATCTCAATAATACCCCTGGACCCTCCAGGAAGGATCTTCGTCTCGCCACCAAACAAGCTGTGGCGCTTCTCCAGGACAATTATCCTGAATTTGTTGCTAGAAACGTAAGGACATCTTTTTCTCTTTGTCTAATTCAACATCCCCCTCGTTTCTTATCGAATGTTTCGTTGAAGGCGTTTTTCTTCATATCTTCCTATTAATTTTAGTCATTTACTGAAATAAGTTTTCAACCAAAACATGTTACAGTTTTACTCTCTTCTGACTACACTACAGCCTTTCCCCCTCTCTTTTGTCCAAATCCAAATCTGTCACAATTATTGTGTTCATCTCAAAGGTGAATTTTTTGCATGTCAAATTGACCTCAATTCATTTCGGACACTGTCACGTGCTACAAAATACACTGATATTGCACCAATAGATTGCAAAGTTGATAATTGTGGCTGAATTCTGTATTGAGTTGTCTAGGAGTTTAATTCTTCATTGTTTCAATTGTAGATCTTCGTCAATGTTCCTTTCTGGTATTATGCCTTTAATGCGCTTCTTTCGCCTTTCTTGACCCAAAGAACCAAGAGTAAATTTGTCTTCACTCGGCCAGCCAGGGTTACAGACACCCTTCTCAAGTAAGAAAAATTTCTCCGTCTCTATATGTTTAGTGGTGTAATCAAAGTCAGTGAAACTAATATAGTTTTCTTGATATTAGGTACATTGCCGCTGAGGAAATTCCTGTCCACTATGGAGGGCTGAAGCGGGACAATGATACCGAGTTTTCTACTAAAGATGCTGTTTCAGAGGTCGCAGTTAAGGCTGGATCAAGTGAAACTATTGAGATCCCTGCACCAGTGGTAAGGCAATCTGTGTATGTCATGGGTTTTCCTTCGTTCTTTTCTGTTCTATTTCATATACTACTGTGAGAAATTTTTGTACCCTGTGTGAATTGCCTCATCTGCAAGCCATCCTAAATGCTCTGAAGAGGGGAGTTTTGGAGAAACATGAGGATGGCTATGCCCATACCATTATTGAGATGATAGGGCAAAAGAAGTTAACCATTTCCTATGGAATGTATTTATGTCAGGACAATTGTTACATACAAAATTGCTCCTGAAATTGTCTTTTTCTAGGTCTCTCTTATGCAGCATTTATTAGCTGTAGCTGGGTTGGGTGGATCGTGCAAAAAGCCTCTCTTTGTGGGTTCGGTCATTGGTTATGGCGTCCCTGTGCTCCCCAAATGATGAAAGTCAATACCATCCCGTTAGGGACAGATTTATAGGAGATTTTATCTGTCTATAACTCCCAAGTACTCATAACGCTCATTGTGGGAGAGTACATACAAGTCTAATTCGACAAAGCATTGGAAATCATCCTTATTCTTTTGCTTTTAGAAAATAGATTTCGAGATAGTGGATGATAGGATATTATGTGCACCTATACCAACCCCATTTGTTTTCCTTGCAGATAAATTTTTATCTGATTGATTTGGTCCTGTTTTGAGCTGTGTTATGGCAGTGAATATTTGTTTTCTTAGACTTCATTTTTTTTTTTAAATTTTGTTGTATTGTGTGTTTTTTTCTGGATGCCAATCTTTCTTAACAATGAAGAAATGAAGCTTTTCAATCTAATGTGCTTTTTCATGCTTGGTAAACCAGGCTGGAACTACTTTGATCTGGGACCTAACTGTCTTGGGTTGGGAAGTGAACTACAAAGAGGAATTTGTTCCAACTGACGACGGGTCTTACACCATAATTGTCCAGAAGGGACGGAGGATGGGTTGGCAAGAAGGATCAGTACGCAACTCTTTCAGGAACAATGAGCCTGGGAAGGTTGCGTTCACTATCGAGAATGCATCATTCAAGAAGAAGCGAGTATTGTATCGATTCAAAACTAAGAATAGTTCCTCCTCCTCTTAAGACAAGTATCACAATGTTGCAATGGTTTAATTGATCTGGCTGGACAAACTGGTGCTCCATTTTGATACTATATTTGGTGTCTTCAAAGAGGTTTACGAGTGAGACTATTGCTGAGACGGTGTAAGGGTTGCTAGTACACAGAATAACTATATTGTTTTGGTAATATTCTGTAATTTCCTTAATCCAGTTTTGGCGTTATTCCATTTGGGTGAAAGGGAAAATTCCTCCATTAGCATACATCGCAAGAAGACTCGAGTACTAAGCCTTGCATTGATTAACTTCGTCATTTCAATCTGTGTGTTTAGGAAATAGTTTCGGTTTGCACTATAAAGGACATTCATTACGGTTTGCACACATGCAAAGTAGTTAGTCATTACGGACACAAATTTTTGCCAAAACAATTTGTTTGCATCTTACTCCTGGGGCATTAAAAATCCTAATCAGATATCACCCCCTTTTTTATGTGAATGTATTAGAGGATTCTTGATAAATAGGATTGGACACCATCAGGTTTTGATAAAGGCAGCTAAGCATGGTCGAAGGAAGGATCAGTAGGAAGGGGGAAAAAGAAGGGTTATGTTTCCTTCTGAATGGTCCTTTTCCTTCTCTAACAAAAGGCCACAGTAGAAAATGTAGACGAAGGAAAGTAGTAGACGAAAGAAAGTATAGCCCATGCACATCACTAAATGACAGGGAAGTAGTCCATACAGATACCTTACTGACACTTTTAAGTCACCATGAAAAAGCACATGCTCAAACGTTGTGCAACTATTTGGTACGAATTTCACAAGAGAAGAAATACTAGCTGCAGCTACATAAATCAAAAGATAACAGAAACTTCAATCACACTTCCAGCTCTTTCCCGTTGGAATTTTAACAAAGATTTGCCAAAATCAACATATATCGATACATGTAAGGATCAACAACATTGTACCAAAAAGAGTATTCTAATACTCAGCGATGCATATTTAAGTCATGCCCACATGAATACTTATTCAAGCCTGATCTAAAACTCTACAAGTCCAGCTCTTATATGTTTCAAATCCACTGGGGTTAAAACCCACACACAACAGCTGAAGAGATGTACGTAAGAAAAACGGGTAGAACTCCACTCAAGCATCATTAAGAGCGAGAACTCCAGGAAGTGGTTTTCCCTCAAGAAGCTCCAAGCTGGCACCGCCTCCAGTAGAGATATGGCTCATCTTGTCTGCAAGGCCAGCCTTCTCAACAGCTGCTACAGAGTCACCTCCTCCAATAATTGTTGTCACTCCCTTACCACTAAGGTCTGCCAATTTTTTTGCTATCGCCTAGTAACAGATGACAAAGACATTCAATTCAAATATCTCAAGTCAAAAATCCTAAATCCATGAAGTGTAGCAGCTTAAGCTATTCACAACAACATGAACCATGACCATGGTATGATATGGAAAAAAACAAAGAACATTATTAAAAATCATAACCACAACTCTTTCCTGTTTATTCTGTCATACCTCTGTTCCCACTGCAAACTTCTCAAACTCAAACACACCCATTGGTCCATTCCAGATGATGGTTTTGGTAGTGTCCAAAGCTTCGCCGAATGCCTTGATTGAATCAGGTCCAATATCCAATCCCATCCAGTCATCAGGAATAGCAGATGCTGGAACTACCTGCAAAAATATTAAACTACTATTCAACCTCCTTGTAGATAAATCCTTGCAGGATTAACAGGTCAATGAGGTAGACCCATCTTTTAACCAAGTCATACTTCTAAATATGGGTATTAGCTTTTTCAATCAAGTAAATAACCGCTCACGGCCAGAGAATTGAAACCAAGCACTTCAAACTAGAGATTGTGAAATAGCAATGCTCTTGGTACAAAGAATATGTTAAATGATATTTCATTCCAAAGTGACCTTGGAAGCTTGATAATAATTAGGAAGAGCATAGATATTAACCTTGCTGTTGGCATCAGCAGCGAACTTGTCAGCAACAACTACATCGGATGGAAGCATCAGTGACACCCCTTTAGACTTGGCCTTCTCAAGAAGTTTTGTTGCAAGTTCAAGCTTGTCCTCCTCGACAAGCGATGAACCAACAGAATGCCCTTGAGCCTTGTAGAAAGTAAAAATCATCCCTCCACCTAGGAGGAGGATGTCAACCTTCTCCAATAATGACTCGATCACTCCGATCTTACTTGATACCTTTGAGCCACCAACAATCGCAGCAAATGGCTTCTTGGGATTCGCTACAGCTCCAACTAGATAGTCAAGCTCCTGAGACCAGAAAACAAGTGTCAGATGTTAAACATTAAGCAAATAAGAAAGATTATGCACCAAGTCCAAGACGCAGATGCTATTTAGTCTAGTCCAATCCTGAGAATCCAACCTGAACAAAAATTGATCCCTCCCATCAAAAACTGCTTGCATCAAGATGAGACAAACAAGAAGCTCCCCTAAATACTTGTCTATCTTGCTTCTAGGACTTGTGATGAAACCAAGGAGCTCGGGAACAGGTCAGTCCCAGGCTGGTTAAGCAGCTTGTTGTGCTACTTATGAACCAGACAAGCCAACCTCGAGAAAAAGCTTGCTTAGGCTTCTTAACTGACTAGTCAGCAGAAATAAATATTTAAATCGTTAGTTAACCGCAGCTGATTAACACTGTCTAGTCAACTCATGAATTCTATGGGTCTTCAAAGCTGCACAACTGCTCCTAACATTACTGTGTGAGAATAGCAAAACAAAACAAAGCTTAATTTTAGACAAGACGACCATTTGTTAAACCAAACTTAGATCAATATCAACCCAATTTGTAACACCAGCAAGCACTACAAACACCATGTTGCAGAACATTACTCTTCATGGTCTACCACGCAGCCAACATTTTGATTGTCAGAGACATCACAAATAGCAGCTAGCCAATTGCATTTCAGATCATGAGCACAATGTGTGACCAAGCAGTAGGTCAAAAAACATGAACTAAGCATAGTAAAACCTCCCAATGGCAACTGAAAGGGAGAATATTGAACCTCTCCATTGACCATCCAAATATTTTTGATGAGATGGGAACTCCAGTCAGAACAATTCTGAGTTTCGGATGGTCAAAAATGATTTCAAGTCTAGGACTGTCAGCATGGTTTCAGTCTTCATGTCTCTTATTTCACACAAACTTGTACTCTATGGATATTACCTTCATTTTCAAAGAAACTGCAAAAAGACTTGTGAACCAGTTATTCAAAACTGTAAAACACAAACCTTTTGCATAAGAAATCCAGCAACTGAAGGCTTCAAGTACTTAGCTACTCCCTCAGTGGAAGCATGGGCTCTATGTGCAGTGCCAAATGCATCATTTACATATAAGTCTGCAAGAGATGCAAGCTTCTTTGCAAATTCGGGGTCATTCTTCTCTTCTTCTTTATAAAATCTCACATTTTCCAGAAGCAAAACACCTCCCTCTGATATTTCAGCCACCAGTTTCTCGACTTCATTTCCAATACAATCGTTTGCCATCTTCACCTATTGAACAAGAGAAACGAGGTCACCACATTTAACTAATAAGATCAGTAACTGCAAAATACAGCTTGACCAATTACAGGAAAGATAGTAATAATCAGACCTCAACTCCAAGGAGTTCAGAAAGTCTTGGCACAAGAGGCTTTAGGCTGTACTTTGGCGTGACACCCTTTGGACGTCCCTGAAACCCATCAGTGAATCAGATGAAATCATCATTTTTTTTGTCGTGGTATCATCATTTACTAATGAACAAGTTTGACCAAAAGCAAATACAAAATCAATATAAGAACTGCGAATGAATGGGAAACCAAACACAAACACCAGATGATCAATTTCACAGGAAAGAAGCAACAGTAAAGAAACAAAAAAGCAGCCCTAAGTCAGCCCGTTAACACATAGGGTGCAATGCCTTCAGAATGAGGTGGTAACCCCACTCTTTTTAACCACTACAATGAGCCCCGTTGACCAATTTATGCTAATCTACACTTCTTTTGTTTAACTTTTTTTTTTGGTGTTGATTAATTCATCATGACACTAATTTGAAGGTGATTCCTCGCCATCATGACTTAAATTTCTGTCCGTCAATATGTACAACATCTTCCAACACAAAGCACAAATGAAAACAAGCAAGAAGTTCACACACACAAAATGAAACTATCGAGTAAGAACTACTATGATGCTTCGAGAATTGGTCTTCCCTTATCCTCAAAAATCCATAAAAGAAAACACAGAAAGTTGTTATATGGTAATCTGTTTGCAAGTTGCACCAGAAAAATACACTATAATGGAGTCATCAAACAACGCACAGTCCACAACAGTAAAGCTAGAAAATGGGATTACATCAAACCCGATCTTCTACCAAATAGATATAGGAAGCATGAAAAAACAATACCGCTAACCCGAAATAAAAACTCAAATGTAAGAAAACAAAGATCCAGAGGAGAAGACAAAGGGGGAAGGGGGAATTAAAAATGATGTGAGGGGCAACACACATACACATACCAGATGAGAAGAGAGGATGAGTTTGGCACCAGAAGCCATCAAGTATTTGATGGTGGGAACGGCGGCTCTGATTCTAGTGTCATCAGTGATGTTGAAATTGTCATCCAATGGAACGTTGAGATCAACCCTAACGAACACCCTCTTTCCCTTGAGATCAGCTTCCTTGAGAGAAGCAACACTCTTCTTTGTCGCCATTCTTGCAGTTGCTAACAAACAGATCAACAAATCACAATACAGATCAATATCTAGACATATTTAGAGGAAACATGCTGATCATTGTTATTATAAAAAGCATAGCATATTTATGGGGACTGCATGGACTCACAGTGACAAAGTGATTAGAGATTGAGATTGGGGTCAGATTTATCGAGTGTGATCTAAGCAAACACAGAGCAAAGAAGGTGAAAGGATGGAGGAGAGTAATAAATAAGGAAGGGTAGGGGTAGAGGTAGGGGGTAAAACTTAAAAAGGATATTCGTAATCGTAGCTAAAGAAAGCGTGATGCTTTCTGCGGATGCTCTTCTTCGATGTTGTGTCGTGTGACGCACCCCCTTGTTTGGTGACAAAACGGTGGGCGAGAATCTTTGGCCAAGCTCAACAGCATCTCCTCGATCAAATAATTTTAAATATTATATTTTCTATTTTAATTATCCAACTTTTAAAATTCACTCTAATTATAATTTTTATTTTAACTGAATACTACACTCAACTTTCAATAATTTAAACGAAGTAAAACATATATATAGGGAGATAGAGAAAAAAAAAATAGAAAGAAAATTTAGAGAGCTCAAATGAAAAGAGTGTGATGGAGAGAATTTTTTGTATTTGATTAACTAAAGTAGCTAAAAGAAAAGAAATAGAGAGTGAGTTGAAAATGCTCTAAGATGTAATCTAATGCAAATTACAACATTTTTAGTTGTGGGGGAACAAGATGCGATGCCCAACCCAAAACACCCACTTTGTTTCTCATAATAATATGTTGATGCTACATTCAAATATGTTGTGGTCAGTCATTATCAAGAGTAATAATACTTATGTCCAAATTACCTTATTCTTCTATTTTATTTTATTTTAATCCCAAATTATCTATTTGATGGCTTACAACTTACTTAATTTGATATTATATATTTTAATTAGTTTCACCACTAGCATTTGTCTAAGTAATAGATAGTGCTTTACAATTGGCCCAAGTCATATCAAGCATTGTTGCCTTTAATGACTTTTTGCTGGGAATAAGCAGCTCTGTCCTTGCATTGGATTAACTGCATTTCCTTGTAAAGGTCGGATGAGGCAGTACTTCCCACAAAATTCAAGCATGCACGATTGTGTGTGCTTTTCGTTCTAGTATTTGGTACTAGTCTCCCTTTTTTTTTTTTTTTTTTTGCTGGATACATTATTTAGTCAACTCCATCTTTAATTTAGATTAGCTCTCTCTCACTTTCAATCCAAAGGTATTGAGCAGGGCAGGAACTCTGTGATGTTCATTACACAGACAAAGACCAGCAATAGACACTCATTTTTTATATGGTTCAGAACATGGAAATCCTGTGATTCTTTCCACCATCTATTAATTAAAATCTTTAGATTTAGCGACAACCATCTGGAGAGAAAGCGACCCTCACCCAATCTTAATCCAGGGGGGGAGGGGGGGGGGGGGGGGGGATAGCTGATCTAAAAGCATACTCTCCCATGATTTTATCTTATCATCTCCCTCCCTATGTATTCGGTATACGGTACTGCAGGAAAAGCCATAACGGAGTAGCCAATTGAATTCCACTCCCATCTTAAACCAAATCACATCCATAACTACAATAATTGTAATTCAGAAACTTGAGGGTTTCAAAAGGAGAAAAATAACTGTCAGTCCCATCAAACCGTACAGAGATTTCCTTAATGTCATTTTACCCGTTTCATTAGTTTTGTCTTGTGTGCCTAATCATATTCATTTAGCAAGTCTTCAATCACATTCTTGGCAGCCATTGAAATCAGTATTCCTCATTCCAAAATATAATGGCTGTTCATTCATTCATAGTAATACCGAGTTCTGAGACTATAGCAACCGAAAATAAGAAGAAGAAGAAGACGAAGAAGAAAATAAAGGGATTTCTGTAGTTATTGGGTAACAAAGAATTATAAACATAGTTAAATGAAACCATGAAATTAGAATCGTATTGTTAATGACTTCAAAAGAGAATCTTTGCTCCTCCTATTTTGCTGGTCTTTTCTGGTGTGATTTGAAGAAGAAAACAAGGGATGGACCTTATATTGAAGGAAATGGTAGAAACCTACAACATGGACTCAATATCTTCCAACAACATTTCTCGTTTACAAATCCGAATGGAACATGAACATGTGGTTTTTTTTGAGAAATAAAATCCAGCCTCTTACACAGGAACTGGTATAGCTTCATCAAGGGCAAGGACACCAGGGAGCTCTTTGCCTTCCAGCAACTCCAAACTGGCACCACCACCAGTTGATATGTGGCTCATTACACCAGCAACTCCAACTTTCTCTACAGCTGCAACAGAATCTCCACCTCCAATGATTGTTGTCACTCCCTTCCCGCTAAGTTCAGCTAGCTTCTTCGCAACTGACTGTAATCATAGTCACACTCTCATTAGCATCTTTTCTCAGAAAAAGCAATGTAAGGGTTGCAAGAAACAGGTGATCAAGCATCATTCCAAATATGACACAAGGATTCATTTAAAATGCATAATAATCAGAGGGTAAGAATCAGACTGACACTTAGTATAACTTTTTACCACACCCCCAAGCAGAATGCATATAGTATATTATGATCCCTGTGTAAAACAAACAAAACTATACATACAGTGAGGGCAACCAGCCCAAAATACCCTTTATAATCAGAAATGTTTGGTGCACAGATAACTGGGGGAAGATTTGGGTTATGCCATAAAACTAAAGTTACATCATTCAGATAAGCCAGACACAGTTTGCATTGCCAATACAACCCTCCCTCAATGAATGTCTTATCAGCAAGTCTATACTAAAGTGCATTTGTAAACAATAGAGCAACAAATATGACTAACAGGCATCCAGAAATGGTAAAGCAAAAGCCACAGGCAAGCACTTCATGCACACCTCTGTTCCAACAGCAAACTTTTCAAATTCAAACACTCCCATGGGTCCATTCCAAATAACAGTCTTTGTAGTCTCCAAAGCATTGTTGAATATCTTGACAGATTCTGGTCCAATATCCAATCCCATCCAGCCGTCCGGGATACCAGATGCTGGCACAACCTGCAATCATAAAAGCAAGATCATATCCCCTGCAATCATAAAAGTGAAATTATACCCTTCCCTTGCCAGCTATGTACTGAAAAATCAAGAAGATCTATCAGTCCATGTCAAGTTTGATGAAGCAAAAGAAGAATGGTTTCTCTTGTGTGAAAGTTTCAATTTCACTTGTCAAAAATTCTTCTGAGAAAGATCCTATACTGAAAACTTTAAGGAACAAACCTTGCTGTCTGCATCAGGAGCAAACTTGTCTGCCACTATCACGTCAGTGGGTAACAATAAAGATACTCCTTTGGCCTTGGCCTTCTCAAGGAGTGTTGTTGCAAGATCTAGCTTGTCTTCCTCCACTAGGGACGATCCCACTGAAATACCTTGTGCCTTGTAAAATGTGAAGATCATTCCTCCACCCAAAAGCAATATATCACACTTCTCCAAAAGTGATTCAATCACTCCAATCTTGGATGAGACCTTTGAACCACCAACAATGGCAGCAAATGGCCTTTTTGGGTTCGAAACTGCTCCAACTAAATAGTCCAATTCCTAAAGCAAAAGAAGACTAGTTAATGTCAAAACATTAGGAAAAAGACCTGTAATACAGAAATGATGAAAAAATTGGTCATCTCATTAGGAATCTTTTAGAAGCTGTCTAGGAAATTATCTCGCGAAAGTCGAACGACGCAAATAACAGACATTTGAATTGTCCAATAAGTAAACTAGCAGACCCTTTTCAGCTTAATGGAAAGTCAAGGAACCTTGACTGAATAATATGTGATGAAACCATGTAAAAGATGCCCATTGATACTTCCATTTGTTTTGAAACTACTGCCAATAGATCATAGGTGCATATTAAAGACAATCATAACTAGCAATCCAACCTTTTGCAAAAGGAAACCAGCAACAGATGGCTTCAAGAATTTCGTAACTCCCTCAGTAGAGGCATGAGCTCTATGTGCAGTACCAAATGCATCATTCACATAGAGATCCGCCAATGAGGCAAGCTTCTTTGCAAACTCAGGTTCATTCTTTTCTTCCTCCTTGTAAAACCTCACATTCTCAAGAAGAAGAACACCACCTTCTGGAAGTGAAGCCACCAATTTTTCGACCTCTGGACCAATGCAGTCATCAGCCTTCACAACCTGTTCAGTGGAATCATCAAGTAGCAAAGAGAGACAACCACATATGTCAGCTACAAATATAAACTCTGAATAAGCACAAGGTAGTTTCTTCTTTATTTTGGAAACTGAAGAAGACATACCTGTATGCCAAGGAGTTCTGATAGCCTGGGAACAAGAGGTGCCAAACTGAATTTCGGAGTGACACCTTTTGGGCGTCCCTGAAAATTCAATGAGCAACAACAAATGGAGCTTAAAAAGTTAAATCCATAAGGATTAAGCAATATTAATGTGTGTATATAATCATAAAGGAGGACAAGGCACATATAATTATAAGTGTAAAACTATAATCCTATATATCAATGCAACAAATCAGCAATTTTCTGCCAAATTATAGATTTTAGATGAATATAACAATCAGTGTCATACTTGTATTATAGAACTTGTAATGAAAAAACAAGCCATCAATAAAATACAGTTGGTCTATGCTTTGATACAATATTTAGAAAGAAAACAATAATAATCACATGTTTAGTCGCATAGCCTAGATTGCAACTTATAAAGCAGAAATGAGAATTCCCAGCGAATTAGGTATTGAAGCTGCAATAATGGTATGTGTGAGACAGGGAAGAATAGCAACAACAGCAAGGAAAATCGCATAATTGCATGTCTTGAAAAGCTACAACAGTTCCTATGTATGTAAAGACCATGATTTTATAACTAGATCAAGGTCAAAGAACAAACATCCGAAGTCAGAAGCTCAAATTGTCAAGAACCCACTTACCAGATGACTGGAAAGAATTACTTTAGCACCATTGGAAATCAAGTGTTTAATGGTGGGTATAGCAGCTCGAATTCTGGTATCGTCAGTGATGTTCTGGCTATCATCCAAAGGGACGTTCAAATCGGCCCTGACGAAGACCTTTTTGCCCTTCAAGTCGGAGGCAGTGAGGTCTCCGACGCTCTTCTTGGCCATGGAGGCGACGCCTCTGACGGGCTTGCCAGAAGATTTAAGGGATCGCAGTTGGGTGGCGACGTGGTGAGTGAGGAGTGGTTCTGCGGCGGCGCCGGCGAAGCCCAGGCGGCGGAGTGAAGTGTGAGTGAGGAAGCGGGTGGTGGGAACATTGAGAGAAGAACGGGTGCGAGTGGTGGATGATGATGAGGTTGTGGGGATGCTGCAGAAGGTGGGTGATGCTGCAGAAGCCATTGTTTGTATATAGTTTTTAGAGTCTGTCTCCGATTCCTCTGGGTTTGTGGAGAGAAAGAGTGATCTAGAGAGAGCGCGGTGAAGATATGGTGGGGGTGGGGAAGTGGAGTGTATATGTGGACGTGGAGATTGAGGTGACGGAGTGTTTGTGGAGATTTTTCTTATCGTTGAGGAGAGGTTGAAGATGTTCGATGCTTTTGAGGGGTCACTGTGAGTGTGAAGCATGGGTTCGTTTCCATTGGTCTCAAATTCTTAGCTCTCTTTCTTTCAACTGCTCCCCAATTATAAATGAGAAATGTTATTTATACCTCAAAATTCTATTTGATTTGTTAATTTCATTATAAATATTTGAGAATAAGCTTACATTTTAAAGTGTTATAAATTAATTATAATGGGATACAAGATAGTAATTATTGGGTACAATAGTTATCAAAAATTATTAAAATAATAAGATTTACAAACTGTTGTGTTCATGTTTTTATGTAATACTAGCAATTCACACGTGCGTGGCACGCGAAAAAAATTTACTTTATTAATTTGTTACTAAATTTATTTGAAATACAAAATTGATGAGTAATAAAATTGAATTCTTTTTTGTAAAGGTAAGTGAATAATTAAAATACCAAGAAAAAAATACACTTACTCTTTTAATTTTTTCAATTTTTTTTTATGGTATATGGTGTTTGAAAAGGAGTACTACTTTTTTGGAACTAATTTACTGATTTAATTCAGTATAGTTGTTAAATTGATTGCGAGTTTTATCAAATATTAGAATTAAAAAACAATATAAAAATTCTTTATTCGAATATAAAAAAACGCAAAAAGTCATGTATGCTCAACAATAATTAAAAAGGAGGATGATAATGCATAAAAACATTGTTCAGTGGTTGTTTTTCTTGACAATTCTATATATTCAAGGAAACAAATTCTTCTTTGTTTTTTATCCTTTTCTTGCCGATTGTATGTTTGTTTCTGAATCCTCAATTTCTTCAACTTCTTAAGCAACAAATCTTCCCGTTGATTGATCATTCTCATTTAATTTGCTAACTTTTATCAAAAAGTTGAAGTACTGTCCACTATATAATAGTAGATTTTGGTAACACATGCATTGCAATTTGTTCTGTCATGTCATACGAAAAGAGTTAGTATTTGTTTTAATAATTTTTGAATTGAGTGAGTTTGTTATTGCATACCTGTTCTTTTGATTCAATGAATTTTGAAACTGGACATCCTATAAGAGTTTGTGCTTCGTCAAATAAAGTAAGAGAAACCCTCTCGTCTCCATCTGATATGATGAGTTTGAGTATATATCTATTATAATAAAAAAAAATGTTGTATAATGTTAACAAGATGGTTGAAAATATTTAATGGTGGTGTAAAGTTAAAAAAAATGTAGGAAATTTGAAGTAACTATTGCATATCATAGTTATCTGTGAGTGTGTTCAACATTTGTTTTTTCACATTTTTTGCATTCTGCTCCATCTTTTATGATGATGACCCTTCTTTGGCATTGCTTGCAAGAATTGTACCATGGTTCTTCTTTATTTTCTATGCTTAGAATCATTGCTTTTAAAGCACAAAAAACTGTCTGCAAATTGCTGAAAATTTATATATATATATATATATAAATCATATATGTATATGTATTTAAGTCATACCTTCTTTGTGGGTGGTGTTCCCTTCATGATATCAACAATTGTTACTTGTTCTGCATCTCTTTTTCTTTTTGTTGGAGTTGAAAATTGTTTTTCATTCTCATCATCTAGAAAAGTGGTTAACCTACATATTGGATTTATTATCACAAGATGTTTTTTTTTAAAAAAATAAATAAATTTAAGAAAAATGTATATTAATTGCAAACCATTCTTGCATTTGCTTTGCTTTTTGCAGCTCTGGATTTATTTCAATTGTCGTAATAGATGTTGTAGTAAGCCGAAATTCACCTGAAATAGGACAACAAATGTCTTAGTACTGTAAATTAATTGTTTAATTCACAAATATAATTTAGTACTCACCTTCGTATATTGAGCCCTTTGCTTGAGATATTGCAATGATTGGTTTTGTGAAAATAATTGTTCAAGTATTTGGCCTTCATTTTCTGCTAGATCCCCCCATAGGGTTAACCGTAGCGAATACAATCTGTGATCATTAGAAAATATTAAGTAAATTCTATAAGCTATAACATAAGAAAAATGTGGTATGATTGATTCTTACTCGTTATTCTTGAGTACAACTTCTCTCATATTAGATGGGGGACCTTTTCCATCTTTGTTTATACTGATTATTGACTTGACTTCAATAACAAAATCAATTATATTTGCATCACAAATTTTGATGTACAATTACAAAATTACTATTATTAAGTGAATTGATTATGCATGGTGTGTGAAATATAGTTTAAGGATACATACCATATGTCATATTCTCGTCTGGTTATATTACTGCATCTATGAAAGAGATGAAGTTATATGATAGTTCTTGAGATGTTATTTCGCTTTATGCTTCCTTGACTTCAGTTAAGATTGTTAGTGCCAATTCGATGTCCTTGTGAGCACTTGTGTATTTTGGGTTTATAGGCTTTACTATACCGTTAGAAACAAAGTACATCTTATCTTTGATAAAAAGGTTTCTAAATTTGGTGACTACATTGCTAAACATCAACGCTTGTATTCTTGTACCCTGCAAAATTTTTGTATTGAAAAAATAAAACATTAACAATGTGTATCTCAAAAATACTAAGATAATATTGACAATTTAACTAACCTCATCATCAACTAAAATGACTTTTCAAATTTCTCCAGTTCCTTTGTTATTGCTATATGTGGTAATTGAGCCTCTTCGAAGAACCTTCACTTTTAGATTCCACTTGTTTTCATATTTTGTTAATTAGTTGATTGTTGAAATTGCAGTTGTTAAAACTTCGTCAATTGACATTGTTGCTTGGAATTTATTGCCTGCAAAATAAATACTATTATTTGTGCTTATTACCTACACATAATTAAAAAAAAAAAATCATACAGACACAGATAAAGAATGCAATATGAAAGCTAAAAGTTTGCAGATAATTTCTGATTCTATGTGAAAATGAATTATAAAGTAAAAAAATTAATAAAATTATATCCTTACTTTGATTATCACCTGTTTCTAAAGGTAGGTAAAATATGCAAAGGCTAAGCTGCTTTAAATTGCAATTACAGTTTTGAATATTAATCCACTGAATTTGTAGAGTGTACTGGAGGCTTGCTGTTTCATCATCAATTGTAAAAAAGAGAAGTACAATTTTTAATGTTTGAAGAATGAAAACATTAATCATGAACATGCAATACTTCATAATTGAAATACTACACTATTTTTATTAATAGTAGAAAGAAGTTGTATAGTCACATAAGAATAAGAATTCATGGGTATCATTACCTGTGCAGGGATAAAACCTCTTTGTACACATTATTTTTCGTATATGCTCCTTTTCTTCTTTTCTTATTATCTGGTTTGACCAAAATCTTTGTTGTTGACATTGAAGTTCCCCGTGATAAAGCGACATGTAATTGACCATGGGAAAAAACATGTTGAGGAAGGTAAACTCCAACATATGGTATTGTTTGGACTTGTGCTTTGTTTATAGTCATTGCAAAACACAGACATATTGCAAATTGCTTTCGCTTGAACTAGAATGGATAACCTTCATTTTCGGCGGGTGAAAGCAGTATTCTTGGTAAGAAAACTTGTTTCCCAATATGTTGCTGATATATTATTTCAGCATGAATTACATTTTCGACATATCCTTTGCATACCATTCTGGTTCCATTGCATAAACCATTTGACGGATCCAGATTTCTTAGAAGTATGATTGGGCAATTCGGTTTGAGGGTTAATTTGTGTGGGGAGAGGCCATTTGGCATCAAGGAATTTAAGAATTCTTCTTGGTAATAGTTGTTTGTATCATCGACTACTTCATCAAAGCTGTTGAATGTTGTACTTATTCCTAGAAATATCAAAATCAATCATTCATTCAACTTGTCGACATCTTGATTGGTTGTTGCAAGGATTGCACGCTCTGTCATGTAGTTTGCCGAGTTTGCATTCTGTTCTAATGCTGGAAATATGTTGTTGATGAGATTATTTTCAGATGCTTCATCATTGTCGTACTTTATCACCATTTCTTCTGGAAGAGATATCCTATCATCATTGTCTTTTTGTGCATCTCCGTTTCCAACTTGCGGGAGAAAATCACTAAAATTTGGATCTGCCCTTGCTCTCATATTGTCTCAATTTTAGTTTTTCCATGATATTTCACAAGTGTGATCTCACTAAGCTTGCATTAACGATTTCTGCTCGTGTACCACGCCGAACAACTGGTAGTACTTGTCTAAAGTCTCCACCGAAGACGATAACCTTTCCTCCAAATGAATCGGAATTGCTCATTATGTCCTTTAAGCTCCTATCAAGTGTTTGAATGGTAAACCGCTTAGCCATGGGGGCTTCATCCCATATAATGAGTTTTGCTCTGCCTATTAACTCTGCTAGGATATGTTACATAGGCTTGTCTCCGTTATAAGTATAGGTATTTTGAATCGTGAGTGAGTTGTTCTACCCCCTGGCAGTATTGCAGCTGCTACACCAGATGTTGCTGTTGCAAGTGTTATCAGTCCTTTGGATCTTATGTTCGCAAGCAATGCACGATAGAGATATCCGTCTTTCCAGTTCCCCCTGGACCATCAACAAAGAATACCCTTGGCTGACCTAAGTTGACCCGATTCAATATTATTCTATATGCATCTTCTTGTTCAGAATTAAAGTTGAGGGATATTGTGCAGTCTTCTAGTGGAGTCTCAATGCTTATTTCATCTACAAATTCTCTTGATTTTGTGTTTCTTGGTTCAATTGCACTCGAATTCTCTTTTACAACCCTTGTTGGCAAGTTATAATCTCTGATATTTTTGCCCATGCTTTCTAGAAAATTATTTATACTATCCAAGGTACATGATATACAAGTTGAGTGTTGATCCTTATAGATTCTCTTGAAGTCTTCAGACATGGATTCGAATTAATCGTCCCATAGTTTTCTTATTTATAAAGGTCCACAATAAACCAATATTGTTGCAAATAATCTACGAAGTGCTTGGGGCAATTGAAATGTTGTCGCTTCATTCAAATATTCTTAGATACTTTCATCTGATTCTAGAAGTCCTCTTTTTTGTACAGATTCTTTGAATGACAAATAACGCACTCCATTGACAGTTAATAAATCTTCAAATGATGTCGGG